ATGGAGAGCATAATCAGACCCTCCAGGGTGGACGACTCTGGAGGCATTGTTATTCCACGTCGTCATGGCCGCTAATGTCCTGAACGTGCCACGTCTGCCACCGTCCTCCGTCCCTGGGAGAGGTGCAACAGTTTCTTTCGAATGTCCGTGATGGTTTCAGAACTGCAGAAGGTTAGTTTAAAATCGTCCAGAAACTCTGCATAGGGACCTGATAAAAACTCGGGGTTGCGGCTCTTAGCCTCAGCCTATCTAAGAGCCTTGCCTCTTAACACTCCAACAATAAAAGATATCTTGGCCGAGTCTAAAGAAAAGGCGCTTGGAGAGCGTTCAAAGGCCAGGCGACACTGCAACAGGAACCCATAACAGTCCTTGAACTCTCCAGAGAATGTTGGACATGACGGAGGAGGAGCTAGGCAGAAGTGGGTGACTTCCGTAGGACCAAGAACTTCCGGTCTGGGCAGTTCCGCTGTTGCTGGGGCGAGTGGTGTTGGTTCCGGGTTTGACTCCGGGGCCTGAGCTGGGGCCTGAGCTGGGGCTGGAGGTGGTAATCGGTCGTGGAGGTGTTGGACCAGCGCCTCCAACTGCTGGTGAGGCTGATTAGCGACTGCCAGTTGTTCGATGAGGACAGGAAGTGTTTGTTCCTGCTGGGACATCCGGGTAGCCAGGTCTGCCAGTGCTTATTCCGCTGGGTTAGTGTGTTGGTCGGATGATTCTGTCATGACTTGCGGGAGGCGTCTAACCCAAGACATGCAGAATCAACACGGGACTCAGGAGGTAAGTAAAAATAAACTCTTTTATTTGGAGAATGAGAACGAAAGGTGCACTGGGGGTCCAGTGAGTAGGGTGCCGTAAGGTGTCAGTCCAGAGTTCGAGCTCAGCGAGCAGCGGGGCAGGGGATGAGCCGAGGGCGGGGGTCCAGCAGAGCGGGGAGGGTGAGGACGCGAAGAGGAGAGGAGCCGTGGAGGAGGATGGGACATGGTCCTGAAGATCTGGGGTTCTCAGCGGGGTAGGTGAAAGAGGTGATGGTATTCCTAAACGGTGCAAGCAGACAGGGGTTCAGAGGTGAGTCCAAAGTCATAATCCAAGAAAACAGTCCAAGGTCAAAAATCCAATAATCCAAACACGAATGAATTATGAATGCAGCCCAGCTGGTGTCCCCTCCGCTCCTCACATGTGGAAAGAAAAACCTCAAAGGTGGTTTAGTGAGGAGGAGCACTCACCTCGGCTCGTGGATCATGACAGATCCATTTTTCATCTATAGCTTTCCTCTTTACTATCACTCATGAACAACAAAAACAAAATACCAGAACTCCGTAGTTGAGGCAGAGACTCACTACCAACCCAGAAGAAGGGTTCCATAACAATGGTCTTGGAGCTACCTTTCATCCACTGGCTGCTAACAGCCTCAGTACACACTCAAAGTCTCTCGCATTCTGGGTTAGTTTCTGTCAAACATTAATCACCTATATAAAACATTAAATAAGGTGCTTTGTGTATCTAAATGTGAACTATCAGTTCACTGGGTGCTGTATTATGGCCGTCTAAATGGTTTGAACTCTTCTCAACGATTTAACAAAATTAAGATGAATTTTGACCAATGCCCATGCAGCTCCGCCCCTTTTGCCTGATGGTTCCTTCATTTTTGTGGTCATTGAGGCAGAAGCTCTAGCTGAAGGTACAAATAGTGTGAGAACATGTGTATGTCTATGTATGATGTTCACATTTACTATAATCACATTCCAGGGATGATTTATTCTCCCACCTGCCGTCCGAGACACTAAACAGATTAGATCAAATGGTCACACAGTCCACACTGGACCATAATGATGGCAGAAGTCCAACCAAAATGTTTTGCTGCCCCTCAGTCATAAGTCTTTAAATTACAGGCTCAGAATATGTAGAATTGCAGCATTTTTCTTTGGTAATAAAGCTGTTTGGTTACTATATGACCCAGATTGTTATAATGCTGCTGAGGTCTTGCAGTGATTTGATTTGTGTGGTAGTTTTTAGTGTCTAGCAACCTCATTTGGAACCCCCCCCCCCCCCCCCCCAAAAAAAAAGAAAAAATCATTAATGTTGCCCTAGTTTTCCATCTGAAAACAGCCTAGAAGTATAAAATAAAAGCCTGTCGTAGGAGGACGGTAAAAGTGGAATGGAGGGAGAGAAGGAGGAGGTGGCAGAGAGCAAAAACCAGTTTTGAAACACAGGCTTCATTGACTGGTGGCTACATGGTGTTAATGTGTTTGCGAGTCTGAAAATGTTTATGTGTGTGAGAACAGGTCCTCTCTGTTAATCTTTGCAGACCGCCCAGCTGTTAGCATTCGATTGGTCAGAAGAGTGTGTGTCAGTCAAAGCTGATAGATGGAAGTAGACAGGTAACATACAGTCAGAGCTGATTACACGTCTCTTTTGTCACTTGTTAAACAATTTAGCTCTTTAGAAATAATAATTTTTTTTTAAGAAAAACATTTTCTGCATCTTTAGCACCAATACAAAAAGTTTTCTGTTGTTCAGGCACCTCTGATCAGTCAGCCAAAACCTCTTTCGCTCCAATTGGTAATTGGCAAGGTCAACACCGCTACAACAAAACAATGATTACACACAGGCACACACACAAATAGTAAATAAGACCACAAATCTCTTTTTCCCTTTCTGCTTATTTATTTGTTTGTTTAAGTCTGTTTTCTGCAACTATCAAAGTGCTCATTTGCACAGTTTTGCTGACTGGTAATTGGTATTATTTAAACTATCATGATAATCATATACAACTATGCAATACTTCTGAATTTTCTTCATTTAAAAAACTTAAATAATCGCTATTTACATGAAATCAGATATTTAAAAAACTAGTACCCTCTTTGTCCACTAGGTGGCAGCAGAGATTTATATTCATATCTAGCTCCATTACATTTTAAATTTAAATCCTCCTTTCATGATGTCCAGTTATATTTTCATTTTTATGAACTCATTTGAAGTTAAATACAGTAAGAATAAGCTAATATGATCAGGTTTCATGCTTTTTTTTGCTTGTTTTTTCACTTGCATGTCAAAACCTGGAAAGTTAATACTTTGACTGGAGCTGACAGAAGACAGCACATCACACCCATTCTTAAATCACTGCATTGGTTGCCTGTTCAATTCAGAATCAATTTCAAAATTCTGCTCCTTGCATTCAAATCTTTGAACAATTTGGCCCCACCTCTATTTCTACCACCCCTCTCATGCTCTTAGGTCACTGATTAGTTTCTCCTCACCGTCCCTAAGGCACTTTTGAGGACTCGCGGGGAAATGGCTTTTTCTATATGTGCCCTGAAACTGCAACCCTGCGCTGCAAGATTAATTCTCACGAGATTTTCCAAATTCAGGAGAATCCTGAAATGTGTAGACTTTACATGGGGGTGGGGCTACACATAGAGATCTGGCTGCTGCCAGGTTACCAAAACTGTGGAACTCACCCCTTCATGGTTAGCCAAAGACCCTCTCTTGCCGTCTTTAAATCTCAGCTGAAAACCCACTACTGGCCTTCAATTCTTAAAACATTACTCCTTGTCATCCCGCTTCCACTTCGGTTCTTTAATTTAAAATCTGCGGTCTGGCTACTTTTAAATCCATGATCTGTTTTTATGATTTCAGTTTGGTTTGCCATACTTAGTTGTACAATTTTTATATTGTTTGTTGTGATGTGACTATTTTATGCTTGTGCTGTTTTAGTATGTGCAGCGCTTTGGTTAGCTGTAATGTCAAGCCCTTTATAAATAAAAGTGGTATGGTATGATAATTGCTTTTAGCACCCCCTAGTGTCTGTTTTGATTCACTGTCATAAAACCAAAACTGAAACTCTCCTCCTCTGCGCTAGTGTATTTAACACCTTTATCTAACTGCTATAATGTCTCCTCAGCCTTCATTAGGTTCTACAGGAATGATTCATCATTAAATCAAATAAACCAGTTGTGTTCACGATCTAAAGCATGCAGAAATCGTGTCTCTGGGCTCTCGTGATTCAGAAAACCCCCAATGTTAACTCTTGTTTGGCTCCTATTGTGGTCGAACATCATTTGTAATTTTATAGCTTCATCAGATAAATGTTTTCTTTGTCTCTTCTGAGGCTCCACCAAAATAAAAACGTTACAATAAATGTTGACCAGGTATAGATCGTCTGTTCTGAGATGTAAACATGGATCGCCATAAAGCATGACTTTGTGAGACTTCAGGGCAGCGGTCCGGTGAGGCTGAAGTTGCAAACGGGGAATGGCTGTGACAGTAAACCAATTAGAGTTTATTGTAAGGGGGTTGCTAGGTAGAGCAGCCCAGGAATGAAATGTGAAGGGTGGTGGGGTTACTCCTCCAGGAATCCAGAGGCCCATTAATGGGGGTAGCAAATTAAAAAAGAAGAGGAGAAGATGGACCTGAAAACACCAAGAATATGGGGGGTTTCTTATTTCACAGGAATGTGGTCACCTTTGTGTTTAGGAACACTATATTGTGATATAATTTAACGTTAAAGATTTAAATCTCACCACCACATTTTGTGTTTTATTTATTTTACTCCTGCTGTCACAGCTCAGACTTTTTTTTCTGTTGACACAGGGCAGTGGTGTCCAGTTCTGGTCCCTGAGGGCCACCATCCAGCATGTTTGTGTGTGCTGCAACACACCTGATTTTTGTCAGTGGGTAATTAAGAGGCTTCTGCACAGTTGGATGTCATGTTGAATGAGTAACCCAACCACAGCATCACATGGACCAGGATTGGACACCACTGACATAAAGGAATGCTCCTCATCTGCAGCTCCTCCCACATATGGGATCCCTCAAGGGTTATTTCAGGGATCACAGCTTTTCAGTCAGTATTTAATGTCTTTAAATTTTAAAGTGAGCGTGCACCAGGAACTTGTAAAAATATCATTTGAATTAAACTATCAAATCAATCATTTGTTTAATAACTGGTTTATGTGGACAGTGAAAGAAAAGCCTTTTGTCTCCAATGCATCAAAATGTGTTTTGTTTTAATTTGTGCTGTTAGATGTAAAGTTTTAAACACATGGAATAAGAAGATGTTTGAGCATCCTGTTCTTCTTTTCTAAAGTTGTAAAATAAAACAAACACTTCCACTAAATGACAGTGAGCGGTACGCCAGCCCTCATCCTGGACCTCAGCAGACACTTAGAGAAGCACAAAACATCAGAACAAACGTGTCTTTGTGATCAGCGGTGAGGGGCCCCAGGCTGCTCTGGGATCAGTGAGCTGCAGCAGAAACAGTTCGCCCTATATTAAGATTTCCACTCAAAAATCCCATTTCCACAAACGAGGATGATTAATTTTTAATGCACCAAAAACATTCAATGTAGATCATTAACTCTATCTGTCAGATGTTTCTTCAAAGTCTCGTCGCCATAATCTGTTTGATCATTTGAACAAGCCGTGTTGCATTTTCTAAATGACTTTTGCTTCACTCTGGTTAACCGTCCAGTAAAAAAGAATAAATTACCAGGAAAGAAGATGAATTTAGCAGTGGTGTTGCCCCCTCTAGAGGAGTCAATAGGTTATCTCCTCAGGCGGAGAGGAGTGTGGAGGTGTCTGTGGGGGGTGGAGACCTCTGAGAGTCACAAACGGAGCAGGAGATAGCCGAAGAGAAGGGATGTCATTATTAAGAGGGGAGGACGGGCAGAGAAAGGAGAAGAGACAAGGGAGAGGGATTAGGAGGCCAAATTGTAGCTGCTTTTCATCTCCTGAAACTTCACACCCCGTAGGACTCTTCATGTGGAAGGGACCTGTTGCAGATGGAAAATAGGACCTGCCTGGTTTCTGTGTTGGCACACACATAGAGACTTACTGAACGACTAGAGAACATCTGTGTTCATCCGAAACACATGATGGGAGGCATTCGCTTTAGTATTTTACTCCTTTTTTTCTTCTGCTCTTCTGTGCGATCCCAGTGGTTGAGTTGGTTCTGGGCGAGCCCTAAAAGCACCACCATACCTCCACCTGCCACCTCTACAACCATCAACTCTGTGGACCCTTCTATCTCTCAGGGAACAGCACCCCAGTGGGTGGGAAAAGAAGACCGGGTAACAGGGGGACACGTGGAGGACACTCAGATGAGCCCGACTCCACACAGCTCCAGGGTTTTAGTGGAACCTGGGGTGTTTGCTCCAGGGGACAACTCAGGTGGAGGGAACTCAAACAGGTCCAGAAACAAAGCTCTGAAACCATGGGAGAGTGGTGAGTTACCAAGATCTGCAAGAGGAATTGCATTTCTTTCTAAATTAACTTTTAGGACCAATTTTGTAAATCACATTCTTGTGTTTCACACCAAAACACCCAAATAATTATTCAGGTTTTTTAATGTCCTTGTTTGCCAATATTACAAAGTCCTGCTCGTTACATATGCAATCACAAATTTTCAGCTTTTGTGTTTCATTAGACGGGTGGATCTCCGGGTCCTTACACCAGCTGGGAGGTTTCATGCAGCCTGCAGGATCAAAATGAGATTAAAAGGTTATGCATATGGCAACACTGAGGGAGTTAATCAGGTTTGTTTTACGGGTCTCAACTGGCTGATCAAGCATTCATGTGGTCAACGTGATGAAGATTAGCTACAGGAGGAACTGGGATAGGTGGGGGGGCTAAATCTGTAATTAGGCTGGTGACAGACAGGCTAGTGAGTGAAGCTGACTTCAGGATTATTGCTGCTTCGCTGTTTTTAGAGATTACCTGAGATCATCTGTGGCAGAACATTTGGGATTGAAATGAATGGAGGATTGATGATTTATTGGCTGGTTTTAGGACACCAGTTTATTCGGTATGGCAAAGTTTACACAATCATTTGTAAAAACATTATTTATTTACAATTTTTCATGAAAATTTTTTAGAGCCTTGTACTAGTGACTCTTATTTGACGATTACACCCAAACTAAATATTTCTTTCTTTTAGATAAAAAAATTAAAAATAAAACATGTCAGATTTAAATTTTCTTTCCTGATTATGATGCAGAATCTTACTGGTAATAAATGAAATCCAGTTTAAAACGGTGTACAGTGACAGACAAAAGTGAGATAAAGAAGATCAGGGAGGTGGGAAGACAAAAATGGACTGAAGCCTGAGATGTTTCCTGCAACAGCTGTGTGCTCCTCCTTCTGTCATCAGCTGGTTGAGATAAGCAAACTGCCGCGAGCACAGAGGCCATGCTCTCAAAGTAAAGGCTGCATCACGCCAGCCGCTGGAAATACTCGATAGACTGTTCTAGTTGACGTCTAAAGTGTTAAAAGAAAGGTATAATCTTGATTTTTCTTTTATCGGCTTGCATGATTAACTAAATGAGGAAAGCTGCCATTGTTCCTTTTAACAACAGATTTCCTTTTGGTCAGTAAATTTGTTATTTAATTTAAAAGGACCATTTTCAGATATGTTTTGTGCTGAAATTGTGCCAAAAACAAGTCTCACACATTTGCTCTAAAAGAAATGCATCCAATTCCTTGGGTTTGATTATTGTTTTCTATTTTCTTGTTCTAGGAAAACAGTTTTAATCCATTTTCAGCTTCAAGATTGAAGCATGAGCCACTCTTTCTTTGGTGATGCTTGACGGCTGTAGTTTAGGAAGGGTGAACACGTGTCTGCTTTGTGGGAACATTCTGTGAGAGTTTGTGGTTCTGTACTTAAAGGAAATTAAAAGGAAAAACATGATTTTTAGAAGACAAAGAATTAGCTTCACCTTTTCCACCTTAGAAAGATTTTAACTTATCTACATTTTTCCCGTTGTTTTGTAAGGCCTCACATCACTGAAACACTAATGCATATCTCTTTGAATCAGCCTCCTTGAATCATATCCAAAGCTGCACAGACAACACGTGAACCAAAAATCTGGACACCCCTGTTCAGTGACCCAGAACTTGGAATTGGGAATACAAAGTGATTACTGGAGTTCAAAATAGATCACTGGCATTGAAAGCATTATTTAAGGGGGACAGTGGAGGTTTCTGCGCGTTTTCCTCACAAACAACCAGATAAATATCCTGTTTTACATTTTCTTAGGCCACCCTGACAACTGTTTGCGGCAGTAAAGGTGTAATATCTGGAGTGGTGATTATTACCTGCTGCTGCATAACCCTCACATCACCAGGGGGTGCATGGACAGATTGAAATCTCTGCAGTCACCAGCATCAACATGAAGGCGTTTAAGTTTAGTCCTCTTGCAGCAGAGCTCATGCACTTTTTTTTCTTTAAGCTATAAAATGACCGAAGAACAACTGCACATCTGGACTGGAGGTGTAGGGCCTTTGGTGTGTTTATAAATGTGTACTCCGTTCTGCCTCCTTCCATCTTCTGTTTGCAAATATAAACTTGTAGATGTGCAGAAAGTCCAGCTTGTAGACATGTGAGTGGTTCAAACACACTCAACCCTCTAATCAGTTTCCAGTTGGTATGACTGATGAATTAGAGACCCTCAAATGTTGCCTGTCTGGTCTGGTCTCAGGTTTGCGCGCGCGTGTGTGTGTGTGTGTGTGTGTGTGCGTGCGTGCATGCGTGTGTGCGTGTGTGTGTGTGTGTGTGTGTGTGTGTGTGTGTGTGTGCGTGTGTGTGTGTGTGTGTGTGTGTGTGTGTGTGTGTGTGTGTGTGTGTGTGTGTGTGTGTGTGTGCGTGCGTGCGTGCGTGTGTGTGTGTGTGTGTGTGTGTGTGCGTGCGTGCGTGTGTGCGTGTGTGTGTGTGTGTGTGTGTGTGTGACAGAGAAATAGGTAAAAAGGGTCGCAACGCTGAGCGTTTTTCACAACGGGAATCAGACTCCACAAAAGAGAGAATCAAGGGAATGTGAAACAACGTCTTCATGTTCACACTGCTCTAATTGTCAGCCACTGAGTCTGCATTTCTCTTCTCGTGGAGGATTATGTCAGAGTGAGGCAGGGCAGTGAGGCGTAGGCAGAAGTCTGGATCAAAACAACCCAAATTAAAGCCATGTCAGGATGATTCACATTTACCTCCTCCTTACTCTTGGGTGAATTAGCAGCAGAAGGGTCAGGAGAGGATGAAGGTGGGGACATTAGCTGAGGTTTAAAAATCTGCATTTATTGTAGCTGTACATGATGCTGTTTCAATAGTCTGATAAAATAACCACAGGTGAACCTCGAAAAATTAGAACATGGTGCAAAAGTTCATTTATTTTAGTCAGTCAACTTAAAAGGTGAAACTCATATATGAGATAGACTCATTACATGAAAAGCCAGATGATGACTATGGCTTACATGGACGTAATTTTCAATTTAGAAGTGGGGGTCGGGGGGTATCTTTACAGTACGCTCTAATGGGAAACAGGCTTCAACACAAACAGTTGTTTTCCGCTAGGTCCTAGAGCTCAACCAGTGTCAATTCAATATAGCGTAATATTGTTTTTGGGTGGTAAGAAGTGCAGGGTCAAAACTTGACTTTGTAAAAAGTGGGGGGGACATGTCCCCCCTGTCCCCCCCCCCCCCCCCAATTACGTCCATGGCGGCTTACCGCTAAAGGCCGTGATCTCCTCGCTGTTTAACAATGCAGATGCATGTTTAAAATGGCTGTCACACATTACTTGCATTGATTGGAAGCTTCGTTTGTAAGCGTCCTTCAAAATAACACGGCGTGTCTGAACGCTGCAATATATGAGTAACCAGTAGGTGGAGCTGTCAAAATGAGGTTTAGATGTCTTTCTTACCATTCACAGTATTGCTGCTGTCTTTTTCTGTCATGATCTCCAAATTAGCCAGTTACTGATCTCTTCTGTTGACGCCATGTTTGTTTTGGTTTTACCCAGACCTGTACCCACAAACCCGATTCTCTGTTCAGTCTGAGTAGTCTAGTGTGCCCCCTAGTGTAACACTCCAGTACTACATGCAATGCAGTCCCCTGCAGCAGCAAGCATGTGAACAAAGACACAGGGTGTTTCTCAATGGCCTCGCAAGACATCGCCATGCAAGGCCAGGCGCCTTGCTTACGAGGACACTGCCCTTCCTTGGTCAAAGAAAACGGTTAAATGGAACAGACTTGCATCACGTGACCGCAGCTTCCATGGTGGTAACGAAACGTCATGTAACACGGGAGATAACGTTGTATTTTATACATATTAGTTTCAATATAAATATAAAACGAGTCTTTTACTTTTTAAATTGTGTATATATTTGTTAAATTAAATATGTAAGTGAGCCACCGAAGCTGCGACTACTAAGCCAAAGATAACTTCTTTGGGTCTAAAAAACCATTTTAATTTAGTTGTCATACTTTTAAACTTGAAATTGGTCCCCGAAGTAGCTGCCGACTTCTGATCAGCCATCCTTTTGAAAATAAAGCCAGCGGTGTAATTTTTGACCAAGGCTAGGCTACAAAACATCTCCCGTGTATCCTTGCTCTCAGCTAGCTAAATGGCTTACAAACAGAGAACACACGCCTCAACAGAACATGAACATTGGAACACGTCTTGGCGGCTCCTGATGACGTATCTCCTAGGCAACCGGGGCGGGGCCAAGACATCAAGGCGAGGTTCCTTGCCATTGAGAAACACCCACAGCCTGCTGCCTGCGCCACCGTGAGGTTAAACAGCAAGTATATCGCGGCCCTAAAACCCCACTCAGACAATTACAATATTGTGAAAAGGTACAATGTTTTAGACTCAAAGTGTCACACTCTAATCAGCTAAAGAATCCAAAACACCTGTAAAGGGATCATGAGCCTTTAGATGGTCTCTCAGCCTAAACTGGATTACTGACATAAATGGACTTATTCACCACATTCTAATTTTTGGATTTTCACCTGTACAGGATTAGGACGTCTTTGTTCATGTGTATGTGAATGTGACAAAGTGGAAGATCTTTCTTCCACTCTCAAATTTTGTCTTTGCACTGTCCTCGTCTGTTTCTGTCAGAGAGAGATTCCACAAATGTTCTGGACCTGCTGGAATTAATTGGGGACCCTTTTCCTCCCTCCGTCTCACTCATTCCTGCCAGTCAGGGTCGTAGTGCCTACAACTTTGGACCTAAAGCCAACATCGGCCGACGAACTGTTTCCTTTGTGCCAGGACCATTTTACCGGGACTTTGCCATCATTGTAATGGTGCGGAAAATAAACCCAAATCTATTTTATGACGTTACTGATGTCCGGTGCTGTGAAAAAGTATAACACCTCTTTACAAATTTCTTCTGTTTATACTTGTTTTAAACATTTAATAGACAAAAAGGCAAAAGCAGAAGAAATCTTTAAGGGAAAAATACTTTTCATAGCACTGTATTTTAGAGGAAGTCTTTTTGGCTTATGGCATTGATCTGAACAGCTTAATAAAGCTTAAAAGTCACTATATGCACATTTATTTTTATTAAAGCAAGTTCTTTATGGCTCCCTTTGTCCCTAACCTTAAAGTACTAATTACTTTTCTTTTCCTGTATTTTTACATCATTGAAGGTGCGTCCAGCCAGCAAGAGAGGAGGCGTGCTCTTTGCCTTCACAGATCCTCCTCAGAAGGTGGTGCAGCTGGGTTTGGCCCTGACTCCGGTCCGCACGGGCATCCAGAGTATCGTGTTGTACTACACTGACAAAGAGGAGGCTACCCACAGCCTCAAAGCCGTTTCTTTTAGTGTCCCAGACATGACCGCTCAGTGGACACGGTTCACAGTGAGCTTCCCGTGTTACATGACAATTGTTCACTGGTGCTTTATTAGTTTATATTTTTGAATATTTGTGTTCTTCAGTCACATGTTGCTTTTGAAAAAAAGCCAAATGGCATTCTATGGTTAATATGCAAGTTGCCAAATCAGTTTTTATATGAACTTCGCTTTACACAAGGCATCGGGCAACACTATTTTAAACACTTTAAGAAATCATGCCTTTAATATTTGCCAACAAAAGAAACCCCACACCACTACATTACCACCACCATGCCTTAACGGTGGAGCATCTAAATCTTTTCCATCTACTTTTAACTATACTCTTAGAAGGTGGGCTTTAAAAGTTAAATCGATGACTTTATTTAAGTCAGACAATCCTTCAAAAATGAAAGGGAAGATTGTTTTTTTTAATCAACGTAGAAAATGCTACTACTAGTTTATCTGGTTTTTGTGTGTATCTGTTCAGTCTTTTCAAACCCCTAGTCAGTCGTGGCAAATGGCTGCTCATACTGGACCAGGTTCTGGTGGAGGGTTCTTCCTGTTAAAGGGGAGTTTTCTTCTCCACTGTTGCTACATAATTTCTTAGTTTGGGGATTGCTGTAAAGTCTCTAACACAACATGTCAGCAATGAGCTGTTTCCTTACATAGGAACTTTTAACTAATTGGCACAATGAACTGAACTCAGTGCTCTGATATGAAGGTTCAACTGGAGTGTTCACTTTTTAAAGTGTCTTGAGATGACGTGATTTAGTGCTGTAAAAATAAGATGAACTGAACTGTCTTCAAAAACAAGAATTTTTATCAACTGATTTGCATCATATACCACTAACACTTAAATATTCCATGATATAAAAAAATTGTTTTTAATTTTGTTGGGTTTTATTGTGCCTGTAGTTGGTGGTGGAACATGACGAGGCCCGGCTCTTCATGGACTGTGAAGAGAGCGAGCGGCTCACGTTCAGTCGGAGTCCAGAGAAACTCACCTTCTTAAACGAATCTGGCATATTTATAGCAAACGCAGGGAACACAGGGCTTGAAGAGTTTGTGGTGAGTAAACAATTTTTATATATCTCTTGTACATTTTGTGCTTTATGGATACAGTGAATGCAACGAATAAATAAAATAAGGGTTATTTTTTCTTAATTACTTTGCCATGGTAAGTAAAATGTCAAGAAGCTCGAGTAGCTATAATATACTCTTCTGTTAGCATTGCTAATCCTTGTTAAGATAAAACTTCTTCACAAGAGAATTCCAGTTTCCTTTAGGTAATAACAGTGTAATTAACCACCCATAACAGTCCTGAATAACCGTTATTTTATACAAATCCGGTGAAAGGGAACTAATTAAAGTTAAAAAGTTAAAGTTAAAGTCCCATTAGTTGTCACACACACAGGTGTGTGTGCGAAATTTGTTCTCCGCATTTGACCCATCCCCTGGGTGAGCGGTGAGCTGCAGACACAGCCGAGCTCGGGAACTATTTGGTGGTTTAACCCCCCAATCCAATCCCTTAATGCTGAGTGTCAAGCAGGGAGGCATTGGGTCCCATTTTTTCAAAGTCTTTGGTACGACCCAACCAAGAATCGAACTCCTGATCTCCCAGTCTCAGGGCGGACACTCTACCACTAGGCCACTGAGAAAGGTTTGACAGTGCAACTACATTAAATATATGGATGGTTCATGTGGAGTACAATTTATTTCAGAAGTTGGTTTAGTTTTCTTTAATAAAATATGTCAAAATACACTCAAAGGTGAAATACTGATGTAAGTAGTTTTTGGACAAATGACATTTAAATATCTAAAGTCTAGACCAGAAATTTCCAGAGTGCTGCCTGGGAGCCACTGGTGGCCCATGGGGTCTTTTTTTGTAGGACCCCAAATTGCATCTCCAAAACGGTGAATTAGGTATCTCCAGCAAGATTATTAATGGAGATAAACACTTTCTAATGTTTAAATTTTCACTAATATGCATGTTTTGGACCTATTTTGATAAGTGCAAATGAAAAAAAAATCACCATAAAATAGTTTTTGTATTTTTTAAAATTCAAACAAAATTTATTTTCTGCACTCAAGAGCTAATAAATGGATGATTTTGAGCCTCTTCTAACAAAATGTGGACTCCCTTGATCTATGCTGCGGGTGGAGGTGGAGGACTTTCTGGATAGCTGAATTGTTTTATTTTCATTACTATTTTTTATACTCAAAAGGAGTAGGTTGTTTACATCTGCCATGCATATCAAGTCCAGCTAGTTTCAATTAAAATATTCATTACCTTTTTTCAAAATGACTTGAGATTCTACTCTAAAAAAGAAAAAAGAAACATTGTTCAGTAAGTCTTAGCTATAAACACAAACTACAAGTGAGTCTTCAAAAGATGTGGGTGGGAAAATAATGACAAGGTGGCGAAGAAGAGGGCCTCATGCCTCTGCTTTACCCAGGACCACATCTCCCACTGAATAAATGACCTTAAACTTTTGGTAATGTAGAAAACTCATTTATTTAGATTTACAGATTATTTTATAATAAATGGTTTCAGAAATGGCCTTTTGCTTCTTGACTCAAATAAGTAATTAAATTAAAGTTTGCCTTGATGACGAATATTACACACAATTCAAATGTGTTAAGCTTTACAGTATCACAATAAACAGTCTGGATGTAAGCAAAGTGACTATTGGATTACATCCTGCTCTGTCCTATGTGGTTTTAAAGATCAAAGGGGGAGAGGAGGCAAGACGGGAGGAAGAAACAGTGAGAGGAAGGGAAACGGGAGTGATGCGGAAGGGGAGATTAAAGGAGATGGGGGAGTAAATTGATAGCAAACTGGGAAGTTAGAGATGTCAACATGACTTGGTCGTGGTCAAGTCAAGAGCATATCTAGTTAGTTAGTTAGTTAGGTTGTTAGGTAGTAGGTAGGTAGGTAGGTAGGTAGGTAGGTAGGTAGTCAACAATTAGCAAACACAACTATTTGACTTTCTAGGATTTTAACCCAGATAAAATGGATCTTCTCCTGACACTTGTAGTAATTACTCCATCCACCAGGGAGCAGTATCCATGTATATAATTAAGACTGAGTATTTGAGGAAAGTACTAATACTATAGGAACTAAAAGAAACTAGAATGCATCAGATAATGACCCATTTGTTGTGTCTGATGGTTAAATATGATTGTATGTTCCAGTAAACCTGACAGGTGCATGTTTTTCTCTTTGTCTCCTCAGGGCGATATTCAACAGCTGGAAATAACAGATGATCTTAGAGTATTCGACAGACAATGTGAAGACAACCATCCTTTTGTGAGACACAAACAAAATCTTATTTTATATGGTAGAGTGCAGGTTATTGGTGCACAATGTCTTCAAGTCACGGCTTAAAACGGCCAAGCAAAAGAAATGTGATTTAAAAAAAGTGAAGAAACAGAATTTTATGAAGATTTTACAATATCTGAAGAAATACCTAGTACCTAATCACTGATAATTAGGTTTCAAAGTTTTCAACAATGATTCCATATCCGATGCAGGCCTCAGGGTACGGGAGCGGCAGCGATGCTCTAAATGACAGAGAGACGGAGGAAGTTATGATGAAGAAGGAACAGGGTAGAAAACAGATGGTATGTCTTTCATGGTGAACTGAAAATCAAGTCCTCCCACACTCTAGGAGTCAGTTTGACCCAAAACATCTGAAAATAAACATTTTAGATGCTTTGATATGTTGACGTTTGGTGTTTACTATCAAAACAATTTTTTGCATGCATGTGTATGTTAATAACAAGATAAAATCAATAAAGGTTTTTGCTTGTTAAATGTTCAGATAATTTTTACAGCTTGTTTTGCTTAGAAATCAGAATGAAAACATTCATTGAAATCTTTTTGCTGACATTCGTAAAATATTGTACATTCAGTGAATCCTGAACTGACATTACAGAACTATTGTCTAGATATTTGATGCTTGTGTAGAATGATTTGTCCAATTTGTCCAAAAATAAAAATGAAATTAAACCTGTTGCTTTTTGCAAACCAACAGATCCTCATAACATTATTTTCCATTTCTCTAAGGGGGAAGGAAGAGTTCCTGACAGAGCTCCGCCCACTGAGGCTCCAGAGGCGGAGCTTGATGAGTATTCAGGTCACATTACTTTAACAGCATCCAATGAGAAAAACCCATTAAAAGGTCAGAACAACAAAAAAAAGATAAATATAAGAAATGTATCTGCCTTTTCCCACTGGTGAATGGTGAAGACTTGACATCCCCTGTTATGCTCTGTTTTTGGAAATGGAGTCTGTGCATCAGAGATGTGGAGATAAGAGTAACACCTTATTCCCAACATGGAGTAATGGATTGTTTTAGGAGTCAGTTAATTATTACCAACGAAACATTTAGGAAAGTGACCATTAACATATGTGGCAGCAAGAGGAAAAGTGAAACAGCAAAAGGCGACACCTGGATAAACCAGATGTATTTTTATTTTCAACAATGACAATGCTCAAATTGTTTATGTGGAAGGAGCGGGGCTAAAAAAAAGCCAAATATTATGCTTGGAATTCATATTTGTATTTTATTTTATTTGTTGTTTTGTTTAATTTTTAATTTTTATTTTTTTTAGACAACAATCAGTAACTAATCATGAGTGTCTGCTGATGCTGCCAAAGAACATGATCCCTGTGACATAATTTAGTAGTATGATAGAATTTTTGTTTGAAATTATTGAATAAAGCTTAATCATGCGACACACTGTGTGCAGAACCACGTCTGACGGAGGAGCCAGGAGAAAGAGCTCTTGTAAGTTTGCATTTAAACTTTCCATCCATCCATTTTCATTCGTGTATCGTGGTCAGGTTGCAGGGGCAGTAGCCTAAGCAGGGAGGCCCAGACTTCCCTCTCCCCAGCCACTTGGACCAGCTCCTCCAGGGGAATCCTAAGTTGTTCCCTGGCCAGCCGTGAGTTGTAGTCTCTCCAGTGTGTCCTGGGTCTTCCATTAGGCCGTCTCCTGGTTAGACATGCCCAGGAAACCTCATCAGGGATGCATGCAGGAGGTATCCTTACCAGATGCAAGAGCCACCTCAACTGGCTCCTCTCGATGTGGAGGAGCAGCGGGCCTACTTCGAGCCACTCCCGGATGACCAAGCTTCTCGCTTTATCACTAACGCCGGGGACACACCGGCCGCGGAAGCGCCGAGAAGCGAATCGCTCACGAAATTCGGCCGCTGCTCGCCGCTCCTCAGTTCAGATCAGACGCGCCCCAGTCGAGGCGCGCCTCGGCTCAGCTGTAGTTTTTCTTTTAAACACTTGGTGTCCTCCATTTCATCTCTGCCTTTTCTCAGCTCTTTTCCTCTACGTTTCATTGTTTGCACGCGTGTGTGTGCGTGCGTGTGCGTGTGCGTGTGCGTGTGTGTGTGTGTGTGTGTGAACCTATGGTATGAGTTGTTTCTGCCAGTTGAATCTCTTGGAACCCGCTCCAATTCTGCAGCTGTATCCTAGCAGTTTCTTCCTAAATGGGTACGTAAATAAGCATGTTTTTCGGGGGTCGTACAGCTCCTTGTGTTTCTCAACTTCCATAATTAATTTAAAGTCATCCATCTTAACTGCTTGCCGCAGACTTTCTGACTCTCTGTCCTGTTTGCTCCGGTGAAAAGACACCCAAAACCACACCCCCCTTCACGCGGTCACACACGCACACAAGTTCGATATGTGTGTATGTGTGTGTATGTGCGTGCGTGTTCGTGTGGTTTTTCTGCAGTGTCTGATTACGAACACATTTGACTATTGCGGAATTTTATTTTGAAATGCTTTATTTTGTTAACTTTACCGGCCTGCCTGTTATGTCTACGTTCGACTTCCTGCCAGAATTGACGCGATTCACCCGCGGCTCGCGAAAAAAATAGAGCCAACGCCAAAATGATCGCTGCACGGCGCAGGCTGGAGCGCCGGCGCGAGGCGATTCACGGCGCTTCGGCAGCCCATGTGGTCTATAGAATAGCTTAACAAGGGCGCCGAATGAAGCCGGTCCCATTTTCGTGGTGCTTCCGCGGCCAGTGTGTCCCCGGCGTAAGGGAGAGCCCAGCCACTCTGCGGAGAAAACTCTTTTCGGCCGCTTTCTATCCACAAACTTGTTCTTTCGGTGAGGGTAGGAACGTAGATCGACCGGTAAATCAAGAGCTTCGCCTTCTGGCTCAGCTCTCTCTTCACCATGACAGACCGGTACAATGCCCGCATCACTGCAGATGCAACACCAATCTGCCTATCGATCTCACGCTCCATCTTTCCCTCACTCATGAACAAGACCCCGAGACACTTAAACTCCTCCACTTGGGCCAGGACCTGATCCCTGACCTGGAGAAGGCCTTCTACCCTTTTTCGGTCGAGAACCATGGTCTCAGATTTGGAGGTGCTGATCCTCATCCCAGCCGCTTCACACTTGGCCGCGAACCTACCCAGCAAGAGCTGAAGGTCAGAGCTGGATGAAGCTAGGAGGACCACATCATCCGCAAAAAGCAGAGACGAGATTCTCCTGCCACCAAACTCGACACACTCCACACCACGGCTGCGCCTAGAAATTCTGTCCATAAAGGTAATGAACAGAACTGGTGTCAAAGGGCAGCCCTGGCGGAGTCCAACCCTCACCGGGAACAGGTCAAACTTACTACCAGCTATGCGGACCAAACTCACGCTCCTCTGGTAAAGGGACTGAATGGCCCTTAACAGAAAGCCACCCACCCCATACTCCTGGAGCGTCCCCCACAGGGTGCCCCTGGGGACACGGTCATAAGCCTTCTCCAAATCCACAAAACACATGTGGATTGGTTGGGCAAACTCCCATGCCTGCTCCATCACCCTTGCAAGGGTATAGAGCTGGTCCACAGTTCCACGGCCAGGACGAAAACCACATTGCTCCTCCTCAATCTGAGATTCAACTATCGATTGGACCCTCCTCTCCAGTACCTTGGAGAAGACCTTTCCAGGGAGGCTGAGTTGGAACACACCCTCAGGTCACCCTTCTTAAAGATGGGGACCACCACCCCGGTCTGCCACTCCACAGAAACTGCCCCCGATGACTACGCAATGTTGCAGAGACGTGTCAACTATGACAGCCCTACCACATCCATAGCCTTGAGATACCCAGGACGAACCTCATCCTCCCCCGGGGCTCCGCCGCTGTGTAGTTGTTTGACTACCTCAGCAACTTCTACCCCCGAGATTGGACAGTCCATCCCCAGGTCTCCCGGCTCTGATTCCTCCTCGGAATGTGCGTAGGTGGGATTGAGGAGCTCCTCAAAGTATTCCTTCCACAGTCCGACTATAGCCCCAGTTGACGTCAGCAGCTCCCCATCCCCACTGTAAACAGTGTGAGCGAGTTGCTGCCTTCCTCTCCTGAGGCGCTGGACAGTTTGCCAGAACCTCTTTGGAGCCGATCAATAGTCTTTCTCCATGGCCTCACCAAACTCATCCCACACCCGAGATTTTGCCCTGCAACTGCAACTGCTGCACCCCGTTTGGCTATCCAGTACCTGTCTGCTGCCTCCGGAGACCCACAGACCAGCCACGCCCTGTAGGCCTCCTTCTTCAGCCTGACAGCTCCCCGAACCTCTGGTGTCCACCAGCGGGTACGGGGAGTTGCCACCAAGACTGGCACCGGCCACCTTGCAACCTCAGCTGGCAACAGCCGCCTCAACAATCGCAGAGTGGAACAAGGCCCACTTGGAGTCAATGTCCCCCACTGCTCCCGGGACGCGGTCAAAGCTCTGCCGGAGGTGGGAGGTGAAGACCGTCTTGACAGGTTCTTCTGTCAGGCGTTCCCAGCAGACCCTCACTGTGCGTTTGGGTCTGCCAGGTCTACGCAGCATCTTCCCCTGCCATCTGATCCAACTCACCACCAGGTGGTGATCAGTTGACAGCTCCGCTCCTCTCTTCACTTGGGTGTCCAAAGCATACGGCCGCAGACTACATAAATTAAAAGGATACTTTTATAAAACTTGACTCAGGACCAGCAACTAGGATATGGGGAAATGTTAGAGATGAATAGTTTATCCAGACTCTCGGATTTGGTTTGATTTCATTGAGATTTTGAATCTTATCATGTTTCGAATCTAGGGTCAGACCAGGCCCAGCTTAAAAGGAGAGCGTGGAGATCCGGGACCATCAGGTCCACCTGGTCCCCCTGGGCCCCATTATGTACTCAACAAGAAGCTTGGAACACCAGGACCACCAGGACCACCAGGAACTCCTGGATCCCCAGGACAATCAGGGAGAGATGGACTTAAGGTTTGTGTATGGAAAGCAAATTTGTCACATATGAACAGAAGAAGTCCCTCTGCATTGGTAATCTCATTGACAACCTCATAGACTCCTGTTGCTAAAAATGTTTTTGTCCTGTGTCACCTTCCACTATTCCCTGTTCTTTGTTGCAGGGAAGTAAAGGAGAACAAGGAGACATGGTAAATCATCCAGTTTTTGTTTTGTTTCTTATTTTATTTCCTGTTTTCATCCAATTTGATGGTCATATCTTTACCATCAGGGTCCGAGAGGTCCTCAGGGGTTTCCAGGTCTAGTTGGAAATGCTGGAGTCAAAGGAGAAAAGGTGCTTCCAGTTTTAAAATGTTTCTTTAAAGCCATCAATTCTGGTTTGGTATAGTAATCCATTTTCTTCCCCTCCTCCTTTAACAGGGAGATTCGGGAATTGGTTTATCAGGCCCACCTGGCCTCCCAGGTCCCCCCGGACTCCCAGGACTCTCTGGACCACCCAGATCCCGCAGTGTACCTGTGAGCAACATATTGCCAAATGGATTGTCCAACTTTTCTTTAATATGAAAAATAAATGTAAAAGCAACATCTTATTACATGTTTCAGTATGGACCAGACGCTCTAGGATCTGGGTTTGAAGATCTGGACGTTGGTGTTGATGTAATCATGGTAAAAAATGAAAAACAGACACAGATACAATAAATTTATGTAATTTAATTTGCACTGGGAAACTCAATGATTATCTTACACTCAGGGCCCTCCTGGTCCACCAGGGCCTCCAGGACCTCCTGGGCCCTGTGCCCCTCATTTGTCTTCAGCACTGATTCCTGGTCACTCTGAATCATTTAGCCCACCTGGTAAAGATGGACCTCCAGGCCAACCAGGAAAACCAGTGAGTTAACTCTTAGTTCAAGCTAAATTATGTATATAATTTAACTAACTGGTAAATGTTATCTTTTTAGTAGAAAACTGTTCAGATTATGATCTTTAAAGACCAAGTTCACTAAGAAACCATTTTTATTTGTTCTCCTTAAAATACGATCAGTCACTCTGATGAAAATAGCCTTCTACCTCTATTTCCTGCATTAGCCACTGATAGAAAGTAGGCTCGGATTGGAAAAGCCAGTGAAATTAGCGAGTAATAATGTCAAATTGTCATTCATGGACTCAACCATCTTGGCTCGGGACGGAGAAGGCTGTTGTTGATTTAGCATCCAGGAGATAGCAGAGCATGTCTCGGCTAACCATTAGCATTAGCAACTCCACAACACAGCAGAACTCCGTCGGGCTTGTGATGTTTGTGGAGATAAAACATCAAAGCAAATTCTGTCAGTGGTAGAGTCACGTTGCTGTTAGCCAATCAGAGCCGAGATGTCCAAACGTCAGGAAATAAGACTCCAAAACCTGCTGTCTTCTGCTCACCTCTCCACTGGCTCACTTCTAGATCCTGAAACAGGAGCGCCAGAGCTTTTTCCCACAGAGATCGGCTCACAGGGCATCTAAAGACCATTGCAAATGTCTCCAAAAACTGAGTGAACTTGATCTTTAAATGAAAACTAAACATCACTGTTCTGTGACATGAATTCCTCTGACACCCTTTTCATCATTCCGTCCTCATCTACAACTTTTGTCCTCCTTCCTATACCATATTCATCCATATTGTCCAACTTCCCAGCAATGTTTCTGTTTTCTGCTCTGTTGCAGATGTTTGAGGACTGGTTTAGTGGTTCTGGGCTTGTCAGCTCGGGTTTGGGCTCAGAGCTGACCTCAGTCCTCACGGCAGAACTCAGTTCTGGTGTCGGTTCTGATTTCAGTGCTGATTCCAGTTTGGGTTCTGCTTCTGGGCTCGAGTCTTCTGGGGGTTCAGGCGAGGTATACTGTCCTGGTTTGTGGCATAAACCAGGAAATGATAAACACAGCATTACAGTCAGATGAATGCATGAGTACTGAGGCTGTAATCTGTATCATGCTAAAAACCTTTGAGCTGCAATGAGTGTAAAACAAGATGCTTATGTTTAAAAGGTGATAAAAAAAGTCCACAGTGGCTTACTGTTTCAACATTTAGTGTGTAATCACATTACATTTTCTCCTAAATGCAATAACCAAGTATGGATGTGTGATAATACTAATCAATTAATACAAAAGTTTTTGCTTGCTTATTTTTCCCCCTTTACTCTGAATAATCGTTGAGACAATCAAATTTATTGTCACTCTTAGTTTTTTTTTTTTCACTTTAAATTTCACCCTAACAGAATAAAACATCAAAGCATGAAATTTCATTTTATACAAAAAACAGAAAGGGGCTGACACCAGGTCTACTATAGAAATAAAATCTTATGCATCTGTCTATTACAAGACATTTTTTTTATTTTTGCTGCATACCAGTTCTTCCTTTGATTTTTGATTTGATTTATTCAGTCAGAAATATAACAAAACATAATATAATCATAAAACATAAAATTTAAAGTGACTGAAAAGGTTCAGGCAGAAGGAGAATGCTTATATTTATGCCTGTCCTTTTTAACCAATTAAACAAATTAATCTACCCATTAACACATAAAATCTGTACAATTCAAGCAAAAAATAGAAAAGAAAAAGAAGAGAATTATACACATTTTAGTCAAATAAATCACAATACTCTTAGATTTACAACAGAACTTAATACACTCTTATTATCTTCAAAACCATCCTTTTAAACCACATAAATGTACCACAAATTCTTAAATTTACACTGGCATTATTCTATAATTCAACCCCCACCATAGATATACATTTCCTTTTCATTTCTTGTAGTGCCAAAGGAACAGTAAATTTGTTAGTATCTCTAAAACCATACTTTGTTTCTACAGAAGAAAAAAAAGCTTTGTATGCTTAGTGGAAGAAACGTTAATTTAGCTTTTTACATATTTGCATTATTTTATAGTAAACTAAATCATTACATTTCATGACATGTGATTTTACATAAAACGGATGTGTATGTGCCAAATAATCTGCCTTATTAATGATACATATTGTACATTTTTGTAGAACTATTGCAATAACTAACGTTTGATTAGTCAGTCCCCAGACCTCCACACAGGGTATGTAAGGTAGCATGAGCAGGGGCGCCGTAAAGCGGTGAAAGATTAGGAAGATTCTAAGGGCCCACAGCTGTTAGGGGCCCAAAAAATTTTCAAAGTTGAATATAAAAATAAATAAAGTTTAAAAATCACAAGTACATTACTTTGCTGTATTTTTTCTAATTTAAGACATTAAACAAACAATCTTTCAGTCTTTATGAAATGTGTATTTATTAAGAGGTCCCTACTTTATTTTGACTAATTAATTTGAATTTTATCATCAAATAAAATTTTAGAATAAATAAAACACATTTTAAGGGAGTAATAGGGAAAAGGAGATTAACACCTTTCAGCATGCACATTTCCTCCTTTTTCCAGCAGTGATATTGCTAATTCTGTCGAAGGAAATTCACTGTTTAATGAGAGACAGTTGGTGAAAATGATATGTAAATAAGTAAGAATGCATGTAGACCTACATAATTAAGCAAAACTGAAACACTAATATAAAGTATATGTATTATATATTTTTTTCTCCCTTCAAATCCGGGAAGGTGGAACCCCAGCCCCAGCTATGGACGAGCCCCCAGGGGGCCCAACTTGATATTTTTTCATGGGGCCCAAAATCTCTGGCAGCCCCCCTGAGCATGAGTGAACAATATGTAAAGTTGCATAGTTCAACATGTCTTGATTTGTACAGTTTTGCTATAATCTTAGAAAGTTTTCCTTTAATGTAATAAACATGCTGTCTCCATTTCATTTTATGATCAATAACCACCCCCGAAAATTTCATCCCTGTCACCCTTTCAATATAAAACATTACGTATTTTTAATTGATGTCCCTGTCAAGTTCCTTTTGATTACCAAATATCATAAATTGTGTCATTTTTAAATTGAGTAATAATCTATTAATATCAAACCAAGTCTTAAGAATTCCCAATTTTTTTATATTGAGGGCAAACTTTTCTGTAAATTATTACCTGAACAACACAAATTTGTATCATCTGCAAAAATTGCAAATTTCAATAAATTAGTGACCTTGCAAATATCATTGATATAAAGTAAAAAAAAAAGTTGGCCAAGAACAGATACCTGGGGAACACCACAGGTAACCATCCTACATTTTGACATTTTATTATTGATTTCTACACATTGCTTCCTATTGTCCAAATAATTTCAACCAAAAATAAGCCACTCCTCTTAATCTGTACTTCTCCATTTTTCCCATCCCAACAATCCCAACAATCCCAACAAAATACTCCTTTTCAGCTGCTGTGCCAAGACCTACACATGACTCAAACCTTATAAAATAAAGACAGAACATTTGCCATATTTACCACGATCATTCACTAGCAATCACATCATGTGTTTTCCAGACAGCTCTGTAATTTAGAGCCTTCTTGGTTTTTGTCAAATATGGTGGAAGTTCAGCAAAACATAGCTGAAAATAATTAGGAGCTGTTTTGTGGCCTGTTTGCTGTACAACAGAAGAAAAGAAAACATGTTAATTTCATGTAAAAAGAAAAATGGTACAAAGACAAAACAAATTGATGATCATTATATTTTTTTGAAAATCTTATTTATATTTAGGATCAGACTGCAAAATAAAGTGTTTTTGGTGTGTCTCAGCTCTGAATATGAAGCTTGCGCAAATTTGCATGTTTTTACTGTGTTTGCTCAGTCATACCTGTTGGAACATTGCTGTACTTCAGTCTTGAGTGACTTGTTTGAACGAATACATTCAGTTTTTTTATTGTTACAACTTCACTGTTCAGCAATAAGAAACTGCCAAAACTATAACATCATCCTTGCCTCTGAAGTTGCTAACATTGCTGTTTCCACATGTATTTTGGTGAATGACGATAAGCCTTTTAGATCTGCTGGTGGTGCATAACATCTGCATGGATGATCTTATGGTTTAGAGAAACTGACTTTCTAAAGTTAGTCTCTAAAAATGAGGTTGTTCCTTTGCTGTGACCAGCTGCTTTTTCCATGATGGGATGGCTTGGAGGATGAGCAACCTGGTTTACATTTCACTCGTGACTTCTTTTCAGCATGTATGTGTCTGTATTGTCTGTCCAGGGCCCTGCTGGGACGATTGGTATTCCAGGTCCACCTGGACCCCTCGGAGAGAAGGTGTGATCAGGTTTATTGATGTTTACCTCTAAAAATGTATGCCACCTGTTTATTTTCTTTTCCTGCTAAATATGGATGAGCTCGAGAATGATACAGACTTTTATAGAGTAAAAAAGAAAATTCATATTTTGTGATGGAGAAAAAACATTTAGCCAGAGCAGTTTTGGAATATTGAATGTTGATTGATTGCTTTTTGGTTAGTTGGTTGAGTGAGTGAGTGAGTGAGTGAGTGAGTGAGTGAGTGAGTGAGTGAGGAGTGAGTGAGTGAGTGAGTGAGTGAGTGAGTGAGTGAGTGAGTGAGTGAGTGAGTGAGTGATTTCTTAAAGAGCAAGTCACCCTCAAACTTTTCTTTTTGCTGATAAACTATATAAATCAGTGTCTACTCGTGCTGAAGACACGTGTAGTCAGTAATTTGGCACTTTAGTGCCTCCTAGTTAAGGTTTAAACATTCAGCCTAAAACTGTCAGTGTTGCGCCCCCTTCAGGTAAAAACTCAGCACCGCATTTGAATTTAAATCTGCCATTTCTATTGGCCAAGAGGTGCACTATGACGTTAGCTGGTACATTATGATGTCCCTATGTTGTTGTGAGCCTGAGTGTGTGTGTATTTGTCTGCCAGGCAACAGTATGTGTTGCATTTTTCTAAAAGGAGGTGGAAGTGGAGTAAGAGCCTGGTAGAGGGTGACTTGCTCTTTAAAGGTGATCCTGCAGCTGAAACAATTCTGATTAGAAGATTTAGTCTCCTTTAAGAAAACAAGATAACTTGTAGGATCCCAGAGCTCGTCAGCCAAACTGTCTTCACCTTTTCACTTGTGTTACTAATTAGCTAAGCCACAGCCCTGCATCCTACCATTATGGGCTTCTTTTTGATTCTATTGTCACTTGTCCTAAAAAGAGAACCAAAGGTGTAAAGGTGATCTCTAACAAAAATAAAGGTTCTTAATTTTTTCTTTCAGGGTGATCAAGGGGTGCCTGGACCACCTGGACCAAAGGTAATAAGGAGACAAGAAAACACTGCATAATCAAAACATGCTTTCCCAAAACACACATAACTTTAAAAAGGTCGTTTTAATAATGGTGATAGGATTGGCCTGCTTGTTTTTGCCTCTTCAGGGTGAAGGTGGATCTGTGGGCTCTTCAGGAGCTCCTGGACCCCAAGGGCCAATCGGTCCTCAAGGAAAAGTGGGTCCTATAGGTCCGCCAGGACCTCCAGGTCCCCCTGGACCTCAAGGAACTAAGGTCTTTGTAGAGGTGACCCCAGTTTATATGAACACTTGTTCCTGCAGTTTATGCTAATTATATACCGAGAAATAAATAGATGATCCACAGAGCAAACAAAAATATTTTTGCAAGACTTAAGTGTTTAAATTAAAACATGTCATGAAATTATACATATGTATGAACTTATCTTCCCATAGGATCTGGAGGGATCTGGAAAGAGTGACATGTTTATAAATGTTGGCAGAGGCACACAGGTTGGTGCATAAGTGGATGTGTTTAATGCACTTTTTGAGCTTTTACACGACAGGAGGTCTACAGTAAATGTTTCTGTTTTGCTCTCTTCAGGGCCCTCCTGGCCTACCTGGACCACCGGTAATCACTTCATATCTAGGTGTACTTGATACTTGAGTCGTTGTGTATTTAACAATGCTTAACACTAAATTGGTTGCTGTAGTCCACTTATGAACGTTTAGTTTCCTTATCTTTTATTGCTGCCTGGCGTTTCTTTCTTGTGTTGATTGTAGGGTGAAAGTGGATCTCCTGGACCACCAGGGCTGTCTGTTAAGGTCATTTTCAACATATTTCTTTAATTTTAGGGTGTCTTATGTATTTCTTAAAGTTTTCTTTTTCTTTTCATATTCTAGATGTGGTCTTGCTGTCATTTTGGCATTAATGCAAAATATTTAAATGTTGTGTAAAACCCTCATTTTGGTCTTAATCTGCACATTGTAGGGTGAACCAGGACAGCCAGGGCCAGAGGGTCCCAGGGGGCTTGCCGGAATGCCAGGCATCAGGGTGAGCATCAGCTTTTATATTGTATGGTTTAAATTGGGGTTTGTCTGACGTCTTCAGTGTCTCCGTTTGTTTACTCCAGTCTAAACTGAAAGCTTAAACTTGGCCCCTCTATACTCACTGTTTCATTTACAGTGATTTATTTTATGTAGACTTGTAAGTTAAAGGCCAGCATAAATTTTAATATTCATTCAGTTCTGAATGGACCTCTGTTTGCTGATGAGTTGGAAATGAAGTGCACTTATAGCATTATCAAAAAGCATCTTACCTTAAAAGTTCCCAGTCATGTACACACTCAACTAATCTTTATTGTTGAAATGAAATTTGTTTGTATGTCTGTAATGCGATTGTTGTTTTAGAATTATATGTTTTCAGTATGTTCAGTGTTAGTTTTTCAGCCTAGGGACTACAGACGGAAATTAGCAACTATGCTATAAGGTGGCTTGTTTAAGGTCTGTACATAAGCACTTGACTTGATTATTCATTAATGTGCATTGTCCTGAATAAATAACCCTGCTGAATTCAAAGGCCACTCTCTGTATGAATGTTCTGAAAACTGGAGGGAACTATTGGGGTGTAGGCTAAAGCTAATCAGTGAGAAACCTGATTGCTTGTTAAACCAAAGAAATTGAAGAGTGTTGGATCTGGTATTTAATTACATAAAGTAAAACAATGATTTGTGTTCTCAGTCCTCACATTGTTTTGATTTTCGGTGACCCTAGTTTCTGGGATCCACGGATGACCTCTTTCTTATTCGTTTTCTCTTTCCATTTCCTCATATTTTTAAATAAATCTTTTAACTTTTACCAATTTTATGATGTTTTTTTATTCTTTTATTATTTTTTTTTTTGTTTCAATTTTTGCCTTATGAGGCACTTCACAAAAGATAGTTTCTTCTGCTGCTGCTGCTGTTGTTGCTTCTCCATCATCCGGAACAGGATCAAACCAACAGAATCACAAAACATAGGAAAGGAAAGTTAACAGAGTCCAGGGCTGCCAACTTTTGAACATTTCAAAGAGTGAGACGGGGTCATGGGGTTGGGAGCGGACAATTTGCCAATCGTTTAGAGCGGTGGGGGGGTATTAATATTGAGACTTTTTGCGCTCTACATTTTATTTATTTATTTCTACTCTGTACAGAAGAGGATTAGAGCCACTCACAAGAAAAAAAAAGAAAAGATGAGACTTCTTACTTTTTTCTCAGAATTCTGACTTTTAATCTAATCTGACAGGGAATTCTGGGGAAAAAGTCAGAATTCTCTTTTCTTTTCTTCTGTTCAGTGGCCCTAATCCTCTTCCGTACCTCTGACTTTACAGAGGGAACTGACCCTTGTTGAATACAAATTTTCTTTTCGTGAGGAAACTTCAGCATCCACCTCTCCTGAATTTCTTCACAATATCTATCTATCTATCTATCTATCTATCTATCTATCTATCTATCTATCTATCTATCTATCTATCATCTATCTATCATCTATCTATCATCTATCTATCTATCTATCTATCTATCTATCTATCTATCTATCTATCTATCTATCATCTATCTGTCTATCTGTCTATCTATCTATCTATCTATCTATCTATCTATCTATCATCTATCATCTATCTATCATCTATCATCTATCATCTATCTATCTATCTATCTATCTATCATCTATCTATCTATCTATCTATCATCTATCTATCTATCTATCTATCTATCTATCATCTATCTATCTATCTATCTCTCTATCTATCTATCTATCTATCATCTATCTGTCTATCATCTATCTGTCTATCTATCTATCTATCTATCTATCTATCTATCTATCTATCTATCTATCTATCATCTATCAATCTATCATCTGTCTGTCTGTCTATCAGCAGTAAAGAGTTACAGGAACTTTTAATTATAAATAATGTAAATTTTATTAAATTCCATCTAGGGGTGGGCAATATCATGTCTTTCACAATATTACCAGTTATTATTTCCTGCCAAGAAAAAAAATCTATCATGATAAGCTAACTTCATGATGTAATTGCATCCACTAACCAGAACTTTCTGAGCTGATCATGACTCAGTGTAACTATGATGTTTATTATAATAATGCAAGAAATAATCATCTTAATGATATTTTAACGTAAAACATTCTAAAACAAAATTTTCAAGGTTTATTTATTGGTTGTCTGTTGGTTCATATGAAATAGATTATTAGTTAGTTAATTTCAAACTTCATTATTTTTTCTCTAAACAGGGGCAGAAAGGAGAGAAAGGCAGTCTGGGGACCAAGGTCTGTCACTCATAGCATTAGCACTTGTTTGGTATTTTCTGATTGCCGTCCCACGCTCTTAGATTTATTTATTTGTTTGTTTGTGGAGGAGGCGTGCTTATTTACTGTATTAATGATTGATCATGTGTACTGCAGGGTGACCGGGGTGCTGATGGAGTCAATATCACAGGACCACCTGGGCCTCCTGGACCTCCTGGACCTGGTGTCAACATTGAAGATGTAGGAGAACACAAACAATGAAGAATGACTTATAAAATTACATTTAAGTTTGGGACTTCACTTAATGTAGAAGCGGATTTTTTTTTCAATTAACATATTTTTCAAAATAAAATGTTTGTAGAGAGTTATTAAAGAAGTTTGTCATTTTGAGATGAAATGTAAAATTTGCGTGAATGCCTAAACAAAGGTAGAGTTAGATTGATGCAGTGATACTGATCATGTGTTCTGTCTGCAGCTGCTTTTGAATATGACAACAGGCCTCTTCAACTTCACAGAGATCAGAGGTCCACCCGGTCCTAGGGTATGTAACCCTTGACTTACTGATGCAACGGGACCCAGAGTTGTACTGTGTTTTATTGTCTTCGGGGCGACGGTGGCACAAGAGTTCAGTGCTCGCCCCGTAATCGGAAGGCTGCAGGTTCGAGCCCCGCTCAGTCTGTCGCTGCCGTTGTGTCCTTGGGCAAGACACTTAACCCACGTTGCCTGCTGGTGGTGGTCGGAGGGACCGGTGGCACCAGTGCTCGGCAGCCTTGCCTCTGTCATGGGCCATTCCCATCTGTACCGGGTCGGCCCGGGCCGGGTAGCCTCAGTCGGCCCCAGCCTGGCCCGGTTGATTCCACACATCCTTGCCTTAAGCCCATGTGGGCTGATTCTACCCACCAATCAGAGGCTTGCTCTAATGGAAGGTGTGAATTTGCTGTCAGCAGTGGGTGTGTTGGCCCTGGTCGGCCTGAAGCGGACCCCCTCGAGAAGAGGGCTGAGAATGAGCCTTGGTTGGCCCGGAAAAGTACCAGGCCACCCAGATATGTAAACAACCTACGCTACCTGGCCCGGGCCGACCCGGTACAGATGGGAATGGCCCATCAGTGCGCCCCAGGGTAGCTGTGGCTACATTGTAGCTCATCCCCACCAGCATGTGAATGTGTGTGTGAATGGGTGAATGACTGATTGTGTTGTAAAGCGCCTTGGGGGGTTCCCGGACTCTAGAAGGCGCTATATCAAATACAGGCCATTTACCATTTTTTTATACAGTGAACTATTAACATTAATGACAGCAGCTTTCTGAAGCAGATCACATAATACAGAACCAAACAATCTAGAACTTTTAGTTTTTTTGCAGAGTTTCTGCAGCTGCTGCTTTGTTATGCAACTGTGTGTTTGTCAGAGAGGACCTATGACAAAGCCTGATTTGTTTTACCTTTAGTCTCATGGTTACATGAACAAATGTGTGTGTGTGTGTGTGTGTGTCATCCCAGGCTGTATAGGGGGCCTGGGGTAACAAAGAGGACGTATGTTCCGGTTGTCAAAAGGTTAAAGATTGTTTAACACAAATGGACTAATTGGCTACAACAAAATTAATGAATTCTTTAATTTAATAAATTTGAATTAATTAGCCAATACAAAATAAAACACACCAAAAGAACATCAAAATTAGAGACTCTCCTGCTTTAGATAGTTCTTCTTTACAAAATCACTAGTCAGGGACTCCCTTGCACACAAAACACAAGATGGCTGAAAAACGATAGTAAAAATGAAGCACGTTGAGGAGACAACAGATCAGAGACAAGCGGATGAGAGCTGGGTGGCTTTTATGCAGTGGGTGTTTCTCAATGTCAAGGCGCCTGTCCTCACAAGGCGATGTCTTGCTAGGTCAGGCGCCTTGCTTACGGGACACTGTCCTTCCTTGGTCAAAGAAAACAGTTAAACGGAACAGACTTGCGTCACATGACAGCGGCAGTCAGGTATGTTGTTTTTTTATACGTATAAGTTTCAACTAGGGCTGCTCGATTATGGCAAAAATAATAATCACGATTATGGTGACTGAAATTGAGATCACGATTATTTAGGACGATTTTTCAATTTATGTTGATTTTATTTGTTTTTATTCAGTCATAAAATTGCTCAGGGCACAATCAGGACAAAAATAAGAAACAAGATGATCACTAAAATAACTCCTGATTCCCAGTATAAAAGACCAATATACTTATAGCTCATAGTTTATGACCCAAGGGCTATAGACCTTGGTTTAACTCATTTAAGTCTAACCAGTACAGACCCAAATACCAATATCTTGCAAATACTGACAGCAAGAATTATACAGTGGCATTTATAACAAATAAATGCAAATAAATTGATGTTCACAAAATGTTGCATAACATTTATTGAGTTGTGTCAAGGTGCTGTAGGAGAGTGCACTAGCACCGTGTCCTCAGAGAGATTAGTTATTATTTATCAGCGTGAGGAAGTTATTTCTACCTTATTTACAAACTATTTATTTACAAGTCCATCAGTTAATGTAATAATTGTCCCAACCACAGCTGCACCCCCCACCCCCCAACCCGGTCTCACAGCAATCGGGGCAAGCTGCACGTGTGTTTAACGCGCCGCACGCGCACATTTAGCTGTTTTTAGCGGCTCAGGAGTCCGCAGGTGCGGTGTGTGTGTCACTCACTCTGGTTACTCCAACAAGGAGCAGGGCGGCTCCGAGAGCTGTCTTTAGCGACCGACACATCACTACATCATTCCCTTTCCTAATGTCCTGAAGAACGGTCCGGAGTGCAGGCGGAGTGTTTAGCTAACCTGCAGGAAACGTCGACGATAGTTATCCAGAAAGTAGCTAAGGGTTACCAGAGATGTTTCTGAGGTGTTCGCTAGGTACTTTTAGGATTAAAAAGTCAAGAAGGGGGTCTGAAAAGCTGTTAGAAATAGCGTCAAAGTCGCTAAGTTGGCAACACTGTGGAGGAGCGCTTCATTTGCAACTCAGGGCAGCGAAAGCGGGAGGAGCAAATAATCGGCTTGTTTTGTTTTTTATAATCGTTCAAAACTCAGATCGTAATCGTGATTAAAATTCGATTAATTGAGCAGCCCTAGTTTCAACACAAATATATAATGTGCCTTTTACTTTTTAAATTGTGTATATATTGGTTAAATTAAATATGTAGGCGAGGTAACGTTAAGGTCCTATTAGTTGTCACACACACTGATGTGTGTGCGAAATTTGTTCTCCGCATTTGACCCATCCCCTGGGGGAGCTGCAGACACAGCTGTGCTCGGGAACCATTTGGTGGTTTAACCCTCCAATCCAACCCCGTAAATCTGAGTGTCAAGCAGGGAGGCATTGGGTTCTATATTTTTTTAAAGTCTTTCGTATGACTCGACCAGGATTTGAACCCTGAACTCCCAGTCTCAGGGCGGACACTCATACCACTAGATCACTGAGCTGCTACCTGATAGCCACCGAAGCTGCAACTGCTAAGCAACTATCCAACCATAAATAACTTCTTTGGATATAAAAAAAATACATTTTAGATATCAGCCCAATAGCTACAATTAGTTGAATCACATTTAAACTGGAAATTTTCCCTTGAAGTAGCTGCCGGCTCCTGATCCGCCATCCTTTTGAAAATACTGCACTGTATTCGGGGAAATTATTGACCAAGACCAGGCTACAAGGCACCTCCTGTGTGTCCTTGTCCAGCTAGCTAAACGGCTAACAGACGGAGAACAGATGCCGTGGTAGCTGCTAATTGTCATTGCCACCAGCTGGGAGCTTCAGTGTGGAGTAGGGGTTGTATGAACTAGTCAACCTCACTGCTCTGTAGTGACTTTTTATGCTTGTCATCGACTAATCGCTGTCATGTGATAATGACCGGCAAGATGCAGTCCTCGGAAAAGACAGCAGGTGACGAGCTCCTGCCCGTTGGGAGGCCGTAAAAAGGACATTTAACCAAATTGTGACCTTTACCCTATTACAATTTAACCTTCCCCTCACCCCCATCCTAACCTTCACCAGCTGGCGCATGCAAAGCTCTGATTGTTGATGCGCTCCAGACATCTACGTCCTGAGCATGGCCACAGTAACGTTATCAAATCAGGTGTTGCCACCTCAAAAACAAATTTAACACGCGATCGTTCATGTTGGCTCATTTCCTTTTATGTTTTCTGTCTTTTATTTGTGCCTGATGGGTTTCGCTGCTGTGGAGCGGGGCACATCACCTTGTCCTCCGGTGACGCACCTCACCGGTGCGGCCGGCGCACACCCCGCTGTTTTTGCGGTTGGTAGATCTTTTAGAACTGCAGTTCAAAGGTAACTCATAAGGTGAATATATATGAACCCAGGTAGCAGTTTTTCTTTAGGATTGAGAGGAGATGCAGGAAGATAATAAACAGACAAGACAGAAAAATAGTCAAATAAAAACAAGTTAGTTTTTGTACCTGGTGGTTGCAACAAACAGACACAATTGAAGGTAATCAGAAGTGAGTAACAGAAAATGAAATAATTATTTTAATGTTTAGAGCAGCAGCAACTCTGAGAGGCTGCAGGCTCACCAGTGAGTTTACGGCCGTTGCGCGGGGGAGGGGGGAGAGGGCTGAAGCAGAAACTACCGTTGTTAAAATAAGTCTTTAATTTTGAAAATGTGGGCGCAATTTTAATTGTCAAAAAAACTCCAGCGAACCAACCAACCCCCCACCCACCCACCCCGCTGCTTCAGGTGTATGACATCATCAACGACTAGTAAAGTCGACTCGATTTTCAGTACTTGACAGTCGACTTTAAAAAAGATTTAAGTCACGCAACCCCCTAGTGTGGAGCCAGAGCCAGACATCTCTCACACAGGAGGGGTTAAAACTGAGGAGTGTGAAGTGACATGAAACACACAAACAGAACCAGTCATAACTCTGTGTGTGTGCGTATTTTGCAGGGCCCTGACGGTTTACCTGGCAGAGCTGGATTTCCTGTAAGAACTTTTTCCATCTTTACTGTATGCTGAGTATTTGTACTTCCAGATAATCTAGGTATACATATTTGATGTTCATGACCAAAACATGTAACTCAAAGTCAGTTCACTGCTTTTCCTTTTACAATTTGAATAACTTCTGTTAGCCTTTTTCATTTCACAGCATGATCACAACATGCCCTATAGGTTAACAATTGTATGTTGCTTTGGATAAAACTGTCTGCCAAATAAATGAACAAACAAACATTTCTCATTATCTGGAAGCTTTGAGCTGCCACCTAGGCAAAATAAAAACTAAGCTATGTGATGTTCTAATGGGAGAACTTGATTGTTCTAACATTTTCATGTTTCTATTATACACTGTCAAGTTAATAGAACATAATTTTCACATTTGAAACTTATGATGTAATTTGGTTTCAATATAAATATTATGATGTAATAAAATGCCAATATTTTGTTGTGGCGTGTGTTGAAATGGAGGGGCGGATGGGAGCCTGCCATGCTGCTAAGTTGACAAAGAAGTATCTGATGGTGATCACAAGCACCGAAAGTGCAGTTGCATTAATAAAGAGTTGTGGCGCTCAAGCTGAGAAGTGTGTGTGTGTGCGTGCGTGCGTGCGTGCGTGCGTGTGTGCGTGTGTGTGTGTGTGTGTGTGTGTGTGTGTGTGTGTGTGTGTGTGAGACCCTGAGTGGTAGCATGGGTGTAGTGTTACACTGGCATAAATGTGAAATTTACATTGTTTGTACAATAAAGTTTTTAGGTTATTAAGACCTACCTTTTATTATTAGAACATCATATACATTTATCTTATAACATAATTTCTCATTAGTCTAGTTTAGTAACATAGTTGGGACATTGGTTTAAAGGCACAGTGTGTGATATTTTCACCTGTTTACAATCAAATCCTGTTTCCATTTCACAAATTTGTCCTTTTTCACTAATATTTCTCACCAACATCAATTCTAAATATTCCCCTCAACTTCAAATTATACATTTTTATATACATAAACTGTGGTCGATGCTCCATGGTCATCCACCATCTTAAATTACAGTAGCTGTTTAGGGACATACGAGCTCCACGTTACCAGTTTGGACTATGACTGTAACCTGAAAGAACCAGCAGAGGGCAGCAGTGCGCCCTGGAAGCATGGAGTCTGCTAATTCAACTAAGAAATAGAAAAGAATAGCTACTCCGTTGCTGTACTTGTTAGTTTGAATAAAAAAATTAAATCAAAAGACACAAATTTTGTCAGTTCACCATCATGTCCAACAAAAGGAAGCCGCATATGTTCTGATCCCCGCCCGATATTATCTGGACGCCAGCCTCTGGTTAGTGTGTCTCTGACTCCCAAACTCACCTTAAGTTGTTCATCTGTCTTTTCGTAGTACCAGAACTCCCGATCCGGTCCCAACGTGTCAGTACCAGAACTCCCGATCCGGTCCCAACATGTCTGTTCCAAAGTCCTTCTACTCAAGTCTCCTCTCTTCCCGCAGCCGTCTCACCCAACACGCTCCAGTGCTAGCCAGTAGCTAAATCAGCATTGTTTACTTGATCTCCACAACACTTTACTTACAGCGATGTAGTTCTCCAGGCATTACTGAGACGCTCCGACTCAGAGGGCTTCTTCTCAAACGTTACCTTTAGACTTGGGTCTCCTTTTGCTGGTAATCCGTGGGAGTTTACACACAGCATACACATCATCTCCCCGGCTCTAGCCATGGTTAACTAGTAGCTCGGTAGCTCATGACACCGATCTCCACCACACCAGCCGTGAGCCACGATTAGCTGGTGGATAAGTCAGCATTGTTTACTTAATGTCCAGCATGTCCCCGGCTCACGAACACTCCTGAACCAGCCGTGGTTAACGATCAGCCAGTGATCGCTCCATATCCATATAAGCTGGTAGCGGCAGCCAGTTTGTTTACATCGAGCGGTGCGCTCCGTGATCCACATGAAACGGGTGTTGTGGGAAATTATGTCCCCCTGAAATATTCTGTTTCCCTTAGGCCAGGGGTCGGCAACCTGTTCCCATCAAAGAGCCATTATTACCCGTTTCCCACAGTAAAGAAAACACTGGGAGCCACAGCAGCCGCGGCGGTGTGGGCAGGGCCTACCCTCAGACAGCAGAGAGCTGCTTTAACCAATCACAACAGGTGACAGCAGCCGGTACCGGTCGCTCGTGTACGTCAAAGTTATCTTTCATAAGACGATAACCAATAAAACGATTTATATAAAGTGGATCCAGAAGTTGTAGCCCGTCTCTGCCTACAATATTTTGATATTTTTCACCCTGTTGGTGGTTTTACTGAGCAGGTGCCACTTTTGTCATATGTTTCTTTTTAAAACATGTTTAGACTGTTCAGAATACAAATCCAGGCTCTGTCACGTTTGATTGTTGTAATTAAACTTTGTAGGTGGGGAAGGTCAGAAAAGGATCCGATCAATTTGTTTTTCCCTCATTTACAGTGACGGAGATAACGGCGCAGTGCGCCTGGCTCTGGTGTTAATCAAGTTAAATTATATCTCTTTGCAACAATTTTCACAAGAAAACAGAACAGTTAAAAGCAGGGCATGTGTTGTGTTGACCGGATAGTTCCCGTATTTGACCGTTTATTTTGACGGAGAAAGAATAGAAAGAGTTACCCCGACGCATGCAGATGAGCTGACATTTTATTCTACGCACATCGCAGATGTAGCTAAATCACTCAAGAAAAGATTCCCATCTGAACATCTGAGCTGGACACTGCTCAGCGCAGCTCACTGTCAGCGCGTAAGTACGGTGCACAGCGAGCTGAAGATGTGGAGAGGGGCTTGGAGCGCGTCGCAGAACCAGAGCGCATGCAGGAAGATTCCTCCGACTGAAGCGAGACTTGTCACTTAGAAAATGTTCCCTGATTATGAAACTTTGGCTGAATAGTGCTTGTTCCTGTCTCCAATGTGGCGACACATCCAGGAGCCGTCTGAGGAGAATCCCAGAATCTCACATCCTCGTCAGCTCATAAAGCGCATATGATTACGCACAAGCATGACCCGTCAACCCGGTCTCACAGTAAGACCGGGTTGCAACTGTTCAGGTTTACGCAGACAATCTTTACATTTAGAATTGGCATACAGATGTAAAATTAATGCAGTAAAATATAAAGCATTTTATTTAAATATCCATTCATTATTTTACAAGCACAGAGAGCCGCATCAGATGGATGGAAGAGCCGCATGCGGCTCCAGAGCCGCGGGTTGCCGACCCCCGCCTTAGGCAGTCAAGAGCAAATATTCCAGAATATTTCAGGGGAACACAATTTCTCACAACACCTGACCTCCCAGCTAACGTCGCCCCTCCTCAGTGTGTGAATCGTGACCACTTCAATAACAGAACTAGCTTGGTTCCTTCAGGACCGGTAGGCTGATAAAACAGTCATGATTATAAATGCTTTTTTAAAGAGGTCGAGTAGCCTGTTTTAAGCTTTGTGTGGGTTCGGCTACACAGGTTTGAAATTGATTATACAGTCAAACTCATGAGTGAGCCACCGTAGCTGCAATGCTTTCTCTGAACTGCATGGCGCTAAAGAGTCGCATTTTTTCATCATGATTTCAATGGATTTCACACACGGGGCCTTCAAGCTAGTTTTTAATATTTCTTGACTGTCTCAAATTGAAGCCCTTCATTCAGGAGTAAGTATGCAGAGCATGGTGTGAAAAGCCATGCTGACCATAGGGAGCCTATTGGGCCATTCCCATCTGTACCGGGTCGGCCCGGGCCGGGTAGCCCCAGTCGGCCCCAGCCTGGCCCGGTTGATTCCACACATTCTTGTCTTAAGCCCATGTGGGCTGATTCTACCCACCAATCAGAGGCTTACTCTAATGGAAGGTGTGAATTTGCTGTCAGCAGTGGGTGTGTTGGCCCTGGTCGACCTGAAGCAGACCCCCTCGAGAAGAGGGCTGAGAATGAGTCTTGGTTGGCCCGGAAAAATACCAGGCCACCCAGATATGTAAACAACCTACGCTACCCGGCCCGGGCCGACCCGGTACAGATGGGAATGGCCCATATGTCACTTCCGCACCATGGGTCCCCGGAAGAACGAAAAAATGAATGCAAGTCAATGGGGCAAAAAACGTTATTTTCTAATCCGCTTTACCTTACGCCCTGGATCGTACATGTGTTTCACTGCTATTTTAAATGATAAGTAATGATGTGTGTTTCAACCACGCCAGTCACATACTTTGAGATTTATTAGCTTGTAAAAGTTCGTTAATGGCTCAACTACAAACTACAAATCTGCACGTCGCATTTGTGACGTCACCACATAATCTCCTCTCCCCAAAGTAGCTGCTACTTACCAAATGACCAGATTTATTGTGGTCCTTTCCTCCTGTGGGAAGTTTGCTGAACTTACAGCCATTTTTCATCAGTTTTCTCCGTGTCTGGTTTGATGACATCACGTTTGTGAAGCGCGCTTGTAGTCCTGGACTTATTTTCATACAAAACCCAAAACAGTCTTCCCACTGTTCGAAAATAAGCGCGTTCTTGGTATCAAAACGCATCTTTAAAATTCACAGACATCATATGTGAAATCCATGGCACAAAACAAGCGGAATTAGAAAATAGCATTTTTAGCCCCATGACTTGCCTTCATTTTTCGTTCATCCGGGTACCCGTGGTGCGGAAGTGATTTAGGCTCCCCATTATTAACCACCATGTGGGGGTCCACTTCAAGTCAATTCAGTTTATTTATATAACACCAAATCACAACAGAAGTCGTCTCAATGCACTTCCCAAAGTAAAACATTCCAATTCAGTTCAGTTCATTTTGCTAATTAGTCAAAAGTTTCCAATATAAAGAAACCCTGAAGATTTGATCGAGTCACTGACTTGTGTCAGAGTCAGAGACTTTACAGCAATCCCCAGAGTAAGCTAGCATGTAGCGACAGTGGAGACGATAACTCCCCTTTGACCTGGTTCGCTATGAGCAGCCTTCTGCTGCACACACACACACACACACACACACACACACACACACACACACACACACACACACACACACACACACACACACACACACACACACACACACACAGCTTTCGGATCAGATACATTCTTCCTCCTCCCATGCGTTTTAAGGTCCTTCTCAGTTTACGCGTCTTTATTTCCACACTGTCCCGGCTGCTCAATAACAGTTAAATCTCTCCGTGCCACAATCCAAGACTGAAATAGAACTTTTATCAGTTCTGATAGACAACACATTTTCTCAGTCGCTGATCTGCACTAACCATCATCAACTTATTTTTGTCATAATGAAAACTTTATTGTTCAAACAGCATCATTTTCACAATTATTCAATTTCTAATATTTATGTTGTAAGATCTTGATAATAGCTTGTTCGATTGTGATAGATATGTGTGGATGTAGTAAAAATGTGATTTACGTTCAAATGCAAAAACGACATGCAATAATACTATAACATGGTGCTTTATTGTACAAGCATGTTATCAAGTTATAACGTAATACAACTTAATTTTATTTTTCCTGGGTGGCAACTCAATGATTCCATACTTTTACTTTGGATTTCATGAAATGAATGAAATTCTGTCCCAGGGCCCAAGGGGACAAAAGGGAGACAGAGGCCTTCAAGGAATCCAGGGGCCAGCAGGGATCAGGGTGAAAACTCAAATTCATACCAACTTGTCTATAATAATTAGAGTTCATTAGTACATATATTCAAAACACAATTTAATTGCTTTTTATTTACTCTGACAGGGAGAAAAGGGAGAACCCGGGGTTACTATTGCTGCTGATGGATCCCTTCTGTCTATACCGAGAGGCCGTCAGGGGCCCAAAGGCCCTAAGGTACCAGAATAGTGACTTTTAACTCCTTAATGGATCCAGTTCTTCATGCACCAACTGATGACGCTCAGTGTAATGTGTTTTTAGTCTCCATGTAGCAGATTTATCTGGAATCTCCTCTCATGTTTTGCTGTACGGATTCATATTTCCTCAGGGTGGCCGTGGTTTTCGAGGTATTGATGGACCTATGGTGGGTTTACAACACTTAAAACAAGGATGTTCCTTTTCTTGTTTACATATTTTAGGACTGAATTTGTTGTCTTCCGATTGTGCTGTAACAGTTTTTTTTTTTTTTGTTTCAGGGACCAATGGGACCTCCTGGTCAAAAGGGTGAATATGGTTTTCCTGGGCGCCCTGTGAGTACTTGTGTACCAGCTGATCGATACTGTGCAATGTTAAAGTAAAGTCAGGAACATATGTATTGTTTTTACTTTCTTTGTCTGCAGGGGCGACCTGGTATACCTGGAAAAAAGGGCGACAGAGGAGAATCTGTCGGCCTGCCGGTAAGAGGAACCCACCTAGAAGGATTGTAATGAATAAAGCATCAAACTTTTTTTTAAATCACTATTTATTCACTCACAGAGGTAAATATTTCTCTTTTAGGCCAACGCTTTAGTGACTTCACCGAACTCACAGTTGACCTCATCTCATTCACTAATATATCATTGTGTACATGTGACTTAAACTGGATAAGAACAGTCAGATCAAGGAAAATGATGTTTACACAACAGGCTGACCTCTGATATTTGTTAGAAAAGATATAAAACTTGTATTTGTTTGCCTTTAATACAAATAATGAATATGCTATTTTCTTCTTCGTCTCTTTTTCAGGGACCTCCAGGACCTCCAGGGCCTCCAGGTCCCCCAGGTCTTCCAGGAAAGATTCCTAGACTCGGTGAAGTAAGTATGAGCAGTAAATGTTGTACAATCTAACTTTCAAGTTTGAACAATATAATATGATGTTCCTACAATACACATATGTATGACAATTGTACGTGTTGTACAATTGTCATACGTATGTTGTATAGTTCATATGAGAATACTATATTGCAAGAACATGATAGTATACTGTAAGAATTTGACAATTATATTTTTAGAACAATAAGGTTATCACGTTACAATATGATATTTTATTTAGCGTGCGGGGCATCTCTGTTTCCATACATTGTGCAATGTCTGTTTTTCTATCATTTTATTGGTTATTACATTTTCTTTTAGTTGTCTTTACTGTCATTTTCTGCAAACATTTGTCGGAACGTGTGGAATGAAATAAACTGAAGTTACATAACATGAGTTGAACAAATTGTGCAAAACTTTATTTATCCTGCACAGCATCGTAAAACTATCTAGAGGATATCAAATTGAGTTTGTTTGTTTACAAAACTTAACTGACTGTGGTTTCCTGTCACGTAGAAAAGGTTTCATTTAGGTCAGTGAAATGATGACCGAAAAAAGGTGATGCACAAATGTGATAAAAGAAGTGTCAGATGAGTTGTGGCGCCTTTTTCATGTAATGGTTTTTATATATTCAGTGGTGCATGGTGGTGATTTTAGAGTTTTTACCATTTACCCAGTCAAGTGGTGGTTGAAAACAAAGCTGATCATGCTGCTCTTCTTTAAATCTCTAAGACGGTGTTCCCGGTGCGCCCAAGACCGCACTACAAACGGGGACGAGTAAGTCTGAGTCGGACCATCTGGATGATCCATTTCAGTTGGATATGGGATCATCTAGTGGTCTGGGTGGTGTGTGGGTCACACAGCATGGCAGCTTTCTGGTCTTTCCTACAAACAAACCCTTGTTCCCTTTCTGTTTTTACCCCTCGTTTTTTTCTCTTTGTGGTCTCTTAACGGGTGACTCAAATGTGGATCTCCCTCATTCCATCTCACTTTGACATTTGTCCTTGATTAATGCTTACAATTACTTAAATTAACAACAAATTCACACTTTATTTTCTGATTTCAGAACCACAATAACCTGACAGTTTTTTACGTACAAAGCATTAGGACAAACGTAAATGTCAGATGTTTTAAATGAGGTTTGACAGAATCTACTTCCTTCCTCCTCATAGGATGAGGATTCCTCAGACAGGAAGCAGGAAGTAGATTCATCCTTTTAGCACATGTACGGCCCAATCCCAATACTCGCACTACGCCCTGCGGTCTTCAGCAAAGTGCATTTGGAGAAAGTGTGCAGTGAGGTTTCCAGTGCGTGGTACACAAGTGTGCAAATAATTGCCAAACTGAGACGGGGAGCATTGCGTCATCGATCGCAACATATGCCGGGATGCAGGTCACTGTGATACTTTTTTTTCAAAAACCTTTATTAACAACTTTCAAACAAACAACCAGTTATTTGAAATAAATGCACATTCATTGCTGCTTTGTCTAAAACATTCAGAGCATTAACTCATCATCCTAAAACAATCTAACTTCCCTAGAAAATGCATATTTTCAAAAAAGGAACTTGAGCTTTTTCTCCCGCAGCAATGGATTGTGGGTAATACACTTCACCCAAGTCCGCAAGCGATGCGGACTTGGGTGAAGTGTGGATCAAGGGTGCAAGAGGGGCGTGATCAACTTCCACACTTAAGAATCGGGACACTCTACACACTCGCATCCCTGGTTGGGATCGCACAATTGCAGGGTGCATGTGTGGACGTGTGAGTATTGGGATTGGGCCGTAGATCAGAGCTGGACATGAGCAGTGACTTTAAAATCAGTGAATTTTTTTAATTAGAGCTACTTCAAAAACAATTTAATTTTCCATTACTAAGACAACATCATCTCTGATTTACTCATTGCCAGGTGCACGAGTGAGGTTACTCAATAGCCTTTCCTTTATTAGTGTTCTGTGTGTGTGTGTGTGTGTGTGTGTGTGTGTGTGTGTGTGTGTGTGTGTGTGTGTGTGTGTGTGTGTGTGTGTGTGTGTGTGTGTGTGTGTGTGTGTGTGTGTGTGTGTGTGTGTGTGTGTGCGCATGTGTGCGTGCGTGTGTGTGTGTGTGACGTTTTTTTGTTAAAGTCCAGTAGACTGGTGAAAGGAATTGAAAGTGATATACGTGTAGGCTTCTTGTAAGACCAGACTCAAATGTATTAAAATAGGAAGACAAAGGACAATTTCAACTAATTTCATTAACCCAGATTAGTGCTGTTAAGCTGCTTCATCCCTGTGTTTTAACCTCGATAATCGCGCGTGGCTTCTTTATGTTTAACAGAGATTTGTGTTTTTTATTTTTTAAAGCTGACAGCAAAATAATCCTCAGGCATGCTACTGCATTTAACACATTTGTGTGTGTGTGTGTGTGTGTGTGTGTGTGTGTGTGTGTGTGTGTGTGTGTGTGTGTGTGTGTGTGTGTGTGTGTGTGTGTGTGTGTGTGTGTGTGTGTGTGTGTGTGTGTGTGTAGGAAGCCCTGGGAAAATCGATGGGAATTAAAGGAGACAAAGGGGATGAAGGGATGCCTGGAGAGCCAGGAACACCTGGTGAGGATTCTCTTAAACACTCGCTGACCTGTGGCCTTTGAATTACCCGTGTCTTTAATGTTCAAAATACTGCAACATAATAAAAATATTTTTATTCCTTTCAGTCCCTGGTTTTCCTGACGGCTTTATGGTGAGTGTTTTATCTCCCATCACACATTAGTAGCTGCAGAGTCGGAAAAATGTTGTCTAAGATGAATAATAAGATTAAGAGTTTTTACTTTTTATTTTATGAGCATTATAGCCACCTCAGAAGCTGGGGAAGGAGTGTATCATGCTATTTTACACTTTCCAGAGCAACGATAAGCACAATATATGGTAAAATATTGCCATTGGCGCAATTGAGATGTGATTTTTATGAAATACAAGTTATTTTTGTGAGCCGTTCCTTCAAAACCAGAAATCAGATGCTTGCATTGCATGAAATCCCGTCTCCACCCGTGTGAATTCCACTGATTTCACAACACATCTCTGGATCCCCAGAAAAGCAGTTTTTGCAACATGCATGCCAGCAGGGCGTTATGAGGAGCAACTGGACATTTGCCAATAGCCTGGCTGCTAAACTGTTCCACTCGGTGATTACCGAGAGCTCACCCCTTCCTGGAGAATTGTCTGTCGGTGATTGAGCCGCTAACACACACACGCACCACTCGGATAAAGAAAAGGCAGCTGAGATAGTAGTGAATTCTTGGCCTGAATTATTGTTGCAGTCCATACGTCATGCTAAGCTACCAAACTTAATTACAATTCAGCTAGCATCTAGCAGTTAGCATTTTGGGTGTACTCACCTCTCTAGCCTAACCATTGGGTGCTTTTAAAGTTGCACCAGTTTAAATAAAGTATCTATCTAAAAACCCACTCCAGTACTGGTGGGGTTTAAGTCTGTGAAATCACTTTCACATTCTGTATCCGGTTTGGAGAGCTGCTGAAGATAAAACCCCACCGTTTAGGCTAATGAAATTATTTTATTAAGGAAGACTGGCATTATTGAAAGTGCAAATTAGATTAAAAAAAAGAAATCACATCTTTACAAATGTGGGGATTAAACTCCCAGCTAGCTACTCAGAGAGCCTGCGTGTGAGTGTTTACAGTCCGGTGGAAGAGGGATCAGGATTCAACACTACCTAGATGGGTGGGAGTGGTGCAATGATGACGTAAACCCCATCCAGCCAACTGCAAGTGCTTAATAACAACTTAAGAAATGACAATATAATAATAAATAACAATATAACAGTCAAATGCTCCAAAATTGGATTTGACATGATATAGAACCCTTAAACTAACAAAAAAAGTACATGCCATAGGTTTATTTACTGTAACAAAAAGTCATTCCTGAATTTCCTGATTTTATTTATTTTCTTTGCCCCATCAGGGAGCTAAAGGTAATCTGGGATCTAAAGGTGAGAAAGGAGAAATGGGTGAGCCAGGCCAGCCTGGTCCACCAGGACTCCCAGGAAGATCTGGACTAGTGGTAAGTTAGATTAGACTGACTAGATCAGGGGTGCTCAAACTATCCAATATCAGGGCCAAAATTACCGCGTTGAAAAAGTGTTATTTTTTATTAAAAAAAACTATGTTCTGATTTATTTTATTTGTACAGCTTAAAACACACTTCACATCAATATATATCTGAACATGAAATAAATATCAATAAATAAATAAAAGGGGTTAAATGGTCTGTATTTGATAAAGTGCCTTCTGGAGCCCAAGGTGCTTTACAACACAACCAGCCATTCACACACACACACATTCACACCCTGGTGGTGATGAGCTACATTGTAGCCACAGCTGCCCTGGGGAACACTGACAGGTGCCATTGGTCACTCTGACCACCAGCAGCAGGCAAGGTGGGTTAAGAGTCTTGCCTGAGGGCACAATGACAGCGACATACTGAGCGGGGCTCGAACCTGCAACCTTCTGATTACGGGGCAAACATTTGACTCCTGTTCCATCATCGCCCCATTGATCTACAACATCTTTCCAGGTCGAGGGCCACAAATGGTCCTTGGGCCACACTTTGGACATGTCTGGATTGGATGTTTCCGGATCTTCTCTGTGTTCATCAGAGTTATAATTTGAATTTAACAAAAATCTGCTGTTTTCTACTTTAGTGAATTTCAGAGGTGTTTCCCAGCTCACATTGTCAATTTAGATGTTTTGTTGTAGCAGTCTTAGGTCATTCGATGACTATAATTATTATTTTTTATGTGTGCCTTTACTCAAGGATTTTTACAAATTGACAGAATACTCCAATGATGTTATGAAGTTCAGATTATGTGTTTATCAGGGTGATGATCTGATATTTCTGTAGGGTATTACTACATACTAGAATCACACTGTTTGCTATCAGTTGTAGATCCTGAGAAAAGATCCAAACGAGTCAACAATGAAGCTTCTATTATATATAAATATCTAGGATATTATATACATAGATAGAAGTTCATACACCAACCCATTTGGTCAATTTTTAATCCAAAGATTAATGTTTAATTTAAGATAATTAAATTTAATAGCAAAAGATCATTTTTGAATCAGAAGTTAGGAATCTTTGCTTTTTTCAATAACCAGAAATATGTGTACCTTTCTGTGTTTCATTTCAAAGAATGAGGCAAGTTTAAAAATGAAGAATTTATATTACTAACAATTTTAAACTTGACGATTTGAAACGACAATTTAAGTGACAATTAAAAATGACAATTCATGGATGACAATTTAACAGCTTTGATATTAAACTTATTTAAAAGGCAAACCTGTAACTGAATGAAAGCTAAATTGAAAATACGAGTTTGGATGCGTGGATGAATTCTCAGAAGGTTTCTTTCAGAGAGAGAAGCGCGCTCTGGGTTGAAATGATGGTTTTGCAGCTAACTGAGTCGTTTACTTAGAGAGAAACGCATCAAACACAATCTGTCAGAATGTCTACCTCACCCAGTATAGAAGACCCCCTTTTTGGATCCGTAGTCAGCAGGGCCGGATTTAGGAGGTTGTGGGCCCATGGGCTTCAGTCAATTTAGGTGGCCCCTTTTTTCAAAATTGTTGCATAGACGCACGCGCGCGCACACACACACACTTATAATTTTACTATATTATCTTAAGGACTACAAATCGAAACTTTTTTTAGAGCGCACATCTTTAATAAACCAATTCACACACACTACAATAATCCTTGAATGAATAGATTTGCATTTTATAGAAAGAAAACATTATTTCAACTTTGGCTTCTAAAAGCTGTGTGAATCAATAACCTAACATTAGGTAGGCATTTACACATTGAACATTTTAATACAATTCAAATTCTGCTTTTGCTGTCAAATCACTTAAACAAAAATAAACAAAAGGCAAAAGCGCACTCATCTGCCACTAAGACAGAAGACTGTGCTCAAAGCAAAAGATGGATCAGGCAACCAAGCTCTTTCACTCATTTGTCAAAGTTTTTAAAACCCATCAGCATTTTGACAACATGCTTACTTTTCTGGATTTTTTGGCAGCAAAGTCCTTGACAAGATCACTGAAGTCCAGCCTTCTCACTATATCACTCTCAATGGACATGAGAGTCAAACTATTCAGTCTTTCTTGTCCCATTGTTGATCTGAGTCTGTTCTTCACTATTTTAGGCTTAGAGAATGATCTCTCACCACTTGCATTTGTGACAGGGAATGTCAGGTAAAGCCTAAATGCAATATCCACATTCGGAAAGATGCTCTGTAGGTTTTTTTCTCAGATTAACTGTAAAAGTAATGGAGCAGAAGTGAAGCTTCTACTCTGAATAAAATCTTTGAAATGGACAATCTCCTCTACAAAGTCCACTCCAGATCGGCTCAATATTTTCTTTGGAGATTAGAGGCTTTGTTTCGTAGTTCTTGGGCAGTGACATTAGAAAGGCTGTTCAGGAAGCCAAACGTGTTGTTGAGGTTATCATATGCAGTAGGGCTGCAACAACGAATCGATAAATTCGATGAAAATCGATTACTAAAAGCGTTGGCAACGAATTGCGTCATCGATTCGTTGTGTCGCACAACTCTTCCAAAAGCGCCCCCCCCTTCCCGCCCGCCGTTGCGCGCAGACAGATCAGCGCGAGGGAGAGCCGGCAGTTGTTTGGAAGAGGAACATGGCAGAAGCAGCGAGAGTCAAGAAAGTAAAAGCTTTTTAAGTTTGGGAGCATTTTCAGTTAAAACAGGCGAAGACGTTACCTGCAACGTTTAGGTCAGACTTAGCATGGCACGGGATGATGCAGCGTCTTAAACGCAAGCATGTCGGGATCATCAGCGAGGAAGGAGAGAACTCTGTGTCCGGGTAAATTAAAAACTTTTCAAAAGTGATTCATCCAAGTCCCGGATTATTACACAGGCTAGACATGCCCTAAACTCGTAAAAAAAGGGTCTAAAGTCGTGAGCGCGACGCTTATTAGATGAGCGGGGGGGGGGGGGGGGGGGGGGGGGGTGGCTCGCGCTGCTGCGAACCGTTTCCGCCCAAGGCCGGATTAACTGGGCAATTGCCCAGGGCCCACGAACTCTAAAGGGCCCAGGGCACGAGCAAAATACTGTATCTATAATTTCCCGCTTTATGAGGACTATGGTGGTCCGTTTTCCCCGGACGTGTCCACTTTTCACTCTCTGTCCGTCGCGTCCGGACTGCGGGTTCTTGTATTGATGAAAATGTCCGGCTTTTCATCCAGGAGCAGGGATCGAATTATGGGGGAACTGTATATCCTACACATCCGGGGAGCCGGAAAAAAGTTTTCTATATTATATCATTTTTGGACTCTTTTGAGCAGAGAGCGGCACAGCGCGTTGTTGTGCAGCTCTCCAGGCAGCTGCGTCCAGCGCACGGTCCATTCTCAAAGTGGCGCAACCAAAAAACTATAATTAGCACACGATCGTTCATGTCTGCACATGTTCTCTATTTTCTGTCTTATTTGTGCCTGCAGCGCTCTGCTACTGCAGAGCTCATCACCTGTGCTGCGGTGATTTCACCTGACGCAGCATCGAAAACGCGCTCTGCGCTTTGCGGTCAGGAGATCCCTTTGATCTGCTCAGAAGTAACTGATGAGGTGAAAAAGTAAGAATCCAGGCAGCAGTTTTTCTGGAGAGTTTAGAGGAGATGCAGGAAGATGAGAAACAGACAGGACAGGAAAATAGTTAAATAAAAACAACAAAACAAAACAAAGTGTTGAAAAGTAAAATGTAGGTAGATTTATCTCCACTACACGTTTTTACCTATAAAACAACAAGTTACACACATGTAATATTTATAAATTTGATACTATTCAGGTCACCTTCAACACTCAGTCACACACCCAGGGCCGTTTCAAGACATTTTGGGGGCCAAGGCAAAATGCCCCCCCCCCCCCCCCCCCCCACACACACCATAACTGGGCTCCCCAGAAGCCTCTGTGTAATCCATACCCTCTCCAGTAGTGTTAGTTATATGGTGTTTATAAAAGCCCCTCAGGCATTACTGACATGTTCTAATATTATCAGATGAAAAACTAAATTATCAGACATGCTGTCTCATCTGCTTCTTTTCTAAACTTGCAGAAAGTAACAAAACCATTTGAAAGCCACTATTTGTGGATTCTCTGAAAGTTTCCATGGAGTGTGTGACAACTTATTTTTTCAGTCATTTTTGGAAATAGTGATCAATTTTGATTAATTCACAGCCTATGTTTAATTACATTTAAAAATTAGTTGTTTGACATCCCCAGTTATAATAAATGTCTACAGATGAGATCAAACAAAACAGATGAGAATTGCCCTTAAGCTGTTTAACTGGACCAAGCATTTTAGGTCACAGATAGGTGTAGCTTAGGGTCTCTGTCTATACACCTTATAAGACAATTTAGGTGATGGCATGTTGTTTTTCTGCTATTGAACTGTTTTCTAATAATGTTGTGTTAAATAAAGTGAAGGAAGGAGAGAAATAACGTTTCCCTAGCAGTTTTTAAAAATTTCCCCACGTAATCCGATTAATCGTGTCGAGACCCCATCCGATTCATCGATTATCCAAATAATAGTTTGTTGCAGCCCTAATATGCAGCATACCTGCGATCCATTTCAGCAAGTAGTCTATCAACAACCACCAAAAATACACTTGTGGAGAATTTGTGTCTCGCTGACTGCTCCACCTCTGAAGTGGTGGCACTTTCTCCTTTTGTATTTGCTTTCTTTTGTCTCTTGAGTGCTTCCTTTGTAAGCATGTGAAACTGTTGGAGACAACTCCTTTGCTTGCGACTCAAACCTGTCAAACTGATCTCTCAAACCTCCAATGTAGTCCCTCAAGGATCTTACCAAATCCACAGCTTTGCACAAGTCTAGCTCCACAGCCTGCAACGCTACACTTGCCTTTTCAAAGCCCTGGAGGATGAAATGCCACACAGTACACATGATGGCAGTTTCAAGTTTGTCCATTTTTTTATCAAGTGACCTGGCTTCATTTCTAGTTGCTGCATTGTGGTTAGTGTCATGTACATTATTCTTTAAAGATTTCTGAATGTTTGCATAGTTTATGCATATTGCCTGTGTGGCACCTGCATGCGCAGCCCATCTTGTGTTAGAAAGTGACTTCAATGTTTCAATGCGCTTATTAGCATTGGGCTTGAGTCCAGCTGTCACTATGTTCCACCGTGCTGTTGACTTGGAGCAGAAGTTAAAAAGGTTTTGCACAAACTGGAAAAAATCAGCTGTCTCAAAACAGTTAACACTGTTGACCCCAACCAAATTCAGTGTGTGTGCTGCACATGGAACCCATTCAACAAGGACATTGACTTCTTTTATACATGCCTGTAGTCCTGTATACACTCCTGACATGTTGGCAGTATTATCATAACACTGCCCCCTGCAGTTTGCAATGTCAATGTTCATTTCTCCCAAAACCTTGAGTACAAGCTCACGTAAAGCTTCCCCTCTATGGCTCTCTATGGGAATAAATTTAAGAAAGCGCTCCTGGGAGTGCCCTTCAGGTGACACATATCTCAGAATAAATGTTAACCGATCAAGGTGGGAAACATCTGGTGTGGAGTCAACAGAGATCGAATAGTATTTGGCCATGTTTACTTCACCGACTATTTCAGACAGAACACGATCACCCATCAGTTGAACAAACTCTTCACATATTTTAGAAGACAGACATGAAGGTGTCCCTGCACCTGCATTTCCATATTTCTCTATGTGAGACTTCAAAAAGGGATCAAACTCGCTGATTAACTCCAGAAGGCCCAGGTAATTACCATTATCAGTCCTGCCAAAAACATGACCAGATCCTCTAAGAGCAAGTCCTCTCTCTGCCATAAACTTCACAACAGACACAACTCTTCTCAAAACTTCAGTCCAATATGCACTCTCAGATTCAAATTGTTTTTCCAGCTCTGTATCTATCCTTCCAGCAGCTGACCCAAATGTGATATATGTTAGCATAGCCTTTCTGTGATGTTCACTGTTTTCATGCTCTTTCATCCGTTTGTGGCATGTTTCCAGTCACTGACACCAGTTTCAAAGCACGATTTGCTTTGAGCATCACTGAAAATGCAACATGCAAAACAAAACACAGCTCCGGTAGATGGAGAGTAAAGCAGCCACTGTCTTTGGACATACTCACCATTGGCGAGTCTGCGTTTAAAGTGCAGTCTGGAGAAGAACCGCTTCTGCTGTTTGTACACTCGTCCGGACGCTTTACAATTTACGTGCATGTGTTGGCAGCTCTGCGGTCCTCGCTCAGCCCAGTAGACACGCACAGATGCATCACATTTTCCCCAGCAAGCTGGATCCGTACTGTAACAAGGTTCATCCAAAGTTTCAATCCGTGGCCCAGACGCACTTTCGGTCGCAAATTTTCCACAATCACTCTCCGATGGGAAAAGATAATCCATGGAGGACGTGGTGGTCTCCGACGCCTCCAGGTCGAGCGTCTCTGCTGCCGCGGATTCAGCCGCCAATTTTCCACAATCACTCTCTGACAGGAAAAGATCATTCGTGTTGTTGGACGTGGTTTTAGCAGGTGCCGTCGGGTCCGGCGTCTTTTTTTCCTCTGCCGCCGCAGATTCAAACGCCAGGCTTCCATATTCTCTCTCCGGCGGGAAAAGATAATCCATGGTGGACGTGATCTCAGTAGGTCCCCCCGGGTTCGTCGTCTTAGCCTTCTCTGCAGCCTCGGATTCTGCCGCCAATCTTCCACAATCATTCTCCAGCGGGAAAAGATAATCCATGGTGGACATGGTCTCAGCAGATTCCCCCAAGTCTGGCGTCTTTGTTTCCTCTGCAACTGCTAGAACATCAGCTGGCCGAACTGCAATGCTGCTAGCAAAGCTAATGTTTACAGAATGCAAGGAAGATCCTGCAGCTCCATCTTCGCTCAGTGGTTTAAAAAAACCTGTTAGCTTTGGTATTTTCTTAAGCACCTCTTTGTCGCGTTCCCCCTTTTCCTTCTTCTTCTTCCTTTTCAGCGCTCCACTGTTGTATTTTCTGGGTTTGTCCGCCATTACCATAGACTGTGGCCATTACAAGGCACTCACTGTTCACGCTGCCGCACACTGGGGTGTGTCAGGCTGCAAACGCCCACCGTGACGTAAAGAGTGAAAAAACTCGGACCAATTATAAGCAGTCATGACTCATGATAGATGTTTGCCAAAACAAATCCCAGTGCTTCTCAGCTAAATGGTAACATCTTGTTAGAGAATTATATACAAAAATAAAAATGCGTTTTGGACCGAGGGCGGGGCCTCCAGCACGCAGGGGCCCAGGGCTGTAGCCAGGGGCGGATTTAGGACTGAAGAAGATCCGGGGCTTAACAAACGCACACGCACGTGACACGCACTAGTCAACATCATTTATATATGTCTTGTACCACATAATTTTTCATCTGAAGCTACATATTAAGCATATTCAGGGCAGAGTATTGTTCCTGTTAGTGTTTAGTGTGAGATGATAGTAAATATTCCCTTTCTTTCTCCAACAACTTTACCTGAAAGTAAGCTAACTTTAGGCAAACCAGCAGCACAACAAATATTTTCAAATAAGACTCACAAACCTGAGTCAACACCAGTCTCATCAAAGCTGGGGTTCTGTCATTGTACTTTTGGTCTAAAAAAACGTCTTTATGTCCATCTTCACTCATGCGTTTCAGGCAGAGAGTGTAGAAGAAGACGGCTGCTGAAGGGCTTCTTCTTCAGTGGTGGAGGCTCAGGCAGGCTGTATACAAACTACTGCCAGCTGCGCCCTCTCTGTTGGACTTTGGTACTGCATGTTACTTCCGCGATATAGATCCGGGGCTTATCATGAAAGATCCGGGGCTTCAGCCCAAGTAGCCGGGCCTAACGCCGCCCCTGGCTGTAGCCCAGGTGAGCCCATGCGAAAGTCCGAGGGTGCCGAAGTGTCAGGTGGAGATGGTTTCCTCCAGACACGAGGTTGGTAGATGGACCTCTGGTGCGACCAAATCGGTCCTGAGATGTCTCCTTGGGTCACTCGACTGGTGGAACTATTTGCGTCTCAAAGTCACTAACTCTGAAGGAGTTTTTTCATCAGCTGGTTACAGTTGCGTTTATTCGTAGCTATTCTTATCGGCGAGATAGAACAGCAGGTGGAGGTTAGGGACGGCCGTTCCCGTATCCTCAGTGATGGTGGTTGGTTCACGAACTGAAGTTTCTCTGCTGGAAAGTTAGTTTAACAAACCCCTCAGAACACGCCCTCTCAGAGCACGAAAGCTTTGGTCATGAGTCAAAAAAAAACATGTGATGGCAGTTACCCTTTACTCTGGATAAACTCTGTGTTAGATGGATAAAGTGGAAGCTGACCTTCTGATTTGCTGAACACACATTACTGATCATCAACCATAACCATAATTATACCCAAAGCATAATAATTCATTTCAGTAATTAAAAATACATTTATACTGAACCAAGTGATTCTTTATGATGATTATAATAAACCTCAATAAAGTCAAAGAGTTTATTAAAATTATTATTTAAATTATTATCGTGAACTGGGACGGAACAGCAGCAGATAAAGGATGGTATTCAGCAGACATCAGGACTCCTCGATTAATCTGTGGAACTAAAAGTTACAGTCTGACTCATTTGGCCCAGCTGGGAAAATGTGACCTTTGTCACAAATTAGAGGCCCTTCATGACGCTACATTTCCTACTGAAAGACCCTGCATGATGCTGTTTTTGACCTTGACATCACAACAGCATATTTCATGATCAGTGTCATCATTTGAAATAATACAACTGTTTATGTGTTTGTGTTTTCAGGGTCCAAAAGGTGAGTCCATTGTAGGTCCTCCAGGTCCAGTAGGTTCTCCTGGTCTGTCTGGTGTTCCTGGGTTGGGACAACCTGGACCTCAAGGGCCCCCTGGGCCAGCTGGACCCCCAGGACCAGTACTTGCATATGAGTCAGGTGTGTGTGCTTGTAAGAAAGATACAAAACAATGAGGTTGTGCATTTGTTTGTATTTCTTGTACGTATTACTTTTATTTTGTCATCAGGTGTCAGTATCCCTGGTCCTCCAGGTCCTCCTGGTCCACCTGGATCTCCAGGTTATGCCAACCCGGTAAGGTCTAGGTGGAAATAAACTGATTTAAGTGCTAAAAAGCTTTACTGATGGTGTGATGGTGTGTGATCAGGTGATGACCTTTAGGACAGTCCAAGCTCTGACCAGACAGATGCAGCACGCTGTTGAGGGGACCTTGGCGTATTTGTCAGAGGCAGATGGAGAGCTGTACATCAAAGTTCAAAATGGCTGGAAAAAGATCCCGGTTTGTCAGCGTCCATTCTGTTGATTATATCTCAGCAATTAAGATGTGTGGGGGGGGGGTGGGGGGTGGGGGGTCAGAGGTCAACCTGACATTATTTATGAATATATGTTGAAATTCATGAAAATAGACTCACATCCATTCAGGGACATAGTGTCGATCAATTAATTTAATAGTGTGTGTGTGTGTGTGTGTGTGTGTGTGTGTGTGTGTGTGTGTGTGTGTGTGTGTGTGTGTGTGTGTGTGTGTGTGTGTGTGTGTGTGTGTGTGTGTGTGTGTGTGTCAGCTTAGCAAACTGATCCAGTTGGAACCTACCACATCGGAAGCATCCCAGTCCCTCAGCAGACCTGAAGACTGGAGTAGACATCAAAGAGTTCGCAGCCAGGTTCATTCTCTCTCTCTCTCTCTCTCTCTCTCTCTCTCTCTCTCTCTCTCTCTCTCTCTCTCTCTCTCTCTCTCTCTCTCTCTCTCTCTCTCTCTCTCTCTCTCTCTCTCTCTCTCTCTCTCTCTCTCTCTCTCTCTCTCTCTCTCTCTCTCACACACACACACACACACACATACACACACACACACACACACACTATAACTGAACAAACATGTGCTTTTGCAGGGAATAGTTGATTGTTTTTTATTTAACATATTCTCCTTTAGGAACTGCAGGACAGCGGCAGAGGCTATCAGGCCAGCTACAATGTTCCTCTTCGATCCATCAACTCTGTACCTAGTGTGCGTTTAACAGTCACACAAAAATCCTCTCATGCACACACACAAATATCTGATGTGAATGATAATCAGCTCAGCAGTAACCAAACTGTGACATCTCCTTACCTTTGCATCCATCTTATTTCAGCTCCATCTGGTGGCCCTGAACGCACCACTCAGAGGGGACATGCGGGGGATCCGTTGGGCTGACTTCCACTGCTACCAGCAGGCACGCTCAGTGGGGCTTACCTCCACCTACAGGGCTTTCCTGTCCTCACACCTCCAGGATTTGGCAACCATCGTGAGGAAGGCAGACAGCAATCATTTCCCTGTGGTCAATCTGAAGGTGAAGAACCATTTATAGTTTTTCATTAAACATATTTTCTTGCACAATAATTGGTTTTGTTTGACTTCACTATGGTTACTCGTTGTAATGTTCCAGTTTCAAACCCATGTTGGTGTGTAAATGATTGTGTTTCTGCTCCCTTCAGGGTGACGTGTTGTTCAGTAGCTGGGCGTCTATCATATCTGGTAGCGGAGGCATTTTTGATCCCTCTACACCCATCTACTCCTTTGATGGACGCAACGTGATGACTGATTCAGCATGGTAAGTAGGTGTGAGCAAGTCGGGAAAGAAAAAATCTGTGATTCCTAGAGCCTAATGCAAGACACGATAGTCAAAATAATAAATGTTTTGATTGAATTAAAAAAATGATATAAATAGACCCTTTTTACTACCTACGTCATCAAAAGTTGCGCTCGCAGCCTGGCAACGAGAGTGAAGGCTTCCTCATTCACACTCGATACTAAAACAGCGTTTGAAACCCTTTGTTTTGAAGTTATGAGCACATAAAAATGTCGGGTTGTTGCGTGTATGGATGCCAGGATCGCTTCTCTTCAAGCAGTGGACTGAAACTTTACAGAATTCCGAAGGGAGCACATCCATTTCAACAAAATCGGAGGCGTCTGTGGCTGCAGGCCATCAAAAGGGTGACTGCAGCCTTTTCTGTTTTCCCCATCCTAACACAAAGCTCAACTTTGAATAAAATTGCTGCTGCGTGGCTGCAGCATGACCCAAGTCTGGAACATCAAAATGACAGAATTAAACAAATTTATACGCTTTATTTAATGCTTCAAATTAACATTTCATTCTAATTCATCTGTATTTTGCCACTGCATATTAGTATAAACTGTATTTCTCTAAAATTAACACGATTGTACTCTGAGCACGCTAAAAAAAGAAACCTATGCTGTACTCACCCTGCCATGCAGGTACAGTTGGCTGTGAAGACGTAGTTCTCTGGTTTGTTTACTATGACCCAAGCCTCGTACATAGCAGTCTTGTGTCCTTGTCTTTGGCTAGGAAGGACTTCTGCCTTCAAGACGCAAAACTCAGAGTCTATGTCATGATATTTTACTTTCTGTACGTGGCCACAGACAACATAGTTGTATGCATCTAACGATTTGTATGCCCGTAGCTTCTCACGTGTGTACTTACTGGGCCTCTCCACTAAAAACGTATACATATCGGGCCACTGGATATCTGGCCACGCACCGACATCTTCCACCCATTCCGTAATGCCACAGGGATCCGGGAGTCTGTTGCCATTTGTTAAAGTGAGTTTAATAATATAACATTCAAGATTTGCCGGTGATAACCCCGCAGCGTAGCTTGATAAAGCCTGAAACAACGCCATTCTCTGATGCTAAGCTGCGCGCGCATTCTCGCTGACGTCATATTGTTTACAAACAGTAAAAGGGTCTATATGTAAAAAAAAACAGTTTTGAACTGGAACAACAGGTGAAAACATTTGTGGAGATTTAATGTTTATCTGGTGGAGATCAGACACTAAGACTCTCCTCCTCCTCCTGCAGGCCAGAGAAGCTGGTCTGGCACGGCTCCAGCCCCGCGGGCATCCGTCTGACCTCCAACTACTGCGAGGCGTGGAGGACGGCTGACATGGCGGTGACAGGTCAGGCCGCGCTGCTGCAGACGGGCCTGCTGCTGGGACAACACGCCCGTTCCTGCTCCAACCACTACATAGTGCTGTGTGTAGAGAACACATATGTATGAAATCCCATCAAAGGAGGACCTGATCACACACACTTACATTAACACACTAACACACATGCAGGCATGTTGAATGTGGGGTAAAAACAAAAACTGACACGTTTGGGGAACACTTGAAGGCACATAAAGGTGTTAAAAATAAAAATAAAACACGATTCCATACACATTTACATTGTTTAAATGTTTTTTCTCTCCAATATTTTAGTTCTCACCTGAATACAGGTGTGAGAGGGCAGCTTAAACACTAGCCACACGTTTGTTTGTGTTTAGATGTCTGGTAGTTGTAATTTTTTAAGTAAATAAATTAGTGATGCACCGATATGAAATTTTTGGGCCGATATCCGATATTAAGATCACTGTTATGGCCGATAACCAATATTTGCCGATATCGATGTACTGACATTAATGCTTCTAAAATCTGCAAATTTTGTATAGAATAAAATTTATTAAAGCTGAATTTACGTTGTTATGTACACACAACACACACGTGATGTGTAATTGTTTACAATTACACATCACCTCTCACCCTCTGAAACAAGCAAACAAATGGTGACAAGATGGAAAAAATATCGGTTGATAATATCGGCTCGTTTTGTTTTTTTCTCGGACCAATACCGATATGTTAAAAAATGACTAACATTGGCCGATACCGATATTGATGCCGATATATTGTCCATCCCTAAAGTAAATCATACAAATCATACAAATCTCAGAACTACAGACGAACAACAACAGTTTTATATTAAACTCAGCTGTTTTAAAGACCTAAACTAGTTCATTTAGAGATCTCACTTAAAGGTAAACCAGTTGAAAGTCTTTGGAAATAAGTTTTATTCTAATAATAAAATTCTGGTCTACTTTATCTTCCTAGTGAAAAGTGCACAGAAGTGAAAGTGTATCCTTCAGATACAAAAATGTTTTTAACCTTAATATGTGTCTTATAGTAATGTGTATGAGTGTAAACAATGATTAACTTGGTAAATCAAACACACAGTGATGTGATATAAATGGATCATTGTAAGAACAATATTCATTTCAAATCCATTGATTTAAGCACAGGTTATTCAAACGTTTCATTTAAGCATCTTGTTCATTCATCACATATGATTATTTTACTTATAACTATAAAATTGTGGAGTCTTCACTTATTCGGGGTGAAGAATGTTGATGTCTGGCTTTCACAGAGAGTGCAAGAACCTTGGGTGAGAATGTTTGTTTGAATGTTTTTTCTTCATGGAATGTCAACACACGCTGAGCAGAACCTTCTGGATTCAGAAGGCCAAATAGAAAGTGGATTTATGCTGTAGATGAAAGATCACTATGTTGGTCAATATATATGTGAAAATTGGCCCTTTTGGTACGTTACAATGGTAATCCAAAGGGGTTGGAATGAAGGCAACTGGACTTCTTTCGTTCGTTGAAGATGTTTCACTTCTCATCCAAGGAACTTTGTCAGTTGCGGAATTTTCTGGAATCTCCTCAGATCTGACAAAACTCCTCGGGTGAGAAGCGAAACATCTTCAAGAAAACAAAGAAGTCCAGTTGCCTTCATTCCAACCCATATGGATTACAAATTTAAATAGATTCAGATTACATTTTCAACATTAACACGTCTGCTTGAGGATTAAAGTTTATAAAATTAATTTCCAGCGTAACATAGTGGAAAGACATGAGCATGTTATATTTTAGATATTTGTTTCTGTCCAATTTCTTTTCTTAATATCTAAGTAGTTATTTTATTATGAAGCACACTAAATGATTGGGGATTATTTTAATCCCACTTTGATTGAGATGTTCTGCCTGTAATGATGATTGTTAGAAGCTGTATTTTTTCTGTATTGTTACCATTTTCATGTTCAAACAAAACTTGACTCTTTTTTTTAAGGCTTTTGCTGACTTACTGGTGCTCACTGAATAAAGTGTTGTGTTCTTGTTTTGTTTTTTCTAAGTGGTTGCTACTTTTTAGATTTCAAATTTATCTAAAAAGGTTCTGAGGCCTGCTTTTAGACTTTCTGTCCTTTCTTAGAACCTCATTTCAGTTCTAGAGGCCCTCTAGGGTCCTCCATTTGAGCCAGTTGAGTCGGGTGACATGAAGATCCTTTCTTATAAGACAGCCCTGCTCTTAGCCGTGGCATCGGCTAAGCGGTTGGGTGAACTTCATGCTCTTTTGTTTCACTCTTCCTGTCTGTAATTTTCAACAGACGTGCACACGCTGCGTATTTGCCCAAGGTCATCCCGCTGACCTACGATTCTAGAAGTAGAGGACGTTGCATTGTCTGTGCCCAGTTTGTGCTCTACAGGCCCATGTGGACTCAGATTTTCTGACAGCTGGAGCCAAATCCTCCAAGAGTAAAGCTTCGTAGCGGCAAAGAATTTCTCATTGGACTGCGGAGGCCATTTCCCTGTGTTATAGGATTACAGTTTTTCTCAAATGCTAAAACACATTTCACAAACGTTTCCTCCATGTTCCCCAATGTCTAAACACAACACCCTTTTCTGAAACTACATAAACACAACCACACCTTCTCACTTCAAAACTCAAACTTTCACACCAAAAGAGCAGCTCGAAGCTTTCAAAAATGTGAACACTACACACATCATTACACACTACAGCAAAACAATTGAAAACACAATGCTCATTTGTGAGAAGATTCTTTGTTTCATAACTGCCAATTTGCCCATTATTAGAAACTTTACAGTTACAGATCTTCTTAGATCTCTGCAGAGGATTAGGCACTTAGATTTGCGAGTTTCATATGAAGTGTATAAATCTATAGAAAATTCTGCAAGTACACATACTGTAACACAACTCAATGCAAAAACAGAATCTATTGCACAGAACAGTACTCTAGAAAACATGAGCAGGGTGTGAAATTTTTTTATTTACTTTATTCACAACACACACACACACACACACACACACACACACACCACAATCACTGTGCGGCATCATGTCGCTGAGCTGCATCGGGCCACATCATCTCATCCACATCGCAGGCTATATTGTCTCTTGCCAGGCACCGCGGGAAAAACGCCCTGGAATGGCGAATCCATCCTTGTAAGGCCTCCACTGGGATGTCACCACAAGCCAGCTCCATTGCCCTTACCTTTGTTGTAACGAGTGAATTGACTGAAAAGGAACTTTAGGTTATGCATATAACCTTTGTTCCATGAAGGAGAGGATGCAGGGCGTCCCTTTCGCAGCCTAGCTCGGTGAAGAGCGGCTATCAAACTGAGAGATACCAGTGACGCCGGGGGCTTGTAGGTGGAGGGCAAGGCCACCACCCAGCATATGCCTTTACAGGCATGATTAATGTGTCGAGGATGATGTCCCATAGTACCTTCGGTGTACCTCGTTCCGATCCTTCGGGGAACAGTGGTTATATGCATAACCTAATGTTTCATAGCATTGTGCCTTTTCCATGCATCTGTGGCGGTGCGTCGGGATGTACATCTGCCAGTGGCAGCGGGAGCGTGTGCAACAGCAGGTGAAGTGCATCAATAATCAGACGTGCTACTCCTCTAACACAGCAGATGCAGAGGCGTCTTTTTCCACATGAATTAAGTTGGACCTGTGGATCGAGGAGCATCCGAGAGACTGAATAAAGTGTTTAGAGACGATGCTGGTGTTTGTGTGTGACCGCACCATAGCTGCACGACTACAGCTTCCTTTAAGCGTGTTCGGGAGGGGCGGGACAGTGGCACTGGGGGGGAATGAGGATGGCTATTTACTTGGAGACATGGCAGATGTTTTTTTCAGAAAGCTCAGATATTAATTTAATAAATGACCAGAAAAACTACCAGAACTTGTCTTACCCTGGAAAAAAAAAGTCCCGGTACACTGAGAGATAAAAATAAGAAGTGCCGGCTCACTTAAAGTACTCGACAGAAATGATTTGAAACATGGGTGTAGAAGTGGCAAGCGCATAAAGAGGTGGAGGAGAATGAGATTTTCTGTGTTAGAAAGGATCTGAAATACAAAAAAAAAACCACAATATGAACACAATGGTGAATGTATTATGGACCAGATCCATGACAGGATACCCAGAACGGCGCTATGTCCTCTGTTGTCCTGGCAGGGAATTGCTCCTCAGGACACGGAGAGCTGTGTCTCTCTCTTGAGGAGCTGACGCATAAACTAGGCTTAACTGTTGGTCGGCTACTGACGAGACCCTAGGCCTGGGATGATAAATTTTGCTGGATGATATATTGTCCAAGGCTGCACAGTGGTGCAGTGGTAAGAGCTGTTGCCTTGCAGCAAGAAGGTCCTGGGTTTGATTCCCGGCCTGGGATTTTTCTGCATGGAGTTTGCATGTTCTCCCTGTGCATGCGTGGGTTCTCTCCGGGTACTCCGGCTTCCTCCCACAGTCCAAAATCATGACTGTTAGGTTGATTGGTTTGTCTAAATTGTCCTTAGGTGTGTGTGTGTGTGTGTGTGTGTGCATGCGTGCATGATTGTTTGTCCTGTGTGTCTCTGTGTTGCTCTGCGATGGACTGGCTCTCTGTCCAGGGTGTACCCGCCGACTTGCCCGTTGACTGCTGGAGATAGGCACCAGCCCCCCACCCCCACCCCCCGCGACCCTGCGTGGACAAAGCGGGTTCAGACGATGGATGGATGGATATATTGTCCAACAAATTATTGACGATAAATGACATTATTGTTGACATCGAGACCAAAATAACCACTTATGTAATGTTAATATATCATAATAAAACAAAAGCACCCTTTAAAATGCAAGAATTAAACCTTTAACATTGGAATGTCAGGAAATTCTAAGTAAAACAAATAAATATAAAAGGACTTTCGCTCTGTTAGAAAATATTGCACCAAAAACAAAATAGACCCCACCTCTCCAAAACAATAAATACAATGGCTTAGTGTCAACAACCAAGACTGCACTTTAGTAATGATAAATAATTACAGAGTTGTACATTTCATAACCTCGATATATTGAAGCTGGAAAAAGTATTGATCGATTTATTGTCCCAGCCCTACAAGACCCCGCAAACTAATAAATACAAGTATACTCACATACACAAACCAAGAGGTTTTAAATGATTAAGAGTCAATACTTAATGTGTGCCTATTCTGAACAAATATGCAAATCAATGTCTCCAAAACACCTGAATAAGTTCATTAAAAAAAGAAAACATGAAAATCAAGCATGTTATTACAGCATTCTTTATTAAACAGATATGTACAGCACATTCTTGAATAAAAAGCTAATTCTCATAAGAATTAGGCTTTCTGTTCCAAGTTTCAAAAAGAAAAGTGCGCACACAAGAAGTGTGCTTTCATTTACAAAATAATTGAAAACCTCCCCTTTTACACCAGAGCTAAATGCTCCAGCCACATGGTTGCTGTTGGGGGGGGGGGGGGGGGGTCAAAAAAAAAACTGACACTTTTTCTTTTTACAACACGTTAATCACAATCATTACCACAAAGTTGCTCAGGGACCCAGAGCCTGACTCTAAAACCAACACTTATAAAATCCATGGTTTAAGAATTAAATGCGTGTGTAAAGATGGAAATGAGCTTCACAGAACCAACCAAATCCTGAAAGCATCTCAAAGGAGTGGCGAAGGTACCGCGTTAGGCTGCTTTTACATAGATCTAAAAGTAAAACAGGACCACCTCGTTAATTTTACCGCCTGATAACACAAACCAAGTTGAAACGGAAGCTTGAGAGCCATCAGGCGAGGCTCCCAGCTTTTAATTTCCCACTCTAATCAAAAACTAAAACCTTTGGCAAAATATATTCAATGTGGCATTATCACAGCTCCATAAAATCCTTTTGTATTTAATTTTTATATTTACAAAAGACATTTTTTCCAAAAATGCAAACAAAAAATATTTTTCCAGCATATTCCATTTCTCTAGTGTAACTGGAAATGGACTCAATCTTTAATCAAAGTCAAGCTAAAGAACAGCTCCTAAAAATAATCTGATCCAATCTAATCTGCTGGTTTTTAGTATATAAAACTTTAGAATGTAGAAGTCGCCTCAGAGACCTGACAATAATTCAACGGTAAAATCCTTCTCTGCTGCAGCCTAAGTGAACACCAACTTCACACACAACACTGACATTTTAAAGATTGCAGGTTGAAAGCTGATCGATGTACCAGCCACAGATTTTTGCTGAACACGGCAGTGAAATCGCTCCTGTAGGTCCAGAAGCACAAGAACAATCAATCATGACAGATGGGTTCTACATCAGTGTTGCTGCATCTGTTCGTTTGAGGGAGACGTTTATAATTTTGTCATTTTCCCATTAAATTTGGGAGCGCCAGTTACAAAGCATAACGTCTAAAAATGCCGGAAGTCCTAAGGTAATGAAAGACTGCGCGCAGCAACGGCTGGCACCCAAAACGACTCATCAGCGTCATCCTGACCAAGAAAGCTGATTAAAAAAAAAACCCGGTCTTGCCTCTTCCTGTACGAGTGGCTGCAGTCAGAACAGAAATGAAACGTCTGCATAATTACCAAGCAACAGTCAGGAGAAATGTGTCATTTTAAAGCTGTATGTTGTGGGGATTTTAGTCATTGCTGAGGCCAGTACATGAAAAGGAGGTTGGCGGGGCTTCTGTACATCCCTGAGAATAAAGATCTGAAGTAGAACCTCTGGACTATCCTGACAGGGTAGACGCCATCACCTCTCCTGCCTCGTTAGGATATTTTATCCAGAGGAACATCGCTGAACACAGACTACCCACAACTACGATCTGGTCACTACTTACACACACCTTGGATAATTCATGTTTCCATCAGAAAGGCTGATGGATCACTAGAAACACAAGAAAAGTTTTTCTTGTTCCATTTTTACTTCTTACAGAATAATAACGACACTTTGCTAATCTGGGCTTTTTCCCTTTGACAAATAAAATGCCTGGGCTGGAATAATATTGCAAAAAATAAAAATTCAAAAGATAATTTAGTTCATTTTCTGGATATTTTTGGACTAAAAACTCTCAAATATTTTACAGTGGAAATTACAAAACAGATTAAATGCTGTTTTTTTCATCAGCAGTCTGAGAGAGTGAGAGTAAATGTAACAAACAGAACCCAGGACATTTTAAATTTTTCTTCCTCCATTAGGTATGCTGTAATATGTTAACATCTTAATTTATTTTACTTAAAAGAAATACAGCAAAGCCACCTTTTAATGAAAACACAGATCCCAGAATGCACCTCTCTCTCTAACCCTAATCTGTTCTGGCACACCCAAACACAACCAGCATATCTCAGCTTGTAAATAGCATCTCATGGAAAACCTGGCACTTCCTTCCTGGAGGAAAAGTGTAGGGGATGGGAAACTGTTGAAGACAGATGAAAGTAAATGTTTTGTTTTTGTTTATTAAAAAAAAAACATCCAGTTTTGTTTCCCCGACTGAAGCCACTCCCTTTTTGTAAAGAAACAGCAGCTAAAACCACCACACACCCCACTGTCCACACACACACACACACACACACACACACACACACCTCACTCAGACACTTTAGCAGCCTCAAAGTTAACAGCCAACTTCCTGTGCTTCCTCCTAGAGGCGGAGCCAGAAGTGTGGCCTGTTGCAGGCATGCTTTGTCGAGGTGGTGTTTGCGGGGATGCTGCTGTTGCCGTGGAAACGCTGTCTACTAAACCAGATTTGCATGATAATGGGACGGCGTTGGCGTGGTTCTTGTGTGGCTGGTTATTTTTGCTGTTCTGTGGTTTGCTCTGAGCTGGCGGCTGACTTTGGGCTTTCTGGGACAGATTTTGGGAGACAGTTTGGGCGGCGCTGTAAAACTCTCGGGTTTCCTGATGCTTTTTGTTGGCCGATGCTCGCTTTTTGGTCACCTGGAGGGCCAGAAAGAACAGCGCAAAGAGTGAATTTAGAAGATTTTAAGTAGGAAACAGACTAACTCAGAACCCGACAGAGTACCAGCGTACTCTCACCTGTAATGGGATGAACTGGTTGTGTGAGCCAATGGGCAGAGTGGTCGTGGGCTGAGAGCGGGCAGCGCTGGGGAAGGTCCCTGCTGCTCCATAAAACGGCTGGTTTGGGTGGTTGGGAGGAGGTAGAGTCATCCTCCAAAGAGGGGCGGGACCATAACCCTGGGGGGGCAAAAGTAAGCCACCTGGCAAACAGAAAGAAATAATACACAAAGTATTTTTAGCCCACAAACACAGAAAAGCTCAGGTTTCCATGACAGAAAACCCCGTTAAAGCCAATTATTCCTCCAAGTTCTCAAGCAGAGCTGCTCAATCCTGAGAGTCTGACCTTGCTGGTTAAAGACAGGCGCCACGGCTCCCATGGGCGGGGGTCTGATCTGACCCACAGCCGGGTACAGAGGAGGTGGGAGGGGGAAACAAGACCCCAAGGAGTTCTACAAATAAACAAAAACATCAGAGAAAGCAGAGTCGGGGTGTAGCTGAAGCTGCTTCAGTAAGAAGTCCTTATGTACCAGTCTCTGTAGGGCAAAGAAGGCAGCTTTCTCCTTGGCGTCATTTTCCGACTGGCACTGTGGTCCATGAACCATCAACCCGTTGGACAGCTTCACCTGACACACTACCAGACCCTGAAGGGACCAAACGTGAACCATCAGGATGCAGCGTCTGAAGAGTGAAAGATGAGGCATAAAAGTGCGAAGGGCCTAACCTGTCTGTTCCGTATGAAGCTGAAGTCAGGAGGGGCCATCCCCAGCCCCACGCAGACACAAGCCAGCTCCGACACCTTACTGGTCAGCACCGAGTTCGCCGCTGGTGCTGGAGGGGGTACCGTACCTGCGTCACTGCGAGGAGCGTTCATTTTTGCAGCTGGTGAGGGGAATTGGGGGGGGGGGGGGGGGGGGGGGGTGAATGAGAAAAAAAAATAAACCCCAAAACAAAAAAGACAAACAGTTGCTTTAGAAAGGTACCGAGTTTCTTAGACGGGCGCCGTCTGTTCTGCTGCTGGCTCCCAGCTGGGGGGGAGAGGTTGCTTGACTCTTGAGTTGATGGAGTTCCTTTTCCAGAGCCGTCGATCTTTAGCATCTCCTTCAGCACCATGGTTCCCTTCTATAACACAAAAACATTCAGCCTCCAGCTTTCGTCATGTCAGGCAGTTCTGGTGCAAGGAAGCTTGATACTCACCAGGGCAAAGGACTGTGGGGACAACGGGCCATCGGACTGACTGCTGGGCTGCTGCTGAGGTGCAGCTGATGGTGAGGTCTGCTGGCTTTCCTTAGAGATCTTTAAACTGGCAATCAGGTCCTCAAATTCAGTTGTAGCCTAACAGCAAAAGAAAGAAAAACACCAAAATGAGGGAGGTCGGAATAGGATCCAACAGCTTCCTGTTCTGGTGACAAAAAGGCAAAGAATGATATGACTAATGTTTGTTATTTGTACCTTATTAGCAGAGCTCTGTGACAGGAGTGAGTTGATGTCTTCATGTTTCTTTAACAGCCTGATGCCTCCAGCTGGAGCCTGCAGAAGTAACCAATCAGCACGGCTGATTCTACACAAGCAGCTGAGATAAACCAACAGATTTTTCTTTAAATGATGAGTAAAAACTAGAACTGACCCTGGAAAGTGTCGTTAAATAAGCATAAACCAATCATTTGTGAGCACTTACAGCTTTGTTGGCCTGTTGAGAATTTTCTCTCTAGAATTAAAAAAGAAACTTTCAGCACATTTTAACGTCATGAGGAAGAATCTGACGCCCCACGATTTCTCCCTGATCTGTGACTAAATGAAACCTCGTTACTAATGGCATCAGATATTCACAAGTTGTGAAGTTTCTTTGACAGGAGACATACTACACTTACATCATTGTTCCAGTGGTCTGGAGGTTTGTCCGGAGCGCCTGTCTTCTGCAGAGACTGCCACAAGTTGCTGTAGTCCTCTCCAGTCTGAGTGCAAACAGAAAACATGCTAGTTTTACTCGCTGGTTCCATGATGGTCCACAGCAATGTGTGTGTGTGCATTTACCCTGGGCTGCTGTTTCTGGTAGAGACCCTTAGAGGGCGAGTTGCTGCTCTGAGCTGCAGACTTGGCTGCAACATGCTTGTTGTTGTACTAAAGGCGAGCATTAAAAACACTGGAGCAGTGAGAAGACAAGAGGACAAGATTCTCATGTATTCGATGCGTCTACACCTCCCGCGCCTTACCTGCGTGGGCACAAACGGCGAGCGAGGACAGTGGTTGAGGCCCGCTGGCTGCCGATGAGAGTTGAAAACGATGCCGGCAGCAGGCTGCGGTTTGACAACGGCGGTGAGTTTGTGAGACGTGTGATCCATACGAACTCCATGGGAAAGGTTAATCAGTGCGCAGGGAGGGAGGCGGTAACCACGAGGAGACACACATCTGACAAAAAACCCAAAACGGGTCACGTGTGTTATAAATAAAAGAGGAAGCAGCAGAACAAAAGAATAAATGCAAACGAAACTCAAGAGCATCCCTGCAATCTCGAAGGGTGTGAAAAAGGTGACAACTACCTAATTGGTTTACTGCACTCCTCTTTTCTAAACTAAAAGTGACTCACTGCTGGTCTGTGAGCCTAATGGCTGATGCCAGTTATGGATCAGTGCCAGAAGATTCAGACGTGCAAAAGCGAGTAAGGAGATAAATAGGCTACATCTCACTGTAATATTGAGTTTTTGGCGATTGAAAAAGTAGCTTGAGATGAGTTTAGAGCCGACTGTTTCTAATTAACCGTTAGCTCAAAGTTAGCCTCTAGCCTGCTCCACCCGATATTGGAGTAAAAAAAAAAAAAAAAAGATGACGTGGCTTTATAGGGTTACAAGAACTAACTTCTGGGTCACTCCTGTTAATTGGCTTCAATTCTTTGAACGACTCTGGAGCTTTTTGCCTGCTTGTGACAAATTACAAATGGAGACCTAGCAGGGTTAGCTTGGCGCAAACTCTGCAACCTCACAAATACACCGAGAGAAAAACTGACAATCCCCAGCCAGCTGAAGAAAACCTGTTCCAGTGTAACCTTCCTTCCAACATGATTGACACACTAGACTGTTTTATTCCACAGTACAATCCTTACATATTGCTCCTTTAAAGCAGCTGCTGATCCTGGAAACCAGTTTCTGGTTCAAAAGTAAGAATAGGAAAATAGTCACCTGATGTTGAGACCTCCAGCAAATTCCTCATCAAACAGCACTTCGTAGAGAACCTCTGCCTCAACGTCCGCTGAACACACACACACAATTAATGGTCACAATAAATTATATATTACACTTAAAATGAGTCGGACTCTGACTGATGTTCAGAGCTTTCACCTCCTTTGATGCCGATGATCGTCCCTCTGAGCCCCAGTGGGACAGTGAAACTCTCCCTGATGTTGATGACTCTGTCAAATAGGCGATATTCAGCCTCAGGGTCAGGAACAACACCCAGCTGCTGCTCCAATGGCTACACGCACACACAGGCAGGTAAAATAAGTATTAGAACTGGTAAAGAACTGTAGGAATGACAGAACAAAAATAGAAACTACAGACCCTGAAGAGGAGATGAGGCTTGACCGTCACGCGGACTTTCTTAGTGCTTTTCTTCACCTGGACAAGGGACAGATTGAAGGAGGATGAAATGGGAGTCCTCCCTGAGTGGGAGCATTCAAGCTGGAGTCAGAAGAATTTTAGACTGTCACCTTTGACCTTTCCACCGCTTCCTCGATTTTCTCTACGATGGCAGCATCCAACACTTGGAGGTCACATGACGCCCTGCTGATGGAGCTGACGGGGTGACCTTTCAGCCACGAGGTGATTTCAGCCACCTTCTCTGCCCTGTAGCGTGGTCAACAATGATTAGGGTTCATTTGGGATTTCTTTGTCTACAGCTGCAACTAGCAAAGACTTAAAATTTATTTTTTAATTTTAACTTCACAACTTTCAGCTTCATTTTTGCTCCGAGTGGTTTTAATTCAGATTCTCTGCAGCTGAATCTCACTAATTAAATAAGAAAGCATTGATTTCTGAAAAGCAGGAACATTAGTTCTTTTAGTTATCAGGCTCCTCTCCTGGGGAACCAGCTCCCAGCTTTAGTCAGTGAGGCAGACACCTTGTCTACTTTTAAGACTAGGCTTAAAACATTTTTATTTGATAGGGCCTATGGTTAAAATCTGATGTTAACCTAAATCTGGACAAGTGGGGGAGTAGAGGGAGGTGGAGTGTACAATCGGTAAAGACGGCTCTCCCTTGCCCTGCCTCCAACATGCCTCCATCTAAATAGGATAGATTATCCAGAGGTATCTCTGTAGTTATGCTGCTATAGGCTTAGACTGCTGGAGGACACACTGACCACTTTCCACACTCGAATACTTTCTTCTACAATTTGTTCTTTAATTGTATTATTTGCTGCTATTTCAGCTGTTAACTTTATTTTCTCTCTTAAGTGTTTTTCTCCCAAGGTTCTGCTGAGCTGTGGTGGCCTCATGGAGGGGGCCATCGTCTAGCACACTGCTGCTAACCACTTAAACATTCTCCCTCTCCTGATAATGGCTTTTTGCTTTCATTGACGTTGGATGTGCTACTGCTAGTTTATCCATTTAATTATAGATCCACTAGGATAAATACAATAGTTTATCTCTCACCCAATAGAATATTTACTTAGAGATCACAATATAACTATAGACACATTACTTGGTGTGGGTGTGTGTGTGTGTGTGTGTCTGCTCTGTCTTCTCGATCCCCAGTGAGTCGTGGAGGATGGCTGCTTATACTGAGTCAGGATCCTCTGGAGGTTTCTTCCTGTTAAAAGGGAGTTTTCCTCTCCACTGTCGCTATATGCTTGCTTAGTATGAGGATTGCTGACACTAGTCAGTGACTTGATGCAATTTGCTGGGTTCCTTATATAGGAAACATCATTTCTGATTGGCTTAATGAACTGACCTGAATTGGAATGTTTATTATGTGAAGTGCCTCGAGACGACTCTTGTCGTGATTTGGCGCTATATAAATAAACTTGAACTGAATTGAATAGCGCCTGCGTGTTTCTGAAGAGGGAACTCTCTGGGTCGTACCCGTTCTCGTCCTCTCCAGGCCAGATGTCATCCTCATAGAAAACATCATCATGACTGTTTCTGGACACGGCATCAAACACTTCCGAAAATCTATGAAAACACAAATGGCATCATCACTCTCCAACATATTCAAGAAACTCACAAAACTTTATCTACTACATAAAAGCTGAACTCTACACAAATGTTTCGTTGGTTTTACTTTTCCAGGTATTCAGCCAGCAGCTCCTGAACAGAAGCAGAGTACAGCCACTCCTTCTCGGTCCTCTTGGTGTATCCAGGAACCTCCTCGTTCTTCTTGTTGAACTTCAGGTTCAGTCCAACATTGGCTCGTTGTTCTCCACAGGGGCTTGATGAAAGAAAACAAAATACCGGATTAAAAACAAAAACAGGAAATGTGAATTCAATGTTAATAAGGAACAGAACCCAACACCGACTTCTTCTTGGAGCCTCTGCCGATGAAGATGCTGCCCGAGAAGCGAGAGACGAGATAGCTGCTGATACCAAGACGAGAAGCCAGGTAGTAGCCCGGAGAGTACTTCACAGAGTATTTCTGTAAATAAAAGTACACAAACAGAGATTATAGGGCGAACTGAAGAAGGAACCTAAATGACTTCAGCAGAAAGTGTCTAACGTGTTGGTTCTGGATCAAATGCTCCAGCTGTGGCTCATGAGGAACACTAAACACCACTCTGATCCGACCGTCTTTGATAACATCTTGAGAATCCTGCACCTGTTACAAAAATACAAAGAAAATCTCAGTATCAGTTTAAAAAGTGACAAATAAAACCAAATAGAACAGATCACTGGTGCAAATGTGCTTTTTAGATCACTACCCTGTTCTCCCAGTGACGCTTTAACTCTTTTAAATTCCATTTAGATTCTCAAACGTGAAGGCACTCTAATGACGAGAGCTGCCAAACTAAGATTTGTGACAAACTCTAAAAATATAGTCCACAGAGTACTTCACTACAGAACTTTTTCAGGTGTTTCCTCAAGAAAAAGTGTGTGAAAAGTAGTAGAAAAAACAAACTTTGTTTCTATTTTTATCTCAATCTGACAAAAAAATAATTAAATCGTCTAAACTACTCTTGTAGCCTAGAAATCCAGACAGACAGCAGCTGAAGTAAATGATTTTGCTCTGAGTGTTGGTCTAGCCACGCCCCACAGGAGTCTCGGCAGGTCTACCATCGGCCTGAGCAGAACTGTGTTAGGTAATCGCAGCACGCTGTCGGTTTGGTGCGTGGGATGGCGCGACAAAGCAGAACAAGATGGGGACGGCTCGTCTGAGTCAGCTTTGGCATCTGCTGTGGTCTACATCACAATACTCACACTTCCACACTTGCGCCCATTGCACAATCCCAGCCAGGGGTGTGCGTGCCTAGGGTGTCCCGATTCGCAAGTGCGGTCAAGTTGGCGGCATGGTGGTGCAGTGGTTAGCACTGTTGCCTCGCAGCACGAAGGTCGCAGGTTCAAAATTCGGCTGTGGCCTTTCTGCGTGGAGTTGTGTGTTCTCCCCATGCATGCTTGGGTTTCCTCCGGGTACTCCGGTTTCCCCACAGATCACAACATGCCCTATAGGTCATCAATTGTAAGTCGCTTTGGATAAAAGCGTCTGCTAAACAAATAAACATAAAGTTGATCACGCCCCTTTTGCAAACTTGATCTGCACTTCACCCAAATCTGCATTGATGTTTTAGACAAAGCAGCAATGAATGTAAATTTATTTCAAAGAATTGTTTGATTGCAAGTTGTTTTCAAGTATCACAGCGACCAGCATCCCAGCATGCATTGCTATTGTTGACACAATGCTCACTGTTCCAATTCCGTAATTATTTGCACATTTGCGTAACACGGACTTCCTCCAAGTGCACGTAAGGCGCTGTGGGTGTATTGGGACTGGGCCTTAGACTTGGACTTTTGTTTGAATCAAGAGCAGATAGAGGAAATTAAAGCAGATGTCTGGATTATTTCTTTTATCTGATGGCACCATCTGGTGGCTGAGAAGCGTATCACACAAGATCTTGTTTTATTTCCGTATTTACGGCCGAAAGCAACGTCTCGTTCATGAAAGTGCTCCTCTAGCCGACAAAACGGAACTAAAACACATCGTTTTACAATAATTATGCTGAAGTTATGTTGTGTTTTCATATATTTATATTTTAAAGGCTTACTTCTCCATGAGAAAGGTCGCTGACTCTGCATCAACCGAGATACGTCCTAACACACTCGAGCACGCTCTGTGATTAACGTCTGTACGTAAGTGGTAGTCTAACACCATTGGTTGGTGCTGACTGGTGCTCAGTTCATATTGCATGGAGCTTAGCAAAAATATAAATATTTTCTACAGTATATCACAGTGCATAAGACTTTTATAATCACTTATATGGATTTCTGAAAAACTGAACGTAATTCCTGAAAGGGGGAAAACTCTGGTGAGCAGCTCCAAGTCCTTCAGTTAGAAAAAGGATGAAGACGATGGTGTATGGCGGACTGCCCTGTTGACTAACACCTGCAACGGTGAGTTTGTCACATTGTTTATTGTCCAATAGCTAGGGTTCGGCATCTTTTGATTTTGAACGATTCCGATTCCAATTCCTTGTTTCGATTCCGGTTCCTATTGATTCCGATTCTTTCAAGACATGACATGCTTTACATGAGCCAGCTAACCACAGGTCCTACTTGATGAAACAATCTTAACTTCATGAATTTTAATTCTATGAACAACATCACCTTCATTTAGACAAAAACGTGTTTTGGAGAAAAAAAGAAAAAGACTTGCAGCACGACCAGTGTGTTTGTTTCTGACCACAACCAAAGTCTGGAAGAAGCCTCTGGGATGAGAGGCTAAATGTCTCCAACATATCCAGAAACGTCCAGCTGTTTTCAGCTAAACCTCTCAGGACGATCATGTCCAGGATGACTGAGAACTACACCTCCATGCTGCAGCAGCATTCAGTCAGAACAGGAAGTGAAACTTAAATGTAGCTGCTGTCAGTAACAATCTAACAGATTTAAACATTAAAACTCTCAACAGAAATAGTTCAGAAAGGAAATTAAAATGTTCACAGCTCTGTGTGTGTTTATTATTATTATCATTATTATTATTATTTATTGTGGCAGAAGCTGGTGTGGTCCACCACAGAGAAAGCTGCTCTAGCACGATGACTTTAATTATTCTACAGGTTATTGTTCAGCCTTCTCATGCTCTCTCTCACACACACGCACACACACAAGCACACGCACACGCACACGCACGCACACACACACACACACACACACACACACACACACACACACACACACACACACACACACAAAGTGTTGGTGAGCGGCTGCGTCTGACTGCTGACGCTCCGTGTGTGTTTTTATTTCTGCAGTGAGAAACTCACCTCACACCGTCCAGAGTTTGTTCTTTAAAGCTTCTAGTAAATCCACCGTGTTGACGTATTTTAACAAGTTTCCTCTACGCTGCAGGAGTTAAAGTTTACATGACGGAGTAAAAGTTCGGCAGACGTGTTTGTTTATATTTGTCCGCTACGCGCCTAATGGGGGGAGGGGGAACTCGTGCTGCACACAGACAGCTGGTGTGATCAGCTCTGAAAGGCGCTGATCACAATTTGCAGATCAGGTTCATTTTTCACGGAGATCGGCCGCAGATTCCTCTTCCGGTCGGCATTCTAGGAATTGAAACGAGGAATCGAAATAAAAAACTTTGAACGATTCCAGGAAAAACTAACGGTTGGAACCGGTTCCAATCGATGCTCAACCCTACCAATAGCATACAGACACAACTTGAACGACAACCATAGATCCCGCCCCACAACTGAGCTCTCTCTATGGGTCGTGGCCAGACAACATATTCACACATGACGGCTAGCCAGGCCAACTCTCTTGCACAGATAAAGATAAAATTAATTCTATTTATTCTCCCAACAGTATCTGCATTTTTAACAAATGCATCACCAGGTAGATGGCTCTAGAGGGAAGGAAGTCAAACACGCAGACCAAGCTTTTTGATCACATGTTCTCATAAATCTCATTAATAATGATTATCATATTTAAGGTAACTGCTAACAATAATAATTTAAGGCAAGTCTGCTGGTCAGTCTTAAATCCACTTCTTGGGAATTTATCAAGAAATCACAACAAAGAAGGTAGATCACACACCTCCCCCATGGAGCCGTAGTACGGAGTTCCCACCATGAAGACTGGAGTGGTTGGAGGAAAGAACTCGGCTAAGCTCCTGAAGCAGGTCAGAGACGAGTAAAAGGCCTTGATGTCCTGAGAGGAGACACCAATAATAAAAGTGAGATGGGTGATGGATGCCGCGGTGCTTTATTGTCTTTATGAGGGACTGGAGCAGATACCTTCACCACAGTCTGGTAAGCAAAAGGCAGAACTTGTTTGGCCCACTGTTTCTCCAGCTCCACCACTCCATTGGCTTTAGGGACATATTTTCTCCCCGTCATCATCTGGCCGTATAAAAGCACTTCTGTGTTGTTCACTACGATGCCTTTTCTCTTCACAAAACTGGGAGAGGGGGAAAAAATCGCAACACTTACCTTCTTAGATACACAAACAGCTCTGTGTTCTTCTAAATAGTCACATGACCCTGTGCTGTGTTTGTACCTGAACTGATCCGCTCTGATCAGTACCTACCTAGTCGTTACTCTAATTATTGCCACTATATATTATTATTTTATCATGTTTATATTCCTACTTCCCATATTTACTTATTTCTTACTTCTATCTTATTTTTTGCACCAAGTACCACAGCAATTCTCTAATGTTGTGATTTCTCACACACATGGCAATAAAACCCTTCTGATGCTAAATAATATAAAGTTCTGTTTTGTGCATCTTACTGTTCGGTGATTCCCTGAACATCCTTCACCCATTCCTTCTGCTCCTTGTCAGACAAATGGGAGACTTTAGAGGGAGGAGGACTGCATGAGCGGTCGTACACCTGTTGGACTCCAGAAGGTTCCTCCAGAGCAAATCTGAAACAAGGTTGATGCTTTAAAATCCCCCAGTGAGCATCTACAATGACAGCTGTTCAGCACGTAGAGTGTTCAAATTAAAATAAAGCTTCCCCTCCGACGCCGATGATGTGCAGGTACCATCTTTTACCTGGTTTCTCCATCTGACACTGCAATGATGCGAGCTTCCTCTAGATGAGGCCAGTTGACAAAAACAGGCTTCCCCAGGACTTGTGCAGCAACATCTTCACATACCTGGAGGGTAAAGACGTGGAGGACACATCCAGAGAAGTGAAGGCCGAGTCCAAAACTCAGAAGTCATGAGAAAAGTGGAGTTACGGTTTCCTTTTTGAGATCGTGTGACTGAATTTTCCTCTGTAAATTATCCCATTTCTTTACCTTAAACGTAGCGAAAAAACAAACGAAACCGTTTCTGTGTTTTAAAAAAGAACGATAGCATGGAATTCTTGACCTTATTTAAAAGCCAGATGATGTTGTCGAATATCATCATTCTGCCTAGTTAAGCATCAGTCAAACAAATGTGATGCACATTTCTACATCTGAGGATCTTCTGAACTCACATGACACCCTGTCTGAAACTTTTTTAACACTACAAACCAGAACAGAGTTTTATGACCGTTTGTAGCAGCTGGCTGTTAATTCGACAGGTTTAAATAGGGCTGGACATTATCTCAACTTGGCAGATATATTTTCAAACAAGACACATGATGACTCAGTATTGTTAATATCGATATAAAGTAGGGCTGCACAATATATCGAAAAATTGTCGTCATCGGGATAACAGGACGTGCGATAGGCCCATCGCAAAGCACGTCAAAAACGGCGATAAATGTTTGGTTCAAACATTTCCATCCGTGTCATACATCAGCTTTTTGTAAACCAGCTCTGTTTTTTACGCGGAAGTATTATTTGATCAATCAAATGTAGCCCCTCTGATATGCGGCCAATCAGATGGGTCCGTTCACATAATACGCCCGCCCCCTACGTAGACCCTTACCCCAAAATCCCACTATCTCCGCTCCGCCCCCGCTTTCCGCTGCCGCTCGCTTCCCTTGTTCGTCATGCTGGCTCAGATTAACGAACGCACTTTGTGCTGAGGTTTCTGGAATCAGCGCTGCTTTCAAACGTGAACGTGAGTCCGCTCGGTGTCGTTAAGCAGCTGATAATAACCGGGCTGACTCCGACACGTGCCGGTGAACCAACCCACCCACCTCCATGTCGCTAGTGTTCCACCGGGTGGTGACGTTAGCCCCATGCTCCGGTCCGGTTAGCTTCCAGCTAAAAGGCTACAGCACTCTCCTCCCAGTCCCACCCTGCTAAAGAGGGCCTGGAAAAGTTCCCCCACACATCAAAGTGATTTTTCATTTATAACCTTGTTAATCAGGATAGTTGATTTGCTGCTGCACATAAACTGTCAGTCAGAAGCTCTGCTAGCTGGTAATCTTAAGAGGAGCTAGTTCAATTTGTTAGCTTGTTATCAGAATCATAGTTGCAGTTTCATCATCTGAGCTGCTTTTTAAGATCTAGGTAAACTTGTTCAATTTGGGGATAAAAACAAACGTTTTCACATATTTTCCATGTAGTTTTTTTTGCCAGTTCCTCTTGTTTTTCTCTTTCCCTCAAAAAATCTTAATATTCTCCTAGTTTGGCCCAGCACAGATCACTTCCCAATTACAGCAACAGCCTTATATCATAACCACATAAGTGGAGAAAATGTTCAGTAGCAATGAGAGAACTTGCTGTTGCATGTAAGTGATGTTAACTATTATTTAACATTTAAACTTATTTTATGATGTTTTTATTTATTCCAAAAACCCTGGTAAGGGATGTTTTTCTGTATTTGGAGCATCAGAAAAAGTTTTATGGTGGTGGTGATGTTTTAAAGTCACTGAGAAGCTGCATGCATGCAGTTTGTTGTTTTGCTGCTAATACAGTAGCAGGTGCAGCTGCATATTTTTGCAATAAAAATGTTATGTTGTAATGGAATTCATGCATTAGTTTTTGTTTGCTTTGAACCCAGAGCAGACGTCACACGCCAGACGACATCAACACTGCATACTTTAGTATTTGTTCATTTATCGTGAGTAATATCGATATCGCAATATTAAGCACTGTTATCGAATATCGCAGGTTTTCCTAATATCGTGCAGCCCTAATATAAATATACAACCAGTGAGTTTCTAGTCAGCAGGCATCGCTCCTGCTAGCTTGCTGCTCCTCCGTCTGACAATAAGCGATCAGGGTTTCCCCCAGAAAATGAGTTAAGCCTGGCAGATCCGGGCAGGGGGGGGGGTTTGCACACGTTCCGCTGCTGTTTCTCACCAGTACCAGCTGATGGAGGGCTCTAGTTTTGTTGCGCCATTCCTGTCAGCAGACACAGCTGTGTCGAGGAGGGGGGCGGGGCATGACGCTTAGCCTGGCCAAGCAGCTTACAAAGCGATGGGGGGGAAACCCTGAACGATCATTCTTACACGTCAAGACGATCTGGTGCAGACAAAACTACCAGAAAATAAAAATATCCGGGTTTAATTTTCTGCCCTGAACTTCAAACTCAGCTTTTTGGTTACAGTTTTTGGGGACGTTTGTGTTTTAGTGAGCTTATTCGTCATGACTGACTGTTTTGTTTTTCCTGTTTGTTTGGTGAGACGGGCCAAATCCCCTGCATCATCAGCTAACAGGTACATGGTGCCGAATTATGAGTAAATAATGTGAGATTCCAACTATGTTTGCCTTCCTCTGTGCTGTGTGAACATGTTAGCATAATCTGCTGCATTGTGGATTTATTTACATCTTTTAAGAGATGCTTTGCAACTTTTTCATATTTTTAAATCATTTTCTTGAGCCAGAATGTGCTAAAATTGATCCGACATACCTGACGCCGCAGTCTGGTTCCAGCACGTTTCCTGCATGTTAGCTGATTTGTTAAATTTAGCAATGAATCACTCATGCAGACACTAATGAAAGCAGGGGAGACATTCCAGCTGTTGAAGAGACGACGAGGAGAAAGGTTTTGGTTCTACAAACTGACACTAGGGGGTGCTAAAAGCAAGCCAAAACTGCCAAGTTCCCATTTAAATCACCATGTTGAAAAATTATTTTTTTCTGGGTAAGAAAAAATAAAAAATGACTATATTGTGTTACATGATACTATAGTATTAAGAGTGATATGGGCCAGACTCCTAGGTTCTACATGGTTTACATAGATGATAAATATATTGTGTGTTTGAGACATGTAACAGATATTTTGTAAAATCTGTACAGGAAGTCAGATATTGCGATAAATATCACGCATCAGAATTCAGCTAATAAAGATCAAAATGTAAGTTTTGGTCCCAGCCCTAGATTTATGAAGAAAACCAAAACTCACCGTTTCCCCGTCCTGACTGGGGAGAAGCTCCAGCATCATGTTCTCCCCTCTGCTGCTCTGCTGGAAGACTACAACGCCACTCTTCTTCTTATAGAACTAGTGAAAAGACGAGGAGCTTTTCAATGCAAGTCTGCATTAAAACATCATAATTAAATCTTATTTAACACGCATTACTGATTGAAGACATAAAAAAATGGTACTTGTGCTACATTTTGTCTATAAACTTGCAAAATGAAAACATCAGCAGTCACCCAGCCCACCTTGTGTTTGATATGGTGCAAAGTAGGGAAACCACAGAAGTAGAGCGCCGAGCGGTCAGCGCGCTTGTAGATGTGACCAGGAGGAACTTTCCACGTGTCCATCGGGATGCTGACTTTCCTGAAACAACCAATGAAAACCGGCTGAGCTTGTGACGTGCACTCTGTCTTTCAGAGATAATTATCCTGTATCAAACACAGATCTGTATTAATGTGTTTGTGTTTACTTGACATGGCAGTTTATGATGCTGGGGAACAGGTGAGGCAGGGAGGAGTTGTACGTGAAGTCTAAATCTCCATCATACGAGTACAAGTCACACTCTGAATGCCGATTCCTGGCTTTCTCTTCATTTGTCAGCTTGTGGTTGAAGGGCTCCATAGCTGCTAGCAGGCACCTCTGTTTAAAGCACGCAGACACGGGTCAATGAGTTCGTCTGAGGTAACATTAGTCTGCCACCAGCGGCGCTTTTGTGTGTGTGTGTGTGTGTGTATACCTCGTCTATAAATGGAATGAGCACCACAGCTTCCCATTCCTGCTGCTTGCCGTTGAGGTCCGTTTTAAAGTCTAGAGGATAATACTCAATGATGGGGGAGTTTGTGCTCGTCATCAGATCCTGGGGCATCAAAACAACAAGTATCATCCATCTCATCGGCAGCATCAGGATTTTGTGTCTCAGTCCGACTCTTAAAATAACCGTCATGTATAACAACTTCCTGTATTTTGGTGAAACCTACGGTAGTTTTAATGTTTTATAATCGCATCACGGCCCTCAGACTGACACCTTGTGCCTGTAAAACATTTATATCCCCAACTCAAAAGTATTTAGAGTGTGGCAATAATCACCCTGTAGCACTCAGGCAGCAGAACCTTGCTAGCTGCAGGCAGGACTGCCAACAGCTGCTGGAAAGGCATAAAGGGCTTCCCGAGGTCAAAGGTCAGCTTCAACCCTGATATGTTTTTGATGTCGGACAGGAACGGAGCGTAATGGTATGGGTAGTACCTGGAGACACACATGATAATTAAAAAATGATTTTAAATCAAAACCACAAAAGAAAATCTTTTGTTATGTTAAATTAAGTGAATTCAGGTCAATAAATGCTTTAATAACCTAAACAACGTGGTCTGTCACGATCATCTGAAATGTGTCGTTTTACAAGTGAATTTTTAACAGTTTTTGTTTTCTTCAAAACATAAAAGCTCTCACCAGCTCCAGGACTGAACACCATGATAGTAGTAGTGAAGAATCCACTGGATACCTTCCACGTAACACCTGGCTTGTTCTGCGAGAAACTCGCTGCAAATGTGAAGAACGACAACGCTTAAGAAAGAGTCTTCTGCAAACAGGAATGATGATGTGGGTGACCGTAAAATGTTTTCTAGTTGGTGCTTGGAGTTCTCACAGCCTTTAGCGCCGCTATGCCTACGTGGCTTACAATAGCAGGAGTGATCAGAAACACCCACAAACATGTCAAAACAAACCGCTTCAAGACTAAAATGAAACGAATAAACTTTTTCCCACGTGTACAGAACAAAACACTCACATTACAAGACATGCCTCGTGTGTGAAACACAGAGTAAACAGGTGTTTGACCTTCAAAGTCTCAACTCCTGGCGGTTTTTCAGCAAATGTTTGAAGTTAATAACTATTGGAAGTGATTACTTGTTACGGTAGGGGAGGTAACAGAAGAATGTACGTTAAAAACATTTTATATTAAACTCTGACATTTTAGCAGCAGTCAATAATTAGCAGACTGTGTTGTTTCTCTCTAAGTGTGACTCCTGCTCGTTGGTTCTTTAACCAACTGTTGTGTCTGAAGTTTCTCGCTGAAGACTCTGAGCTCCACTAATGGAGAATATACATGAGAGGAGTTCAACACTAAAGATGCATGAAGTAAAGGGTGACATCCTGTGGTCAAACGTGGGTACTGCAGTCCATGTATGAAAACACACAAGTGCTGATCCCTAACTGCACCGCTGAATAATGAGCAAAGACGAGCACATAGTAAATTGAGCAGATAAATACATTTCACTGTAGAGCTGAATCAAATTCACGGTTAGCACTGTTAGCTTAACATTCGCCTCTAGCCTTCTATACTGGATACTAGAGTAAATGAAATATGAAAAGTATGGCTGTCTCCTGCTGTTTAGCCAATTGCGTGAGCTGGTTTACGGAGAAATGATTTTTACTTAGTAGTCGCTCCGAGTTTAACATGCAGACTCTACCGCTATTCCCTGCATTAGCCACTGATGGAAAATAGACAAGGAAACACTCAGATTAGAGATCTATAGGTGCTGGCCAGTAAATTAGAATATCATCAAAAGGTTGAAAATATTTCAGTAATTCCATTCAAAACGTGAAACTTGTACATTATATTCATGCAATGCACACAGACCAATGTATTTCCAATGTTCATTACATTTAAATTTGATATTCATAAGTGACAACTAATGAAAACTCCAAATTTGGTATCTCAAAAAATTAGAATATTCTGAAAAGGCTGAATATAGAAGACACCTGCTGCCACTCTAATCAGCTGATTTACTCAAAACACCTGCAAAGGCCTTTAAAAGGTCCCTCAGTCTTGTTTTGAAGGCACCACAATCATGGGGAAGACTTCTGACTTAACAGCTGTCCAAAAGACAATCATTGACACCTTGCACAAGGAGGGCAAGACACAAAAGGTGATTGCTAAAGAAGCTGGCTGTTCGCAGAGCTCTGTGTCCAAGCACATTAACAGACAGGCGAAGGGACGGAAAAAATGTGGTAGAAAAAAGTGTACAAGCTCTAGGGATAACCGCACCCTGCAGAGAATTGTGACGACAAACCCATTCAAAAATGTGGGGGAGAGCCACAAAGAGTGGACTGCAGCTGGAGTCAGCGCTTCAAGAACCACCACGAGGAGACTCATGAAAGACATGGGATTCAGGTGTCGCATTCCGTGTGTCAAGCCACTCTTGAACAAGAAACAGCGCAAGAAGCGTCTCGCCTGGGCCAAGGACAAAAAGGACTGGACTGATGCTGAGTGGTCCAAAGTTATGTTTTCTGATGAAAGCAAGTTCTGCATTTCCTTTGGAAATCAAGGACCCAGAGTCTGGAGGAAGAGCGGAGAAGCACAGAATCCACGTTGCATGAGGTCCAGTGTAAAGTTTCCACCGTCAGTGATGGTGTGGGGTGCCATGTCATCTGCCGGTGTTGGCCCACTCTGTTTCCTGAGGTCCAGGGTCAATGCAGCCGTCTACCAGGAAGTTTTAGAGCACTTCATGCTTCCTGCTGCTGACCAACTTTATGGGGATGCAGACTTCACCTTTCAACAGGACTTGGCACCTGCACACAGTGCCAAAACCACCAGCACCTGGTTCAAGGACCATGGTATCCCTGTCCTTGATTGGCCAGCAAACTCGCCTGACCTTAACCCCATAGAAAATCTATGGGGTATTGTGAAGCGGAGGATGCAATACGCTAGACCCAACAATGCAGAGGAGCTGAAGACGACTATCAGAGCAACCTGGGCTCTCATAACACCTGAGCAGTGCCACAGACTGATCGAGTCCATGCCACGCCGCATTACTGCAGTTATTGAGGCAAAAGGAGCCCCGACTAAGTATTGAGTGCTATACATGCACATTCTTTTCATGTTCATTCTTTTCAGTTGGCCAACATTAGAGAAACAAACATTTTTTCATTGGCCTTTAGAATATTCTAATTTTCTGAGATACCAGATTTGATGTTTTCATTGGTTGTCACCTATAAATATCAAAATTAAACGTAATGAACATTGGAAATACATTGGTCTGTGTGCATTGCATGAATATAATGTACAAGTTTCACGTTTTGAATGGAATTACTGAAATATTTTCAACCTTTTGATGATATTCTAATTTACTGGCCAGCACCTGTACATCACTGGTTTGGCTTATGACGAGGCAGGCTGTTGTTGGTTTAGCATCCAGGAGAAAGCAGAGCATGTTTTGGCTAACATAAGCTAACTGTTAACATTAGCAACTCCACCACACAGCAGAACTCCTCCAGGTTTGTGTCAGTGGTCAAGTCACTTTGCTGTTATCCAATCAGAGGAGAAATATCGGGAATTAAGACTCCTAATCCTGCCATCTGCTGCTCACCTTTCCTTTGGCTAATTTCTAGTTCCTACAACAGGAGCGCCAGAGCTTTTTACCCCACAGATATCGTTTCACAAGGCACTCATTTTGACTAGAGACCACTGCAGAAGTGTTGAAAAAGCAAGTGAACTTGGTCTTTCAATAAAATAGTGGTATGGGATGTGAAGCCTAAAGGCAAAGTACCACAACACCTCTTTCAATGACTAAAAACACATTGTTGTATGGTTTTAACTGTTATGGTGTGTGCTCTGCTTTCACTGGACAATACCATATCACTATTAAATAAGTATATATGCTCAATAATGTTTGGGGGTGGGGTAACTTTATACAAGGGGAAATGTCCCGTCGGTCTTCTCTGGGATCTCTGCCTATGGGGAAGATTGTAAACAAAGACTACGCCCCTCTTTGGCTTTTTTTTATAGTAGAAAAACTGCCCCCCCCCCGCGGGTGGCTGAGAAGGAAACGTGTTCATATAACCTTCCTTCCAACATGATGGAGACATTAAAGAGCAAGTCACCCCCTACCAGATTCTTACTCAACTCCCACTTCCTGTTTGAAAAATGCAACAAATGCTGTTGCCTAGCAGACCAAGAGGGCGGAGCCGCTAACAAATACACACACTCACGGCATTGTGACATCATAATGTACCATCTAACATCATAGTGTACCTCTTAGCTAATAGCGATGGCAGATTTAAATTCAAATGCTGTGCAGAGTTTTTACCCGACAACGGCACAACACTGACAGTTTTAGACAGGAAATTTAAATTTGAACTAAGAAGAACTAAAATGCCGAATTATTGACTACATTTGCCTACAGCATGATCAGACACTCATTTATATAGTTTATCAGAAAAAAATTGTTGATTTGGAGTGACTTGCTCTTTAAACTGTTTTGTGATTATTTCACAATAGAATTCTTACATATTGCTCCTTTAAAAGCAATCTTCAATTCAGCCTGCCTCAGTTGTATGTCTCTGACACACTGAGTCAGTTTGTTTCTTCACACTTACTCAGACACCACATCCACACCCATCTTGGTCATGTAGTAGGTGCGTTTGTACTGTCTGAACTCTGTCTCAAACAAGTCGTCTTCCTCTTCCTCGTCATCCCCCAACGCTTCTTTTCCTTCTCCGGCCTTCTTTCCAGATGATACTAAAGCGGCGAGACGAAGGTCAGCATCCTTCACACAAAGAAAATCGGAGTTAATCATAACAGAAAACATATAAAAACGCCCCCTTTACCTTTAATCACGAGCTTCCCTACCTCGCTCTTTTTGCTGCCTTTGGCGGCAGCTTCCTCTTCAGCCACTAGACCGGCGCACTCGTTCAAATATTTGTTGCCCACTTTACTCTCAAACCACTTCAAGTCCACAAATACTTCACTGAAATGTTCTCGGTCAAACTGGAAGGATGCAGACAGGACAAAAGGAGGAATGTTACCATTAGTTATAAGTGTTTTCAATAATAGAAACGGTAAAACAACAAGTTCAACAGAAATAACTATATATTCGATTTGTGCAGCTTCTATAATAAAGTAACAGCTGCATAATTCTGACTCCTAAAATCTCACCTCAGTAGCCAAATGTGGAAGGAATTTGATTGGCAGATTAAAACTAGGTACTTTTTTACCCCCTAGTTGTGTCGGGGTTTGCAAAAGATGGCCTGTCCCCACTTTGCTGGAGGAACTGTGGGGAGGTGGGGGACCACTCTCATATATTCTGGAACTGTCCAGTTATTCTCAAATATTGGAAAGACATAAAGGAAGAGTTGGAAAAAATTCTGGGAAGGGAGCTACCTTCACATCCTTTGTTCTATCAGTTGGGGGCTACGTCAAACGAAATATTAAACTTAGACCAAAGATATATTACCCATATCCTATTATTCGCTGCAAAGAAAATTATAACAGTAAAATGGAAGGAGGTGAACTCCCCAACTATAAAGGAATGGAAAGAGAGAATTAAACAAATATATGTAATGGAACAGATGACGTCTATACTGCAAATGAAGGTGGATCGGTTCCGGGATAGATGGGAGTGTGTCGAGCAATACTTAGTAATGTGAGGTATTAGGTTGTTGTTTTGCCTGTTGTCTACTCTGATGTCAATGTGGATTTTGCTATTATGAGAATGGGGGTTGTAAACGTGAAGGGAAGAAAGGAGAAGAGAGAGGGAGGGGAAGGGGCAAAAAAAAAAACAACAACTTAATTTTAGCGATGAAACTAAATGATTGCATTTCTATTCTTTATAGAATGTCTTCTCTTTTATTTATTTATTTAAAACTAATTAATTTATTTATTTGTTTCTTTTTGCTTTTGTGACTGTTGTGCTCAACGTCAGGGTTTGTTAAACCAAGTTGTACAATGTCAAACTCAAAATAAAAAGTAACAAAAAAAAAAAATAAATAAAATCTCACCTCAGAAAGTTTCTCCAGGTATTTCTCAAAGTTTCTGAGGTTTAAGTGGCCGTTCTCATTCAGATAACCTGAATTAAATACAGGATTCAGTTATGATCATTTAACATAATGATCTGTGTTATATAAGCAGGATACATTACAGTTTTATACGATTAAAAATAACTTGATCAGGTAGATTAGCACAGACAGAAGTGGAAACCAAATACTCAACTGTGAAGTAACATGTCAACACCACAAGAAACTGTGTAACATGCATTCATACGTGTATGATGTAATAGTGTGTGTGTGTGTGTGTGTGTGTGTGTGTGTGTGTGTGTGTCTCACCCCCCAGGCTGGGCAGCACACTGATGTAAGTCTTGTACAGCAACGGTAAAGCGTCATGATTAATGTGAAAATGAGGGAGATGAGGGATGAAATCATTTCCTACAAGGAAGCCCATTAGAATCCAGTCGTCTATTATGCGCTCCAGGTCATAATCAGAGCCCATCTGATACTGAAAAACAGTCACAGACATAATAGGAATACAGATTACTTGTGCAATGACTCATCCCTGCGTTTCATCGCCTCACACCACCGCTACGTTTGCGTCCATCCAGAGCTTAATCACAGCTGCGTCCAAACATTAAGCGTTTTCTGCTTTTCATTTGCCTAAAACACGAGCCGTCCTTCTTTTCACTGCTGTCCCGATCTGTGCCGACACCGCTGGAGCCTTGAAGGTATAACGTACAGCAGGTATGTGCGTGGCAAGATGCCCTGGAAATTCTAGGAGAAGTGCGAATATGTCTCCATAATTCATCTGAGGTCAGCATAATCCACGTAGATCATTCTGACTGAAGTTACTCAGGCTAATAAATGCTGTAAACATGTTTGTGTCTCACCTTTAGCTCTGAGAACTCATAGTCTATGTACTCTCTCATCAGAGACAAGTGAAGCAGATGAAAAGTGGTCTCCTCTGGAGCCGTTATCCTGTAAGGGAAGAAAATGTACGGTTGAAAAGACAGATGGATCAGAGTTTGACAGAAAAAATTGTGTGAGGAGGAGAGCACCTCTTCTGGGATTTCTTTCCTCCAAAGCGGACTTCTTCTCTAAGCAGGGAGAAATTAGGCTCATGGCTGGTTAAACCTAACATCATCTACAACACAGGGTTAAAAGGCACGGTGAGCATCCAGATAGAGAAGGACAATAAAATGAATCCTCATTAGTACAACAGACTGAATACGAATCATACCAGGTCGGCATCCAGGCCATACAGGCAGTGTCGGGTGTTGGGGTCATGATTGGGCTTGGCGTTCTCAGAACGAATAAACTCCATGATCTTGTGTTCTCCCTCACCGGGTGTCTATAGAAATAAAAAAGCATAAGAAACTTAACGCAAGTCCTGTAGGTCACCACAAATGTTTCTGTTTGCCAAACGGTGTTAAAATGTCTGCGGCGTTGATGGTGCCCACCTCGTGACCAGACAGGTAGACGTTGACATTCTGCCACAGCTTGTCAGTGGAGATCTTGTTGTGAACAAAGTACTTAAGCTGTTCCTGCAGTCTTGCCATGAAATCAGTGCCTGGGGGGAGAAAACGGGGCTAAAAGAGCTTCCTCCCAACTTTTAAAATCTCTTTATGGAACAAATCTGTTGTGAAAGATTCTGTAAAACTGAACCAAACAAGTTTGGTGTGTGAAGCTTAGCGTTAGCAGCATGTTAGCGTATGAGTATGTGTGTGTGTGGCTCAAAGTCAGAAAGTAAACCAGTTTGTGAATAGGTAAAAGTCTATAAAAGAAAATTAAAACATACGCAAACATTTTAAAAGGAATCCTTTTTAAGTGAGGTTTGCATTCTGTGTAACAATCCTACCGGGAGTGATACAGTTGGAGTCAAAGCGAGCTTCTGTCGGAAGCACCTCTCCCTTCTCCAAAGCTTTTTTAATCTTCTCCTCTGCCTCTTTGGCGGACCTACACACACACACACACACACACACACACACACACACACACACACGCAAAGTGTAAGAAGATACGAGAAGGTGAGTTTCTGCTTCAGATGCAGGTTCTTCAGAGCCCAAAAAGTTTCATCGAACACGTTCAAATTAAAACTTTATAGAGCTAAATCATTTTAAATTAGTAGCCTCACAAAAAGGACACGTGAATATGAGACATCATTATATAATGTTTGTGATCCGAGTTGAGATATTACTTAGATCAGATCAAAATGCAGACAGGTTAATGAAAATTAAAGAATCACAAAATCTTCAAAGACCATATGACTGTTTTTCACAAAACTCCCCTCTTCTTCCTCACTAATCCCTCCAGCGTCTTCCTTTAGGTCTCCTCCCAGTTGGATGAGCCCGGAAAACCTCACCAGGGAGGCGTCCAGGAGGCATCCTAAACAGAAGCCTGAGCCCAACTGGCTCCTCTTGATGTGGAGGAGCAGCTGATCTACTCTGAGCCCCTCCCAGATGACTGAGCTTCTCACTCCCTCTCTAGGGGAGAGCCCAGCCACACTGCAGAGAAAACTAATTTTGGCCGCTTGTATCCGTGATCTTATTCTTTCAGTCACTACCCAAAGCTCACGACCATAGGTGAGGGTAGGAACGTAGATCGACCGGTAAATCAGGAGCTTCGCCTTCCAGCTCAGCTCTCTCTTCACCATGGCAGACCGGTACAACATCCGCATCACTGCAGATACAGCACCAATCCGCCTGTTGATCTTGTGCTCTCCTTAATTATCATTTATTAAAAATAAAATAAAATGTCAAAAAATACTCAAACCCAATCAGAAAAATAAAAATGAAACTAAACGTTCAGCTATTCTCGTCTGTCTGAATTTACCTGAATCTTCGGCCTCTCTGCTGGTTCATCTTGGCCCTTGGCGCCACACCATCAACAGCCATGAAGAAGACCTTGCGTGGCTTGATGATCCTAAAGAGCACTTCCAAGTAATGAAAAATGTCAGCAAAAATCTTTTCATCTGAGATGCGGAAATGGACATCCTCATCATTTGGGTGAGAGCACTGGTGGATGATGCCATTCATGTCCAGATAGAGATTGTCAAATTCCGGAATCTGAGGAATAAAACAAGGAAAATTAGATTAAAGAGCAAGTCACCCCCAAATCCACTATTTTTTTCTGATAAAACTATATAAATGCATGTCTAATCGTGCTGCAGACACGTGTAGTCAATAGTTTAGCACTTTAGTGCGTTTTAGTTAAAATTTCTGCCTGAAACTGTCAGTGTTGTGCCGTTGTCAGGTAAAAACTCTTCACTGGATTTGAATTTAAATCTGCCACCGATATTGGCTAAGAGGTATGCTATGATGTAAACTGGTACATTATGATGTCACCATGTCGTGAGTGTGTGTATTTGTTAGTGGCTCCACCCTCTTGGTCTGCTAGGCAACAGCACCAATGTTTGACATTTTTCAAACATGAAGTGGGAGTGAAGTACGCTTCTTGTAAGGGGTGACTTGCTCTTTAATGGACAACTGAGTTTTTCCCCCTTAAAGATCCTTTGGCACAAATTTAACCAGTTTATTATATTTCCTAACTTCTACCAATGAGTGCCATCTCTAAACACTGAAAATCCTCGTTTGTGATTTTTTTAATATTGTCGTTTTATTGAAAGTGTTGGCCAAAGTCTAACATGTTATCAAGCAACTACATAAAGTTTCTGTTATCTTAAGACCGCAGAGCTCTTATGACACGAGTGCCAAGACTCGAATGATGAAACTTTCGCTCATGAACTGAAACTTAACAGGGTCAATAATGTCCTCTCTATTATAACAAGTAACCTGTTAAAATTTATATCACACATGACCGAAAACAACTGAATTAGAATTTTAACTTGTGATTATAATGGCTGGCTTGCAACAATGATTTAAAAAATGCCTAAATGAATCAGTAGCTTGGTATTTTAAATGCTCGTGCTATAAAGGCCCTTGACAACAAAGAACACACCTACTCAGGAAAATCTATGTTCACCTGACTTTTAAAAACAAATAAGTACGACAAAAAGACCACTTCAGCAGGCTAGTTATAAAAAAAATCACAAATGGCCGTGTGTGTGCATTTTATTAAAAAAATACATAAATTCCAATGCGTTTGGGCAAATAATAAGTATTAATTTTCTGACAAAACGCCGGGTGAGCTACGTGGAATAAAAGTTTTCTGTCGGCCGGCTGATGCTCGTTGTTAGCTAAGAGCTAGTTGTGCTAACGCTACGTTCAAATAAACTAGATTTGGTTTCCTACCTTATGTTCCTTCACAACTTCACTAAGACAAGGATATCGCTCCGAAATCCATCGGTAAAATTTGGGTACTCCCATATTTCCACCGTTAAACCTTCAGCTTCTGAATCTGAGCAACTGAAAACGGTACGTCCGGCTATCAAGCTAAACCGGGGTTAGAGGGGAAATCAATAAAACTTGCTGTGGAGTCCTGTTTGTTTCAGACGGTCGCTAACGAGCTAGCTGTCCGATGTCCATCAGCTAAAAGATTCCGCCACATTCCGGAAATCATTCGTTCCGCGTTTTATTTTTATTTTTTTAATCATCTCCTCATCTTCATTTTTGTCACGTTTTAAAAATCACAGTATTATTTGTTTCTCATTTAATGTTTTTGACCTAGTAAACAAGATAATTGTATGGGAGCCCATTCATGCCACTCCTGTTTAAAAAATATGTTATGACTTATCATAGCAGAAGCTTGAGGCGGCTTATTCTTGCCTCGCCCCCGAAATGGCTTGAAACAGGACTGGGTGTGGAATAACTGAGTTTTGCAGGTGACCTGAATAGGAACAAATATATTAAACATTACATGTAGTTGGATAACCTTCCTCTTCAAACACTTTGTTTGGTTTTCTTGTTTGGTTTTTTGACTATTTTTCTATCTCTCCCTGCATCTCCTCTCAATCCTACAAAAACTGCTGCCTGGCTTCCTATATTTTCACCTCATTAGTTACTTTTGAACTAAGCATCTCAAATGAATCTACGGACTGCAAAATAAAATAAATAAATAAATAAATAAATAAATAAATAAATAAATAAATAAAGACAGAAAGCACCAAAGGATATGAGCTGACATAAATGATCATGTTATTTGTTTTCGGGGTGGTGACACTTTGAAAATGTTACTGTGGCTGTGCACAGGGTGCACCTGCCTGGAGCAATGATCAGCACTGTGCGTCCACTCAAAAGAATCCCAAGAGAATTCACATAAATAATATCATATAAGTAGAACCAGAGTCGTTTTATCAGGCTACCCCTGGGTGTGTAAGTTGAAGGCTTCAGGTGTTGTGCCATAAATCGACTCGCTGCCAAAAAATGATTAGCCACCGCGGGATCGCGCACGGTTAGGTAATTGGATTTCTAGACGAAATTCCCCAGGATTTCGCCCTAAAACTCAGCATATCTAGCAATATGGACATTCAGAAAGCAGAGATAACCTCATCCGGTACTTAAACAGATGTTTATCGCGGATATTAGTTTTTCCAGTTCGGAAGTTGTTTTAAGTGTTGCTATTTGTCTTAAACGTTCACAATGAGGATATATTAATCCTTTTTGCAATATATGTGATTGAAAGATGGTTTGTGCAAGAACTGGCTTTCTTTATGTTACAGCCTTGATACTAAAAAATAAATAATGTAAAATGGCGCCCTGTATTGAATGTAAACGTCGTATAAATGTAAATAAACAATTCTCCAGCGATTTGATTTTTTCCCCTTCCTTTCTTTAGTCCATTTGACATGGAGCCACAGTTAACTAGTTTGGGGCACATTTTTACTTGAAAAATAGTATTTATTTGGGGCGACGGTGGCACAGGAGTTAAGTGCTCGCCTCGCAATCGGAAGGTTGCAGGTTCGAGACCCGCTCAGTCTGTCGCTGTCGTTGTGTCCTTGGGCAAGACACTTAACCCACATTGCCTGCTGGTGGTGGTCGGAGGGACCGGTGGCGCCTGTGCTCGGCAGCCTCGCCTCTGTCAGTGCGCCCCAGGGCAGCTGTGGCTACATCGTAGCTCATCCCCACCAGTGTGTGAATGTGTGTGTGAATGGGTGAATGACTGATTGTGTTGTAAAGCACCTTGGGGGGTTCCAGGACTCTAGAAGGCGCTATATCAAATACAGGCCATTTACCATTTTAAACTGATCAAGCTTTGGCTTTAATGACACTGTGTAGGTTACTATCTATACATTACGTTGCTCTATTTAAAAGTAACAAGATAAAAGCACTTCAGCACATAAAATTAAGATTGTCACTTGCCAAATAGAGACTACACCCTCCTGTTTACCTATAAGAAACGCCTCAAAATATCTTTAAATTCTTTATTGATGATTTAATTGTAGACAACAAAAATGGCATTTTACTTGCCAAAAAGTGATTGAATCGCTCAGATTTTCATGGAGGCTAAAATTGACCAAATAAGGGTTTTATGTATTATCTGTTGATGTTACTGTACTCATACTGTCTACTGTGTCTTCAAAAACACCCCAAAAATGGCAAAGAAAAAAAAAAGATAATTTCCTTCGCCAAAAATTGATTACAGTGTCCTGGTCACGTGTAAAGGGTTAAATTTACCTAAATATTACTTTATTTATTATCTCTTGATGTTATTAGTCCCATCACAGGATGCTGGGTCTCTTCCACATTCATAAACACCCCAAAAATGGCACACAAAAAAAAAGATAATTTCCCTTGCCAAAAATTGATTACAGTGTCCTGGTCACCTGTAAGGGGTTAAATTTACCTAATATTACTTTCTGTATTATCTCTTGATGTTATTAGTCCCATCACAGGATGCTGGGTGTCTTTCACATTCATAAACACCTCAAAAATGGCAACAAATGATCATTTCCCTTGCGAAAAATTGATTACAGTGTCCTGGTCACCTGTAAAGGGTTAAATTTACCTAAATATTACTTTATTTGTTGCCATTTTTGAGGTGTTTATGAATGTGGAAGAGACCCAGCATCCTGTGATGGGACTAATAACATCAAGAGATAATAAATAAAGTAATAGGTAAATTTAACCCTTTACAGGTGACCAGGACACTGTGATCAATTTTAGGCAAGGGAAATGATCATTTGTTGCCATTTTTGAGGTGTTTATGAATATGAAAGACACCCGTGATGGGACTAATAACATCAAGAGATAATAAATAAAGCAATATTAGGTAAATTTAACCTTTTACATGTGACCAGGACTCTGTGATCAATTTTTGGCAAGGGAAATGATCATTTGTTGCCCTTTTTTGAGGTGTTTATGAATGAGGAAGAGACTCAGCATCCTGTGATGGCACTAATAACATCAAGAGATAATAAATAAAGCAATATTAGGTAAATTTAACCTTTTACATGTGACAAGGACTCTGTGATCAATTTTTGGCAAGGGAAATGATCATTTGTTGCCCTTTTTTGAGGTGTTTATGAATGAGGAAGAGACTCAGCATCCTGTGATGGCACTAATAACATCAAGAGATAATAAATAAAGCAATATTTAGGTCAATTTAACCCTTTACACGTGACCAGGACACTGTAATCAATTTTTGACAAGGGAAATTATCCTTTATTTTTTGCCATTTTTGGGGTGTTTATGATGATACAGTAGACAGTATGAGTACAGTAACATCAACAGATAATACATAAAACCCTTATTTGGTCAATTTTAGCCTCCATGAAAATCTGAGCGATTCAATCACTTTTTGGCAAGTAAAATGCCATTTTAGTTGTCTACAATTAAATCATCAATAAAGAATTTAAAGATATTTTGAGGCGTTTCTTATACGTAAACAGGAGGGTGTAGTCTCTATTTGGCAAGTGACAATCTTAATTTTATGTGCTGAAGTGCTTTTATCTTGTTACTTTTAAATAGAGCAACGTAATGTATAGATAGTGTCATTAATCAGTTAAATACTATTTTTCAAGTAAAAATGTGCCCCAAACTAGTTAACTGTGGCTCCATGTCAAGTGGACTAAAGAAAGGAAGGGGAAAAAAATCAAATCGCTGGAGAATCGTTTATTTACATTTATACCACGTTTAAATTTTTTTTAAAAATTTATTTATCTATCTCAAACCATCGAAAACATGAAATTGCATATGCACTCTCCCATATTCCTGGTGCATAAATTTTTATTTATTTTTTTTTAAATGTGAAATACGATAAACATATGCTGTTGAATGAAACAATACAAAACATACAATAACATAAAACCATTTGAGAGGGAACTGGAAGAAGCAAAAGCTTATCTAGTCCAGCCCCAATTCAGTTAATAAATCACATTTGCTCACATTAGCAAATTTGAAAGAAAAAAAAAACTTTTCTTTATGCAGGTCATTCTATCTTCACCTTGCTACATAAAAAGACAGTTACAAAACAATTGTTCACATGAATCTACAGAAAAAGAAAACAAAACCAATAAACAACAAAACAAAATATTCCATTTGAAGCCAATTACCATTTTTATCACTTGCTATTTATGTATGAGTCAATTATAAGTTGTTTATACAACATTTTAAATGATCTAATGTTTTTACATAATTTTAAAGTCACATCAAGTTTGTTCCACAGTTTGATACCACATACAGATACACATACTTTTCATAGTTGTTCGGTATAATGGAAAAATGAAGTTTTTAACGCCTCTCAATTCATAACCCTCTTCATGAGTTTCAAACATCCATTGCAAATTACACGGCAGTACACCCATCATGGCCCTATATGGCACAAGGACAGTTTTAAATTGAATTAAGTCAAAAAATTTGAGTAATCTGGAATTATAGAATAATGGAGTTGTTTGATCTCTATATCCATAATTTGTAATTATCCTTACCACTCTTTTTTGGAGAACACAAATCTTTAATAAATTGGATTTATAAGTATTGCCCCATACTTCGACACAATATGATAAGTATGGTAGAATCATAGTACAATAAAGTGTGTGTAGTGCTTTCTGTGGTAGAGAATACCTTGTTTTATTTATTATCCCAATGCTTCTGGCTAATTTAGAACACACATATTGTATGTATGGCTTCCAACAGAGCTCATGATCAATCAACAGCCCCAAAAACTTAATTTCATACACTCTTTCAATGGCTATTTCATTAACAGTCAAATAGATTTCTTTACTACTTCTTTTATTTCCAAATAACATAAACTTTGTTTTGCTGACATTTAACGACAGTTTGTTTTTATCAAACCAATTCTTAAGCTTACTCAATTCATTCTGGACCTTTAGTATAAGTTGCTGTATATCATCTGCTGAACACAAAATATTTGTATCATCAGCAAACATAATAAATTTAAATAATTTTGAAGTTGTGTAAATATCATTTATATATAAAAGAAATAACTTTGGGCCAAGTACCGACCCTTGCGGAACTCCACAGTGAACTTCGAGACAGCTAGACTTGTGATAACCCAACTGGACATAATGAGCTCTGTTACTCAAATAACTTTTTAGCCAATTGAGAGCTGTCTCCCTTATACCATACTTCTCCATTTTTGATAAAAGTATTTTGTGATCGACTGTATCAAAGGCTTTCTTCAAATCAATAAAAATTCCCAGAACATATTTTTTCTGATCAAGCGATGTGGATATGTCTTCAACCAATTCCATTAGAGCTTGTGCGGTAGATCAACCTGATCTGAAACCATACTGGCTGTCTAATAAAATGCAATTTTTTTTCTACAAATTTTTCCAGCTTATCATTGTAAATTTTTTCCAATATCTTTGAAAACTGAGGTAACAAGGAGACCGGTCTGTAGTTTGTAAATTGATGCCTATTGCCAGACTTGTAAAGAGGAACCACCTTAGCCACCTTCATTTTATTTGGGAATATTCCTGTTTTAAATGATAAATTACATATATACGTGAGTGGTTCGACAATACAATCAATAGTTTAACTAAAAACATATCTATGTCATCTCCATCTAATGAAAATTTAGTTTTACATGCTCTGACAATTTTAAGAATATCCTTTTGAGTCACTTCTTCAAGTAATAATGAATCCGCCACACCGTCTCCGTCACCATAACATTGGATTCAGAGTCCACATCACTATTTATTTTGTCAGCCAACTTTGGACCAACCCCAACAAAAAATTCATTAAAGTGTTCTACTGTCAACTGTCTATCATAAATATCTCTGTTATTACTGACAAAATAATCTGGATGGTTTAGACCGTCACAACGCTTCTTGATTATTGTATTTAACACGTTCCATATTCCTTTGATGTTACTTTTATTCCTATCAGTCAAATTACTATAATAATTCCTTTTACACATCCTCATTATATTGATTAATTAATTTTTATATGTTTTATATTTTTGCTCCGCTTCTTTAGTTCTGTGTAATATAAATAGCTTATATAATGTGTTCTTTTTTTACAAGCATTTTGGATCCCCTTTGTCATCCACGGCTTCTCTGAATATCGATTTCTACAACTATGTCTTATCATCGGACAATGCTTATCATATATACTTTTGTAAATATCCAGAAATAAGTTATACGCAATATTCACATCATGTTCACTATATATATTACTCCAGTTAACACTACGTAGTTCCGTTTTTAGATTTTGTAAATCTTCCTTTCTTCTCCTTTTATACATTAAAGTTTTAGCTGGTTTTACTTTCTTAGGATGGCAGTTGTGGATAGCAAATACAGGGAGATGATCTGTTAGGTCTGTTATCAATAGTCCACTATGTATAATACTTTCTACATTATTAGTAAATATATTATCAATAAGAGTGGCGCTATCAGCAGTTATTCTACTTGGTTTCGTAATGAGGGGAACCATGCTCATACTGTACATTAACTCAAGAAATTAATCAGTTTTCTTATGTGCTGTAGCTTTCAGTAGATCTATATTAAAGTCTCCACACATATATGTTATCTTACTTTTGTTTAACATTAAAATACTTTCCATTGTAATAATAAATGTGTCAATGTCACTTCCTGGTTTCCTGTATACACAATGAATCACTGTTTTTTGCTTGCTTAATACTCACTTCAATGGTTATACATTCCATAACTTCATCAATAACCATAGTTTCAGTAAATTTATATGAAAGGGATTGATCAATGAAAAACGCCACCCCTCCACCCTTTCCATTCCTATTGAAACAATGGAAATTGTAACCTTGCAAGAAAAAATCCTCACCGTGCTCTGAATCTATCCATGTTTCAGATATTGCAATGATGTTAAATGGCCTCACAAAATTATCATTCAATACAGGGCGCCATTTTACATTGTTTAATTATCTTTTAGTAAGATAAAGAAAGCCAGTTCTTACCACAAACCATCTTTCAATCGCAAATATTGCAAAAAGGATTAATATATCCTCATTGTGAACGTTTAAGGCAAATAGCAACACTTAAAACAACTTCCGAACTGGAAAAACTAATACCCGCGGTAAACATGTTTAAGTACCGGATGAGGTTATCTCTGCTTTCTGAATGTCCATATTGCTAGATATGCTGAGTTTTAGGGCGAAATCCTGGGGAATTTCGTCTAGAAATGCAATTACCTAACTGTGCGCGATCCCGCGGTGGCTAATCATTTTTTTGGCAGCGAGTCGATTTATGGCACAACACCTGCTCCCCTTAGCTCTCCCGTAATTTGAACCATGTCTGTAGCTAAAATATAAAATTTTAATCAGAATGGAATGGGCTTCCATATAATTACATAAGTTGATTTAAGTTCAATTATTTAAAAGGTATATAATTTCATTGTGATGTCAGTAAATGTTTAATAAATGTATATATAATTTACAAATATTTAACTTATAAAAAGTATAAATATTCTAAATAAATTCACTCACTATAACACAACAGGTATATTGCAGCATTTTGAAATTTAGCATAATTTAAAAAATTCTGAATTAAATTTTTGTAGTCATTAAGTTGTCATAAAACCCACATTCAGGAAAGAGATATTTAACTTTGTAGCTATAGTGCAAGGCAATCTTGCTTTAATGTGTCCTGCAATGCAACCACATTGCGATACTGGACAATGCTTTTAACATATTTTAGTAAGAGGACAGAGCAGTTACAAAAAAAAAGACCACAAATTATCACATAGTTTCGAAATAATTTATTCAGTTATACAAATACAAAACACGTTATCATAAAATAGGCAGGTCTGGGTGGAGTTTCTTAAATCTTCTCCATGTCATTATGGATCACCACTCCACAGAAACTGACAGCAGTTCTCAAGTTACAATGTCTGCTCAGTTCAGATGATGCGTTTTCAGCCTACAGTACAAGAAGAGAAAGTCCATTGCTACTTTAAAAGAACTAAAACTGATTCAGTGAGGTTATTTTTCAACAAGCAACACATAGCCCAAAAATGACAAAACTTCCAGTTCCACGTGATTCAGCAGCCTTAAGTTAGACAATACTTGTTGTGGTTACAGACAAACATGTGGAGTCTTGTTTTGCTCTGATAACCAACAGAAGATGACGCTACCTCACCTTGTTTTGAGCAGGAAAAGAAGCCAATGCTGTCTGACAGAACAAAATTAAAGTCATTTTTATTAAAACTAAATTTCCCCCAATCTGAAAAACATCAAAATCTACACAAAGAGGAAGAGGGGAGAGACAGACAAACAGCAACGCTAATTAAAAGCTTCACGTGAAGACGTCATTTTTGCATGTCTTGTGTTGTGCTTTGGCCTTTAAAAGAGGAAAATGCATCAAGCAGGTAACATTTGGCTGGATGTACCATTAAAGATGGTTTAAATAAATTTAAAAGAAAAGTGTAGGTTTTGATTTGACCCACAAGAAAGAGGTGCTCTATTGTATTTCAACTTAACGATATTGTAAAACAAAAAGCTTTTCTCCAAAGTCCCATCAGGCTTTGGGTCCAAGCTCGGCCCTCCTTTTGTTGTAGTAAAACACGCCTGGTGCCGCTAAGCTAATACCCTGGTCCAAAGTCTGTTCTGCAGTCAAAAAAGAAAAAGTGTTTAACTTAATAAAAATATGAGGAGTTAATTTCAGCCAGCCCAGCGCTCAGCAGGCAGCCTGAGATGTCCTCGTGTCCGACTGATGTGTCCGCCACACAGGTAGGCTGATGGTGGTTCCTACATGGGCTTCAGACGGGCAGGTCTTCACACAAGCTCAAGTACCTGTGAGGAGAAAGCAAGTACAGCTGTGATTGGTGGAAGAAAAAAAATAACTGATTAAGGTTCTGCTGAAGGTTCCTTCCAGTTTGTGGTAGGGTCAGACCAAAGACTTAGAAAAAATGGGACCCAATGCCTCCCTGCTTGACACTCAGCATTATGGGGTTGCATTGGGGGGTTTTAAAAACAAAGCTTCCTCTTTGAGGAAGATGGGCTGGGTCATGAACTGACACTAAAAATAAGTGTTTGTATCTTTTCAGCTTTGTTTTGGTTAGCGGTCTGCTTAGTGACGCATGCGTCAGGTGTGCTCATGACGCAGCGTGTCCTGCAGGAGCGAGACGTCGTGCGGTCTGCCTCACTGAATCTTGCGCCGTACAGTGTGCCACATTTCTGGAGTTCTCACAGAGTAACATGAACAATCCTGTGCGACGGCCAAAAATCGCAGTGTGATCCGGGCTTAGGCAAACTGGAATAATGAACTGAACTCAATACACTGACAAGTAGGCTCAATTGGAACTTTTACTATACAAAGTGCCTTGTTGTGAATTTATCACTTTATAAATAGATTTGAATTGAATACATTTTTAAAAATATTTTTATTTGATTTGACCAGGCTGATTTTAGACGTTTCTGTGTCTTTTAATCTGAATTGACTCATGAAATCCATCTTAGCTTCACCAGATCACAACTTTTTTTTTACAGACCATTTTTTACGTAAACATGAATAGACACAAACCTTGATTGTTCCTTGACTGTTTGCAGCAATGAGAACATTTGACTCCTGAAAAACAAAATGAAATCAACACACAAACACCTAAAACAGTTGATTACCTGAAGCAGAATCCCAACTTGCTGAATAAATTGCCTGATGCTGTGAAAACTTTCCTAAGGTCTCTAATTTTTCTGTCTGACACGACCTAAGTACTCACTCCATCAGGCAGGGCCCTCCAGCAGACCGCGCTGACAAACTCGTTGGTGTCATCTTCCTTCTTGTCCTTGTCCAGGACGCTTTTCACCGTGTCAAACTTGAACGTTAGCAGCGTCTTGGAAAGTCCTTTGTAGTACAGATACAAGGAGTTGTTCTCACTGCCTAAAACATGAAAAAACAAAACAACAACAAAAAACAGATCTTTAACGCTATACATAAACAATTCAGTCAAAAATACGAACGGTGCCATAAAGATGACTTCTGACTGTTCTTTCTCCTGTCTAAGAGAGAACTATTACCACAGGCGACATAGTCTCCGTTGGATGCCAGTCCAACAAAGTTCTTCTCATTAATGTGACCCTTGAAGGAACGCAGGCAGTGAGGTTTGTTGACGTTCCACAACTTCAGCTGGCTGTCTGTTGACCTGTTGATCACAAAAGAACATTTGGTCAGGAGACATTTAACCGTCGGTCCTTTCCTTCTGCAAGTGGGTAAGATCTAACCAGGTCAAACTTTTTTTTGTATCATAACCATGTGGGCTTGTTTTCATTTGTAAGATTATAACCAATTAGAACCAAATCAGTATTTAAATTTGCGGCATTTAAAGTAAGACACTAGAAGGTGGGTAATTTTTTATGTTTTAGCCAACACCTAGTACATTTTTCAGGCTCCTTTTTAACCTCAATAATCAGTTTAATAGGTGAGCTGAAAGTATGCAACAACAAAAAGAATTTATTTTAGTATTCTTTGGAAACAAACAGAAAAGGTGTAAAAGAGTTAGTCCTTCTGACTGGCATGCATATTTTATAAATAGGGAGCCTAAGTCTCCTCCCTTTCCGGTCGGCTCACGGGTCCCTGGAAGAACAAAAAAACGAATGCAACGGGGCTAAAAGAGCCATTTTCTAACCCGCTTTGCCTCATGCCCTGAATCGCACACGTGTTGTACTTCTGTTTAAAGGGACTTTACGGACTTTTGAATTTTTATGCTCGCGATTGCCCCCTCAGGCCAAAAGCGTAACGGCAGCTTCAATAGTAGGTTCGTGTACAAGGCGCACATGCTGTACGTGCACACTCCTTAACGAAAATAACAGCTTCGACAGTCCCATGTGTGTGTGTGTGGGGCCCGGAGGATATAGGACAGGAAAGCGCGCAGTTACTTAAATAATTTGGTTTTGTACCTTTCTCTTCAGCACAGCCGACAAAGGTTTATGATGGGTCAGTCCTCCTGCATGCTCAGATCATTCCCTTCCCTTGCTTGAAAAATTGTTCCGAAATGAAATTTGAACCCACATCTTTTTTATCTGTGAATTCAATGCCATTTGGCGAGTCTCAAATAAAAATTTGGGCATCTTACTGTAAAAAAAATATACCATTAATGTAAAAAATATATTCTAAATAAATTATGTTCACGTCCAGAATCGAACCCGGATCTCCTGCACGAGAGTCCGATGTTTAACTAGGTGAGCTTAAGCGCCAGCAACATCTGGCTGTAACTAACTTTTATATCGTTGATGACAGCTGATACAACGTTCAAAGAACGGTTCGGAGCAAAAAGGGCTAGTTTGTTCCATGTTGTCGTTCTTTTTTAAAACACAGAAACGGTTTTGTTACGTTATTGACGTTACAGTTTTGCCGACGGCTGCCGGCTTCTTCAGGCTTCAAAATCAACCGGCTTCTTCAGGCTGACGCTGATGGACGCTGTCAGCGCCAGCCTGAAGAAGCCGGCAGCCGTCGGCGAAACTGTAGCGTCAATAACATGTAACAAAACCGTTTCTGTGTTTTAAAATAGAACGACGACATGGAATTAGAAATAACGCACAGCAAGAACACACCTAAGATGTTCAAAGGGCTAGTTTGTTGCTAATTTGCAGGAATTATCTAGAAGAAAGTTGCTAAGGGTCCTCAGAAATGTAGCTAGCTTTGTCACGAGGCGTTAGGAACAGCGACAAAGTCGCTGAGTTGGCACTACCTCTCTCTCTGCTGCTAAAGCTACTGATAGCATCAGTGTCTGGTTTGATGGTGTCACTTTTGTGAAGCGTATTTGCAGTCCTGGACTTATTTTCACACAAAACCTAAAATAAAATGTACCCCCGTTCAAAAATAAGCACGTAATTGGTATAAAAAAACGCGTCTTTAAAATTCACGGACACCATATGTGAAATCCATGGAACATAGCAAGCGGGATGAGAAAATAGGTTTTTAGCCCCGCTGACTTGCATCTTCATCGTCGTTCTTCTGGGGACCCATGGTCTGGAAGCAGATGGGCGTGACTTAGGTTCCTTATTAATGAACATTTGACTGCATTAAAATTACAGTTAATAATTTCTGATATTCACCGTTTTCAAAATAAATCCCAGTAAAAACGGCTGAAAGTAAACCTAAGTGACTTACGCAGAAACAATCTCCTCTCCGTTTACAAACTTGGCGTAGGACACGGCCTTCCTGTGGCCTTTGAACACCATGATTGGCTGCTTAGTGTTGCGAAGATCGTAGTAGTGGACGCAGTGATCTAGAAGCAGGACGAGTTAAAAATAAACAATCTGGGGCTTTTATTCTTGTAACACAGTAAAGTTATGATGCAATGTCTTTGCTGCTTTGTGCTGAAGTTAGCGTTTCCAATAAGAAATGTTCCTTCTTTCCAAACTGTTTTCAAACTGAAGTTTTTCTTCCTTGAGCGACCACTCCAGGGTCAGGAGGCGGCTTTCTGCCAGTGGACCTCAGACACACACGCTGAAGTGTCAACGAGCCTGGACAACTCTCAGCAACAGAGTTCTGCTCCGCTTGTTTTAAGCTGTTATCCAGTGTTAGTGATGGGAAATACTTTCCTTTGCATACCTGAATATTTATTACAATTCTTATTCTCCTGTGGGGTACTAATGAACAGAGTTTTCAGAAGTTTGTCTGGACCACCAGAGTCAGCATAACCACAGATGAAATTTAGTATCTTCAAGGGGAAATAACAGTGGTGGGAGGTGAGTACCACAATAATAATACATCAAAATGAGAGAGAAACAAGTTTAAAGTTTGCCAACATTACACAAACACATTATTCAAGAAGGAAAACTTTTGTTAGAATCAGTTTGGAGTGTTTGAACAAAACCAGTCCTCCGTCTTACCCGCACAGCCGAAGGCCAGATGATATCTGGAAGTTGGGCTGAATTTAACACAGCAGACGTTAGCTTTAGCCTCGATGCTAGCCACTGAGTTGTTCAGGTTGGTTGACCACAGTTTAACTAAAGAAAAAAAAACAGGTAAACAATATAAACACTTTAGATAAAAAAGCAGCGGAGCCCCATGCTAAATTTATACATTGTTGATGTTTTTTAAGTTTTTCTGAGGGATGCTGTGAACCGATCACACGATTTAAACAGGGTTGGAATCAGGTGGAAAAGATCAGATTTACCCGTATAAAACAAAAAACACGACTCTTTAAATTCACTCCGAGATAGAAATTTCTTAACTGGCTGGTGAAAAAGTCTGTCGTTTGGTGGTATTTTAAACCAGACAGCTGGAAAAGCAAATCACCTGCCTCCATTAAGTCTGATTAACGCCGAGGACACACCGGCCGCCGAAGCGCCGCGAAAAGGGGACCGCCTTCATTCGGCGCCCTTGTTATCCTATTCTGTAGACCACATGGGCTGCCGAAGCGCCGGCGCTCCAGCCCACGCCGTGCAGCGATCGTTTTGGCGCCTGCTCTATTTTTTTTGCGAGCCGCGGGTGAACCGCGTCAATTTTGGCAGGAAGTCAAACCTAGACATGAGGCAGGCCGGTAAATTTAACAAAATAAAGCATTTCAAAATACAATTCCGTGATCGTCAACTGTGTTCGTAAACAGACACTGCATAAAAACCACACAAACACACACACACAGCGAACTTGTGTGTGTGTGACCACGTGAAGGGGGTGTGGTTTTGGGTGTCTTTCAACCGGAGCAAACAGGACAGAGAGGCAGAAAGACGTAGGCCAGCTATTAACAACCGGTTCACACCATAGGTTCTCACACACACACGTACAAACACACATACAAACAGCAGGGGGGAGGGGGGTGTAGAGGAAAAGTGCAGAGAAAAGGCAGAGAGGAAATGGAGGACACCAAGTGGTTAAAAGAAAAACTACGAGGCGCGCCTCGACCGGAGTGGAGAAACAAGCGTCTGGTCTGAACCGAGGCCAAATTTTGTGAGCGCTTCGCCTCCTGGCGCTTCGGCGGCTGGTGTGTCCCCGGCCTTACACTTCTCTGTCTGTGCTGAGTCACGCAACGCCATTATGCGTCGCTGCAAGGGCTCTTCAACAGGCTCACAGAGGGTGTTGGACACATGCCCAAATTTTTATATATCCGTCAAAAGTGACGGAGACCACAAGCTTGTGATTGGCCAGGATGCCACTTCCTTTAAATTTGTCAACGGCCCCGCCACTGCCCCCTCAAAAAGTATAAAATATATACTTAGCTGCAGACACAGAACAGATCAAAGAACGCATCGCGGAAAAAGTCCGAAAATATGAGCGTTTATTGACTCGTGACTGAAGGGGTACAATAACAGTACATGTGCAAATCTCCTTTTCATTTAGAACTCTGGTGGTCGAGAACCCCAGATAAATCATATGAAATCCTCTTTTACCTTTAGCATCATCAGAACCCGAGGCTAGGAGCTTGGGGTCCATCAGGTTGAAGTCAACACTCCAACATCTTTTCTCATGCTCCTAAAAATATGGAAGTCAAACTTCAGAAAACCGTCACAGCAAAAATATTCATAGTTATAATAAGCAGAAAAAAACCCAACATCATGTAAAAAGCTGTGCATGAGTCACACCTGGTACACTTTGGACCGCTGCCCACTGAATCCATCCCACAGAATGACGGTCCCTTCATAGTCGCTGCTGGCCAGAAGGTTCTTGTGATAACTGCTCCAGCTGATACAGCTGCAATGGAAGATGAAGTATCATTTTGATATGGAAACTCAGCAGATCCTCAATTTGAGATAATAAAATGTCATTTGATGAATCACTGCCTAAAGTGTAGGGTACTGATCTGATTAAAAGCTAAAACTCAGTTCCTCTTGAATTCGTTTATTTTTTACCTGATTTTGGAATTGCACGTCATTTCATTGACAGGGTAGTGGATGTCTACAGCATCCTGGATCACCGTTCCATACTCAAACACCTTGATCTTCTTGGTCACGCCAGCGATGGCGAAGTAGTCACAGTCACGGTCAAATTCAATACTGAAACAGAACACAGTGAGAATAGGTGATTACACTCAAGACTTACTCTTCAAACTTACAATACTTTAATATCATCTGTTTTTCATACCTAGAGACAATACTGGAGCCATTATAGAGGTCACTGGCATAGGAGAGGGTGGCTAGCGGCCGCACAGTGTTGTAGCGGGTGAATTTAGATAAACACTCCGTGAAATCATCCAGCTGGTTCAGGTTCCTGCCCTCATCTGAAAACCACAGACACTTCAGCTAAGAGGTAAACACGCGCTAATGAGAAACGGTAAAAATGGTAAATGGCCTGTATTTGATATAGCGCCTCCTAGAGTCCTGGAACCCCCCAAGGTGCTTTACAACACAACCAGTCATTCACCCATTCACACACTGGTGGGGATGAGCTACGATGTAGCCACAGCTGCCCTGGAGCTGCCGAGCACTGGCGCCACCGGTCCCTCCGACCACCACCAGCAGGCAACGTGGGTTAAGTGTCTTGCCCAAGGACACAGCGACAGACTGAGCGGGACTCGAACCTGCAACCTTCCGATTATGGGGCAAGCACTAAACTCTTGTGCCACCGTCGCCCCATGAGACACATGAGATGTGAAGCTCATGGACAAAAGTTCATAACAGATTTTTAAATAAGAGGAAATAATAACTTTAGAAATACGTTAAGTTAATTTAATACTTATTCTGTATGCTTATGGATATGTGTGTGTGTGTGCGTGGGTATGTATATATGTATATATGTGTGTGTGTAAATGAACATGTGTGTGGGCATACATGTTCTTATATGTTTTTAGGTATTTTTATTCTCATTTATTGTGGTTGTTGTATGTTTTAGAGAGCGAACATCTACCGAAGACAAATTCCTTGTAAATGTACTTTTACTTGGCCAATAAATCTGAAATCTGAATCTGAAGAGATGCAAATGATATCCAGTTTGTGAAAATAAAGTCTACCTCATGTCTGCAGTGATACAGAAGATAGAAGAATGCATAACTGTAACAGAAGATGGACATCGCCAACAGTTTGTGATGAATACCTGTGATTCTTGACATCTTATTGGAGAAGTAGCACTGCTCCAGATCCTCAAAGTGAGCCGTCAGCCTCTTTCGTCTTGATGCCAAAGTGCTGTTGTACCAGGTCTGTCTCTTTCCCTGCACAAAGGAGCAGCCATGCCAGTGCTAAACTCATTATGACATCAGATTTGTCAGAATAGGATCCTAGAAAGATCATAAAAAAGTAGAAGTAGCATGTTAGCTAACACGAGTGTTTGTGACATACCTGGGTTGTTGCACCAAATCCGGGAGGCGGGTTGTACTCAGGTGTGTCGATGATGCTGCTGCTGCGACATAAAAGGGACACAAACATACAATGAATCTGTGGCGCTGAAAAAAGTACCCTTTAATTTATTAATAACTGTAGCTATGGGCTCTGGACTTCAGCTCAGTTACTGCTTCAGAGCAATAAATGCAGTTTTTTCTTTATTAAAGACCGAGTTCACTCCTTTTTCAATACATTAGCAGTGGTGTCCAGTATAAATGAATGCATTGTGAGTTAATCTCTGGGATAAAAATGCCCTGGTGCTCCTGTTTCAGGAACTAGAAGCGTGCTTGATGAGAGGTGAGCTTCAGACGGCAGGATCTGGAGTCTTATTTTCTGATATTCACACATCTTGCCTCTGATTGGCTAACAGCAACACGACTCTACCAATGACTCAGTTTGCTCTGCAACGTTGATGTTTTATCTCCGCAGATAACACAAGTCTGGAAGAGTTCAGCTGTGTTGTGGAGTTGCTAATGCTAACGGCTAGTTACGAACGTGCTCTGCTCTCTACTGGGTGCTAAGCCAACAACTTCCCCGTCACGAGCCAAGATGGATGAGTCTATTGGCCTTTAAAAAAATGTATGCTGATGTGTGATGACTCGGTTTTCAGTACAGATGTGATAAAAGCACAGAGCTCAACAGTACCTGGGTGCCGGAGAAGAAGCCTCAACATTGGGCACTGTACACTCCAACTCCATTATTGGAGAGTACAGCCCACTCATCTCCTGAAAAAGGAGGAAAACAGTTAATCACCAGGACCCTCATTTATCAGACGTTCATAAACACTGTCCAGTATTCTTTCCTACGAATTAAGATTAGAATGTTTGTACGAATAGTCAAAATTCCGATTTATGAAACATGAGGTGGTCGCTCTTACGCATGTTCCACTGCAATCAACCAATGATAAATCCCACATGTGTACCCAGGTGCTTGTGTCTGTTCACATTCATCGTTTACATACAGAAACGCCCTCAATGTACCATACCACACCACTTCCTCAGTGGATTGGAATCAGATATGTGGGGTTTGTCTGTCATTCCACATTGGGTCCCAATCACAGCATAGCTCCAGAAGGATCTCCTTCAGGAGATGGTATCTGCTCAGGAGCCACTCTGGATTCTCACCAAGCAGACCAGTACACTCACGGAAGACGAGTTCCTTCCACAGTACACGCTTTGCCAAATCCTCCAATAACAGAAGATCAGACATGCTTCAATGTCACATTCCCATTAGTCACGGGTGTCTCTCGTAGGTTCTAACACCTGCTATGTGATAAAACTGTTTTTCCACAGACATAAATACTTATTTTCTAGATGAGGAACAAGCATGGATCGCTCTCACCTTCAGGATTGCTGTTCACCTGTTCTACCACTAGATGTCGTTTGTACGAATGGTCAGTGATGCTCCAATATTTAGGAACATTTTTACATGCAAGTACAAGATGGTTAATACCACACAATGTGTAAAACCGTTCCAACGTATGAAATACACATAGATCTGTTCGTTAAAGTGACTTTTTTTCCTGGCGATAAATAATTGCAAGCAGGTGGTATTTTTGTGTTCGAATGAGACTTTACCAACGGGTGGCCATTAAGGTCAAAAATCCCTGGAAGCGCAATTTTTGAACAAGTACTTCGTCAGATCGTTAAACCTTCAGCAAAATGACAAGCACATCCGACTCGCTTTCATCACTGGCAACAAGCAAACAGGTAAATGATTAAAACAATGTTTATGAATGGTGAAAGCTTTGTAGCTGCTTGTTACTAATCAGTAAATGCCTTTTGTCCTCATGGGCTACCGTAGGAAACATGGCATCAAATATGGCATCGCCCAGAGACTTAGACCCGCTCCCATATATTTTCAAACCGATTTTATGGTTATATGTTACAAAGTTGACAATTTTTTTCCAACATCATTGAATTCCTTTTCAAGAACATATTGACAGATATTTCCAGGATTAATGGCAAAAACTACACATTAGCCACCTTTACATGGACACAATTAATCGGATCGAATGCCCAATCAGATAAAAGAAATTCTGCATGTAAGCCTCTCAATCGGAATGAAATTCCAATCCGATTGAGAGGGGTGGTTTTGTCCGATCATCATTCTGATTGACATGCACGTACACAGCCATTCGGATTGTTGGAGTAAAATAATGCCCACTGTGCATGTGAGAAAACAACTAGAGAGCCACCCCGCCATCATTTAGATTGCCTGACCTAAAAAATGGTGGCCTAATTAACGAATGCCGGCTTTTAAATATGATGGCAATCCAGAACTTGCATTTTGTGGAAGTAAAATAAAAATCTGATTATGGCACAAATCATTTGACAACCATGTTTAAGTCTGTGCTGGAAACACGTAGATTCATTGCGGGATTTGCAGCACGGATCCGTTTCTGTGAACGCAGCAGCCGTTTCTGCAGCAGGTGGATGGAGACGTGCTCGTAATGAAGACAGGGTAACATCGGTTAAACAGACCTGGTTTGAGTTTAAGGAGGCTGATGTTGAGTAGAAAAACATCCTCAGTTAGATATTCTGGCTGACTATCTGTGTAAAAGCACGTTAAAGGGACTTTATGGAGTTCTGAATTTTTATGCTTGCGATTACCCCCTCTGACCAAAAGCATAACGGCAGCTTCAATAGTAGGCTCATGCATGAGGCGGACATGCTGTACGTGCACACTCCTCAACGAAAATAACAGCTGAGTCCCTTGTGTGTGTGTGTGTGTGTGGCCCGGAGGACAGAGGACAGGAGAACGCGCAGCTAATTAATTAAATAATTTGGTTCTGTACCTTTCTCTTCAGCACAGACGACAAAGGTTTAAGATGGGTCAGTCCTCCTGCATGCTCAGATCATTCCCTTCCCTTGCTTGAAAAATTGTTCCAAAATGAAAGTTGAACCCACATCTTTTTTATCTGTGAATTCAATGCCGTTCAGCGAATCTCAAATAAAAATGTGGGCATCTTACTGTAAAAAAATGTACCATTCATGTAAAAAAGAAACTCTTAATAAACTATGTTCACATCAGGAATGGAACCCAGGTCTTCTGCACGAGAGCCCAACGTCTAACTAGGTGAGCTAATGCGCCAGTGACGTCATTTGTATCTGTGACATTTATATCCTTGATGACAGCTGAAACAACGTTCAAAGAACGGTTCGGAGCGAAAATGGCTATTTTGATGCTAATTTGCAGGAAATATCTAGAAGAAAGTTCCACAGAAAGTAGCTAAGGGTCCTCAGAAATGTAGCTAGGTTCATCACGAGGCGTTAGAAACAGCGACAAAGTGGCTGAGTTGGCACTACCTCTCTCTCTGCTGCTAAAGCTACTGATAGCAAATGCTACGGGCGATGCCTGAGCGTGAACGCGCATGAAGCAGCCTGCTCGACCCGAGCATCTCTCTTTTTCTGTGATTTTACAGAAAAACAGGCAATCACAGTAAAAATGCCAGGGCTCGTTCTACAGGACCAGGGCATTGCAGGAGAACGTATGAAGAAGAAATTTATTATTTCTATACATGTTTTGGCTGTCAAACTTCCATAATGTCCCTTTAACGCAGATGAGATGCAGTTGGTTTATGAACACATGATGAACACAGGCTTCCAAACTTTCTGAACATCTCCTGTTATTTAGTTTGAACCAAATTTTCCCAACAGTTTCAGCTGACTGTCACATTTAATTAATAATAAGCCACAAGAGAGCTCAGTAATAAAACATGAGTCTGACCCCCCCCCCCCCCACACCGCGTCACACCCATGGATCAGCTGATCAAGAGGCAGAAACAAGGATAACGCTCCCTTATTTTAATATTGTCAACAATAAAATGCAGCAAAGCATAAATCTGCAGTTACTCACTGAAAACGTAACTTCTAAGAACAAAATAAAAACATTAAATTGATTCAGAAAAGCAGGAAGAATTGTTATTTATGTTTTTACATTTTTCATTTTGTTTCATGACGTTTGTTTACAATTTTTTTCCGGGAAAGACAACTGTGCGCATGCTCAACTTATTTAATCTGATTGAATACTTGGTGCATATAAACTCACGGCATGATCGGATAATTTCAGTTAGTGTGCATGTAAACAGAGATTCGGGATTTCCGATCAAGCAAGATATGAATCGGATTGGGGAAATTTGGCGCATGTAAACGTGGCTACTGTCTAAGTAAGTATGGTTGATGAATGAGCCTGGCCCTGACACGAATCGTGGCTCTCCTTTATTCTCAAAATGACCCACAGTTTGTGTTCAAATTCTGTTTACTTACTTCAACACGCTTAATGTCTTCTTCAAGGAAGTTGAGCTCTTTCTGTAGCTGGTCTAGTTGCTGGTATAAAAAAACAAAAACACAAGAACGGCTTCAATATTTTTCCTATTTTTATGATTTTATCTCCTCAGTAAAAAGAGCAACAGCAGCACCTCTCTCTTGTTTCTCCTGGCTTCCTTCAGAAAATCCATGAAGATTTGCCTCTGAGCTGCTTGGGATTCCTGGTGTGGATAAAAGACATCAAGCATAAACAAACTGAAATAGAACATTTACCAACTTACTGAAAACCACGGTCAGAAACTGAGTTCAGGACAAACAAATCTTCTTATAATAAATTCAAAAAAATTCTAACTCTATATTTATACTGACATACGGTAATCTTAAACTACTCTTCAAAATCATATGACACCTTAATATCCAAAGAATCCTTAAGATGAGAGTTTGTGTGTGTCAGAAATGACTGCGGTCATATTCTGCTCTGAATGAGCCAAAGGAAACCAACCAAAGTTTGGACTTCAGCCGACATTTAGCCGTTTCTTTGGGTGATCCATTCCTACTAAGGTTTCTTTAAATCAATCTTCTTACTGTAAGCAGGGAAGTGACTTAACCTCAACATTTTAAAAGCAAATCTAGAATGCTCCATCACTCATCGGCTTTTTAAAAGAAATGGACACCATCTAAATATAAGCCACTGGTTTTGTGTTGACGTTCGGTCAGGTCAGAAATGTCTGCAAACAGAAGGAATATCGATCCATATATCCAAGCAACGGGAAATAAAACCAAGCTGCAAAAGTAAGAAATATGTTGTCAAAAAGGAATGAGACTTAATTTTGGAGTTTGCATTCTCCATGTTTGCACCCAGACTATGAAACCAACCACCGACATTAGGCAGTCTACTTCAGTACAGAGTTTGAAGTCTAAGCTGGTTCTGCATTTTAGCTCCTCTGGTTAATCAGGCCGTTGTTTCAGTGCCGTTTTACCCTTCTTGTTTTTACTGACTTTTAATAATTTAGTAAAATTTTTTCCTTTTGTTGTAATTATTTTACTTAATTTGTGCTAATGCATTTTGCTGGTTTTAGCGTGGAGCACTTGACTGGTGGTATAAAGGTGCTCAATAAATACATAAAAAAATAATGAAAAATCCAATCAAATCTCTGGAAATTATGCAAAAAAAAAAACAAAAACAACAACTAACAAGTAGGGACGCTCCGATCCGACTGCGTGATCAGAATTGTGTGAAAAAGATTAGATTTAACCTTTTAAAACAACAAACATGACTTTTTGATTCACCCTGAGATACAGATTTTCAGCAAGGGCTTAGTTTTAATTTGTTAACAGGTTTCTCTACATCAATATTATTTGTTTCTTGTACGAAAACAAAAACCGTAACACCACACACGGCAGGCATGGGATTCAGACACCAGCTGCAGCTGTTAGCAAACAGGCCAACACAGAGCTAACGTGTCTCGTCAGGAGAGCTAAAATGTCTGCAGCTTGGTGGCATTTTAAACCGGACAGCGAAGGCAGAGCAACAGCCACTTGTAACGTGTGCATACTGAGGATTCAACATGCTAGGAAGGGCACAGCTCCATGAGTCGCTGCTTTCAAAACGGATCACTTTCACGTTCCTTTCGGGCATCAACAGAACAAATCACTGGTCACCATTAATTCCCAGTTTGCCACCAACAGTCCCAGTTCACAGCAAACTCAGACAAAAGCGCAGAGCCAGACGACAGAGAAAGATACGCTAATAAACAAAGAGAAATTACTAACAAGCTGCAAAATGTCATCCCGTTTCCTGCATGCAGGTGCTATGCAGGGAAACGTTAGCCTGCCTTGCCCCATCACAGTATAGCAGCAAACTGGGAGAGGAAACCACTTGAAATATGAGCAATGCTTTTGCTTTTAAATATATTCATAACAAACACGGTTTTTTAAACTTCCTAAACAAGTGAAACTGAAATTTAAAGGACAACTTAGATGTATTTTCTTTTTTATCTTATTTCAATGATTTCCTGAAAAGTATCGGATCAGGACTCGGTATTAGGGGACACTCAAAATCAAACGACTCGAAATCAGATCAGGAGCAAAAAACGTGTTCAAAACAGCCCTGCTAACAAGCAAACAGAAGACAAAAATAAGAAATAAAAAGATTAATGGTCATCTAAGCTAAAAATTATACGAAAAAATCTAAATTTGGAGAAAAAAATGTAAAATCACTTGTAAGATTTTCTGTGCCGTTTAGGGAGAGCTACCAGTCAACTTAAGACAACGTTCTCATAAGAGCCAGGTTCTGGCAACACAACGATACTTCACAAACATGGTGCCTTATTTCCACTGGAACATCATGGATGTTTATCTGCCTTTTTCCACAGACACAACAAACCCCTATCTCTGGGTTTCAGGAACCATTCCACTGCAGATGCAGGTAAAAGTTCCCCATCTGCCCACTACAGACACTAGATTATTTTTAGTTTAAACCATCTAATGACGACATTTGATAGCTGCAACTGTTGGAAACAACAACAGGATGTGCACAGATGCTTAGATCCGGATCTTGTCTGAGATTCTCTTTCAAACTCGCTCTTCACATCGGGGAGATTTGCGGCTAAAAAGATCACATTTAAAGGTTCTGAACAGAAGAATATCCAGGGCAGAGTGTGGTGTGAACACAGGGCCTTGTTTACAATACACCACATATATTTAGATGGACCTGAAAAACAGCAGCGTGAGCTGAAAGAAATGGGCACGTAAGCAGAAAAAGGGGTAAAGCAGCATCTCTTACCAGCACACGCCACCTCGTCGTAAACAGTTTGGAGAATTTGCTGCTATATTAACGCTTGAGGGTGCAAATCCTGCATTTCCAGACTCCCTTCTGGCAAGTTTATCTCTGCATGAAATCAGGAGCAAACTGAGCAGAGATTTGTGGTCCGTTGCCCTTCTGGAACATGCCTGGGATGCAGCGCATGAGTGAAACTGATATATTGTGCTTTTCCACCACAATGGTGGCAGGTGATGTCCCTGCAGAGCCGACGTCAGACGAGCCAAATAACTTGAACGTATCTAACAAATGCAGCAGGTTAGCAACCAGCTCTTTGTCGCAAAGCTGTCAGCGACACCATGAATGTGTGGAAAATTTCACAGAAAAAGGAACAACATTTCTTCATCACTGCAGCAACTTGACACATTCTACTTTCCCTACAGGACAAAATTCAACTCAACTCAACTTTATTTATAAATCGCGCCTTACAGGCAAAAAGATGCCACCAAGGCGCTACACTGATCAACTAAAAGCATAAAACAGTAAGTCCAGAAAATAAAACATTGTATCACACGATACAGATAAAACTACAGTGAGTAAAATCGCTATAAGTAAAACAATACAACTAGTTAGAAAGGTTAAAAGACAGGTCATAAAAATATGTTTTTAGCCTTGCCTTAAAAACCGCAACAGAGGTGGAGGCCCTTATGCTGAGAGGAATCTTATACCAAAGCTTAGGACCTGCCACAGCAAAAGCCCTATCACCACGCGTCTTTAGGCGCGTTCTTGGGACCGAGAGGAGCATGAAGTTCTCCGAGCGGAGTGACCGTGAAGGGGTGTATGGTTGAAGTAGTGACACCAAGTAAGGAGGGGCCAAACCATTTAACGTTTTAAAAACTAGTAAAAGTATTTTAAAATGAATCCTAACATCAACGGGCAGCCAGGGAAGCGCAGCCAGGACAGGAGTAATGTGGTCAAACTTGCGCCTGTCCTCTAAAAATCTGGCAACAGCATTCTGGACCATTTGCAACCTGGCTATTGAGCCCTTGCTCACACCAAATAAAACAGAGTTGCAGTAGTCCAATCGCACCGTAATAAAAGCATGGACCACCGTCTCAAGATCATGACGTGACAGAAATGGTTTGATCTTTGCCAGCCGACGAAGGTGGAAAAAGGAGGAGGAGATCACTCCATTGATGTGGAGATCAAAACTAAGGGCGCTATCTAGTTTAACACCAAGATTAGTCACTGATGCACTCAGCTGGCCATTAAATGACCCACAGTGTGTTATGGAAGAGTCACAATGTCTGCTTGGAGCAAACAATATAGCCTCTGTTTTCTGATCATTTAGGCTCAGAAAATTTTCACTCATCCAGGTCTTGATCTCCCTCAAACAGTTTGTAAGAATGGAAATAGAGAGACCACTTGACGTGTTCAGAGGCAGGTACAGCTGACAATCGTCAGCATAAAGATGGAATTGAACTCCAAACTCACAACAGATGTCACCTAAGGGCAGAATGTAAATAGAAAACAACAGAGGTCTCAATATCGAGCCCTGTGGTACCCCCCAAGGTAGATCAGAGTACTCTGAGGAATAACTTCCCATCCTAACACACATTTTTCTATTTGTCAGGTATGACCTAAACCATTCCAGGGCTAATCCTGAAATCCCGACATAATGATGAAGACGGTGAAGCAGCACTTCATGGTCCATCGTGTCAAAGGCTGCCGTGAGGTCCAGCAGAAGTAGCAACACAGAATTACCGCTATCAGTCGCTAGATAGATGTCATTGAGCACTCTAACCAGAGCAGTCTCCGTGCTGTGTAGAGCTCTGAAGCCAGACTGGAAAGTCTCAAAAATGGCATTCTCGTCCATAAAAACCAAGAGCTGGTGGTAAACACATTTCCATAGCACCTTACTCAAGAAAGGAAGTTTTAAAATGGGCCTGTAGTTTGCAGCCAGCGAAGCATCCAGTCCAGGCTTTTTGAGCAAAGGTTGAATAACCGCTTTTTTGAAATCGTCAGGGACTATACCAGAACTGAGGCTCATGTTAATTATGTGCAATATTAAAGGGGCGACTACTGGAAAGACTTCTTTAAGGAGGAGCGTTGGCATCACTTCATCCGGCGAGCCACTCGGCTTAGCCTTCCCAGCGATCTTGATCAGATCATCAAGACTAATTTGTTCAAATGCTACCAAACCTCTGGTGGCAGTAACAGAACGGCCACATACCGGTGCCCTAGACATGGTAGCCCGGAGTGCAGCAACTTTCCCAATAAAAAAGTCACAGAACTCATCACACATTTTAGCTGATGCCTGCACCACATGATGATCATTTAGCTTCAGAACTGAGTCAATAGCTGTATATAGTACTCTGGGGTTGTTTGAGTTTAAAGAAATGAGATTGGAATAATATGCAAATTTCACAGATCTAACTGCCTCTTGGTATGATTTCCAAC